CGAAGCCAAACGTAAATATAAAGATCTGATTAAAAAGAAAAAGCTTCAGGCCCAAAGGGGGGAGTGGCAACGTTTATTAGAGGCCTCTCGAAGGAAAGACTCAGCCACCTTTTGGAAAATAGTCGCGAAAAGTTGGCAAGACTCCCGATTGAAATTGATTATACTATACCAGTTGGGATTTGGGAGGCTTACTTTCTATCTTTATATACATCAAATCAACATCTGCAGGCCCTGCCCCCAGCTCCGAGTGATATTGGCGCCGAATGGCCCCAGTAGCAACTGAAGAGATCTATAGGCTCATCCAATCCCTTAAACCTGGAAAAGCACCCGGCGTAGACAACATTACACCGGAACTCCTTAAGGCTAATGTTGAATGGTGGGCCCCTGTGCTAGCTGCCCTATTTACCAGCATAGACCAATCGGCCACTATCCCTGAGGATTGGGGATTAGCAATCATCATCCCTTTATTCAAGAAAGGGAGCTGATCAGACCCGGCTAATTACAGGCCAATTAGCCTCCTAAGTATCATTAGCAAATTGTATGCTGCCCACCTATGCGGCAAATTAGTGGACTGGTTGGAACAAGACCACATTCTTTCAGAAGCACAGGCTGGTTTTACGGCAAATCGGTCAACCTTAGACCAGGGCTTTGTTCTCCAACATCTTGCGGAGAAATATACATCAAGAAAAGGAGGTTCCCTATACGTGGCCTTTATAGATTTCAAATCTGCTTTTGATTTAATACCGAGGGACAGGCTTTGGGGAAAGCTAAGCGCCGCAAATATAAACAAACGCCTACTGTATCTCATCCACAGTCTATATGAAAATACACGGATCCGGGTAAGGTGTGACCGACAGGGCCACCTATCCAAGGAAATCCAAATCCATCAGGGGGTCAGGCAAGGGTGTGTCCTTGCGCCTACTTTATTTAACTTCTATATCAACTCGCTAGTAGGAAATATGGAGAAAGAAAATGCCCATCCCCCCAAATTGGCTGGTACGCCCCTCCCGGTCCTTTTATATGCAGATGACACAGTTTTAATTTCTTTTTCTTGTGTTGGATTAAGAAAACTTTTGAGATCTTTCACCAAATACTGCAGCATCGAACAATTAACAATTAACTACAACAAATCCAAAGTTATGGTGTTCTCCAAAAAAAGGAGGAGGCACAAATGGAGAATAGACAACCGTTTAATAGAACAGGTAGCAACCTTTAAATACCTGGGTGTAACCTTCCAGGAAAGGGGCTCCTGGCGCTTTCAGATTAATAATACTATTGCAAATGCAGAAAGATCTACCAAAGTGTTAATAAGATTCTTCTATGGGGAAGGAGGCCAGTACATACCGGCAGCCTCCCAGGTCTTTGCTGCCAAAATACTACCACAATTGTTATATGGATCCCAGATCTGCAGTTTTAAAAACCTTACTCTCTTAGAGGCATTTCAAACTAAGTTTTTCCGCTGCCTGCTGGGGATCCCTCTTGCGTATCCAACATAGCGGTCTGTTTGGAGGTTGGGCAAATTCCTATCAGTACCCGGATATGGATATTGAAGATCCATTACTGGCTAAAGCTTATTTTCTTCCCGGTTGGGCTGGCACCTTTGACCTTATTGGATACCTACCAATCCAGATGGAAAGCTACACTGCTGGAAAAGCTTAAAGGCTTGGGGATCCCACAGCAGACCCTGATAGCGACAGGCTTCGAGAAAGCTAGGACTACAATTCGCCAGCGTATCTGGGACGTAGAATTACAATGCCACATGAGTGAAATGATCAAACATCCTGCAATAAGGGACTATGGGAGAGGTTTTCTCCAGCTAACTATCTGTCAGGTCTTCAGGTACCCAAATACAGACGGTCTTTTACCCTCACCAGATTCAACGTTCTCCCTTCTGCCTTACTTCAGGGCAGATTTGAGGGTAAACCATACACAGCGCGGGTCTGCCCCTGTGGCTCGTTGGAGGTTGAGACTGCTTCACATGTACTGTTACGTTGTCGTCTTTATGAGGATATACGTTTGACTTTTATTGCACCTGTTTTGCGGAAGTCCAGGAAAGAGTCGGAACACCATGGTTTGGAACCACTGCTAGAGGACAAGAATCCCAAGACTACATTAAATGTAGCCAAATTCTGTGCAGCTGCAATTAGTCGCAGGAAGCAAGTGGTATCCCATGGTGACCAAACCCCCAAATGTTAATTGCAGGGGGCATGCTAATAATTAATTTTAATTTTTTATATTTTTATATTTAAATGCTTGTTATACTCTGTATTTTTGATATATTTTTTTTATGATCTGTGATGTTGTGTGTGTTGGCGCTGGTCTGTGACCGTATTAATAAATTCAGTTCATGCCAGGCATCCCCGGTTCCCACTCGGCAGTGGCAGCAGCAGCCTCAGCAGCCTGGAGCCAGCCTGGTAGTGCAGCTGGCTCTGGCTGACTTCAGGAGCTGCTCGCTGCCGTGGCGCCCGCCATTTTGCCTCGCCGGAAGTCCCCATATGATGTGTCTTGTGCCATTGAACCAATCACACAACATTCATTCCCTACTAATAAATCCACAACACTTAAAATATAAATCTGGAGACATTAAATGAAATGTAGGGACATTCCCTGGATGGATTTTGTCCGGGGACAGATTTGTAAATCCGGGGACTGTACCCAGGAAATGGGGATGTCTGGTAACCATGAGCTAAAGACGAAGTAAGCAAAGTATTTACATTCACATGCTTATACAAGCATGGGCTTTTTCCTTTTTTTTTTTTAATTGAAGATTATAGCTTCTACCTTCGAACTGGAACTTAATTTGAATGTTCCCTTTTTAGGGAGTGGAGTGTCCTTCTGCCATTTTAATGGATGTTCTGGTCAAGGATGCTTTTATGGGATTCCACATTCCAGTGTCAGGATGTGCCACTGCAATTTGGAAAGCATGAAACACAGGGTGAATTCAGCCTAGCTCAACACAAGGTTCTTAAATCCTCTGGAACACTTTTCATATGGTCTCAGACCACAAGAGTGTCAGCTGCTGCAATAGCTTTTCAAACGTATTGTTGTGAGTTTGTCTGTGTTTGCGGGGTAGGTCTGTATGACGCTTGGGTCCCTTCTAATTCCTAGGATCCTGAATCCAGCCGGGGTGAAAATCCAATAGAGGATTCTCTTGGTGAGCTAGCTAGGCAACTCTTTGGTGAGTTAAAGGTCCTAAGTACTGTGGTTAGCATAACAAAAGAAGTTGCTCTGTGCCAGAAGACAAATGGGAGAGCCCCTCCCTCAACAAGCTGTTAGGTAAAAAGTAATGGGACCCCTGACCATTAGGTCCAGTTGTGACCGACTCTGGGGTTGTGACGCTCATCTCGCTTTATTGGCTGAGGGAGCCAGCGTACAGCTTCCGGGTCTTGTGGCCAGCATGATTAAGCCGCTTCTGGCAAACCAGAGCAGCGCACGGAAACGCCGCTTACCTTCCCGCTGGAGCGGTATCTATTTATCTACTTGCACTTTGACCTGCTTTCCAACTGCTAGATTGGCAGGAGCAGGGACCGAGCAATGGGAGCTCACCCCGTCACAGGGATTCGAACCGCTGACCTTTTGATCGGCAAGCCCAAGAGGCTCAGTGGTTTAATCCACAGTGCCACCTGCATCCCTTCAACTAGCTGTTAGAAGGACAATAATTGAGGGCAGTGGTGTGTGAGAGCTGGAAGCAGGCTGTAGGCAGATGCCAGAAAGCAAGAGCCCTTCTCTGTACATGCTCCAGCTTGTCAATATTCTTCTTAAATTGTGGTACCCAGAACTGGACACAGGGATCCAGGTGTGTTCCGACCAAAGCAGAATAGAGCAGGAATGAGGAAGCTGGCATTCTCTGGTTGCCCTTTGGAATACAACTCCCAACATCCAATTAGTTGAGATCAGAGGAGCCAATTCCCAGGGGCTGAGATCCCTTTGCTCCCCCAATAAAATGTGTGTGTGTGTGTGTGTGTGTGTGTGTGTATGTGTGTATCTCCCCAAAGTTGACGGGCATTTCCATTCAAATGGTGTGTGTGCACCGTGTCTTGTGATCAATTTTGTGGGGCTTACCTCCCCACCCCCATATTTTATTCAATTTGGCCACGCTGTCTGAGACTGATGGGAGTTGGAGTCCAATAGAACTTAGAGGCCCGCAGCTTCGCCATCTCTGCTTCTGGGGCGAGGCAGTAGCTGAGTGATTGGAGAAGGTCCGTAGCTGAGCATCTGGAAAAGACAGGACTCAGGGAGACGGAGCTCGGAGGGAGGAATACTGCCACGGTGGCGGAGAGGGAAGCGGACCCGATTCCTGCATCGCAGGAAGTTGGACTGAAGGACCCTCGGTGCCCTTTCCAACTCTACCATTTTACGATCGTATACGCAAAGGCGGCGAGTTGGCTGTTGCCGTTCGTTGCGCGCATTAGCCGCGTGCAGCGTGCATAACACTCGTGTCCCGAGCTTGTTTCCTGCGATTACAAGCGAGGAAGAGGAGGGACGGCAGGTGACAAAGGGCGCCTCAGTGCAGCTTGCCCAGCTGACAGTCCCAAGACGTCGCCTTCTGACAGAGGAGAGGAGGGCTGCCGTGGCAAAACGGCGCGATAAATACCAGATGGCCGGCGCGCAAGCAGCCCTGCACCAGGCGCAACCCTGACGCCGCGGGCGAGCCGTCCACTCCGCTCCCTTGCGCAAGGCGCGCCGCAGCTCAGCTCCGCAGCAAAGCAGCCCTCCTCTGGACCCCGCTTCCCTTCCACCTCTGCAAAAGGTGGGGACCCAAAGTCCCCTGCAGAAACCTCCGCTCCCAGCGTCGTCGAGGACGCTCTCCAGATACCCTTAGATCTCCCCTTGGGCATGCACCAGCGCGCTGCCCTTGCAAACTCCGTCGCCGCCGCTTTGCCAGGCATTTTGGCGCAGCCTTAGAAAATCTCCGTCGTAAATTCCCCCTCGAAGCCCGGGCTGTGCCGTCGGTTGTGCCCCTGCGCCTCTCCTGCGAAGCGCCTCGCACGTGCTGCGCCATGGAGCGCCCGCGCCTGGAGGCGCAGTGCTACCGAAACGGGGACTGCCACCCCGGACGCCTCCTCGGGGGCTTGAGCGAGCTGGCGGCTGGCAGCAACCCCTGCGAGATCCGGAAGCCGGCGGCGAAGCTCCCGCGCCCGCCGTCGGACAAAGGCAGCTGGGCCCGGGAAGGCGAGGAGCGGGAAGAGAGGGACGGGCTGCCTGCCCTGGAGGATGCGTACACCTCCATCCTGGAGGGCCTGGGCGAGGACCCGACCCGGGAAGGGCTGCTGCTCACGCCCCGTCGGGCCGCCAAGGCCATGCAGTTCCTCACCAAGGGCTACCGCGAAACCGTCGGAGGTGAGATGCCCGCCCGCCTTTCTTTCTTTTCTCGTTTCTTTTCTCGCAAACAGCCGCCAATGGTCTGGTTGCACCTTAAAGGCTTCGTATATTTATTAAGTCGTAAGCCTTCGTGGGCTAGATCAGCTGCGTAAATATAAGTGCCTCTCCTCGTTTCCTCTTTTGAAGACCTGCTAAAATCACTTCTGTTCCGTCGGGAACAATTCAGAATACTGTACACGTTCCCACAATTTTCTGATTTTAAAAATGCAGGCAATTAAGAATTCACCTTCCCATAATGTCTTTATTTTAAAACTTTTTATGTTTTTACTGTATGCCTTTTGTTATTATTTTTATTTTATTTACAATTGTAAAGAAAATATTGCACATTTTTATTATATACCGTAGCTTTGTTGTAAACCACTCTGGTGTTTTTAAAAAAATGAATTGCCATATAAAAATATTTTAAATGAACAAATAAATATTACTATATTATATTTCTTACCCACCTTTTGTGAGGTGTTGGGGCAGATTACAGTAATTTTAAAACGCGGTATTGAAATCAGTTAAAACAAATTGCAATCCAGGGAATAGGATGGGCCCTAAAAATAATCTGCAAGCTGCTGATATATTCATAAAATCATAGAATTTTAGAGTTGCAAGGGACCCAAAGATGCTGGGGTCATCTAGCCCAGCCCTCTGCAATGTAGGAATATTTTGCTCAAAGTGGGGCTCAAACTCACAAGCTTGAGATTAGGAGTCTCATGCTCTACCAACTGAGCTAAAGGCATTTTCTTTTGTATTGGCAATGAACAATCTGGTCATCACTTTATTAAGTATATCCAGTATTGTTCCTCCTCTTGGAAGACTGCGTCTGTGTGATCTCTTTCGCATGCCTTTCTTTCTTTTAAAAAGTGGGTTTTCGCAATTAGTCAGCAGCAATTCTCATCCTGCCTCACCATTGATCATGCTTGGAGCTGTTGTGTTTTTTAAAAATAAATTTAAAAAAAGATTTTATACATGCATGAGAATAGTAAGGTAAAGGGACCCCTGACCATTAGGTCCAGTCGTGACCGACTCTGGGGTTGCGGCGCTCATCTCGCTTTATTGGCCGAGGGAGCCAGCGTACAGCTTCCGGGTCATGTGGCCAGCATGACTAAGCCACTTCTGGCGAACCAGAGCAGTGCACGGAAACGCCGTTTACCTTCCCGCCGGAGTGGTACTTATTTATCTACTTGCACTTTGATGTGCTTTTGAACTGCTAGGTTGACAGGAGGAGGGACCGAGCAACGGGAGCTCACCCCGTCGTGGGGATTCGAACCACCAACCTTCTGATAGACAAGCCCTAGGCTCTGTGGTTTAACCCACAGCACCACCCGCGTCCCTATGCATGAGAATAGGTAACCATAAATTGTTTAATAATAGGCCTGACCTGGAAATACTGAAATATCAGCAAGCCTGTAATGCTATACTGAGCTGCTTGGGATGGATTTTACTTATATGCTGCTTTTCTGCAGCAAACTTGTGCCCAAACTGACTTAAAGCAAACATTCAGAGACCTCGAAATAGAGAACACTTGGAAATCAAATTATACAAAATACGGAACGTATCAGTAAATTCACAAATAACAAAAATCAACAATAAAAAAATTATAAACATTCACATTCTCTCCGCCTGAGCTGACACACTTTATATCTCTTTATTCTTTACTGCCAACCCATGAGGGACCTAGCAAATATACAGACTTTTGCCGTTTTCATTTCGGGCCACATTAATCTCTGGCTATAACAATCAGCTCCTTGGTTCTTGCTTAGCAATCCTCTTAAACTTTGTTCCAGGGTTACTGGATTATTTCTATAATGTCGCCATTCAACACTATCTGGGAATTGAGGGTATGTGTGTGTGTATGAATGAATAAGGTTTATAACTCAGTAAGCGTTGAAAGTTTACTTGCATTTGTTTTACAGTGATGTGCAACTTTGAACACACATATACAATTCTCGTTTCAAGGGATAAGACTTCTTGTAGAACGTGGCTGAGGACCCTGAAGCGGGAGCCCCGATCCTACATGAGCATTGCTCACGCCCCATACTAGTGGTTCAGTGGGATATGGGGTACCACTTTGACTAAAATAGCTCCCATCCCCAAGGCAGAACCCCAGAATCTGAAGACACCATGCCAGCTGAAAACTAAAAATGTGACAGTGGCACTTAGCAATTTCCTTGCTGAGGACCAGGTTATAGAGGTAACTCGGGTTACAAAAGCTTCGGGTTACGTGTTTTCAGGTTGCAGACCGCGGGAAACTTGGAAATACCGGAAAGAGTTACTTCCGGGTTTCACCGCTCGCGCATGCGCAGAAATGCCAAATCGCGTCACACGCGTGCACAGACGCAGCATTGCAAGTTACGAACGCTACGGGTTGTGGACGTGCCTCTGTCACGGATTACATCCACAACCCGAGGTTCCACTGTACTTTAGGGACTGTCTTTACCCATCTAAACCTACCTGGGCCCTGAAGGAGGCCTTGCTCTTTTAGCTCATTCTCACTGGAAATGTGATTGGCAGGTACAGTGGTACCTCGGGTTAAGAACTTAATTCGTTCTGGAGGTCCGTTCTTAACCTGAAACTGTTCTTAACCTGAGGTACCACTTTAGCTAATGGGGCCTCCTGCCGCCGTCGTGCTGCTGCCACGCGATTTCTGTTTTCCTCCTGAAGCAAAGTTCTTAACCTGAGGTACTATTTCTGTGTTAGTGGAGTCTGTAACCTGAAGCGTCTGTAACCTGAAGTGTTTGTAACCTGAAGCATCTGTAACCCGAGGTACCACTGTACTAGGAACAGGGCCTTTTCAGTAATGGTGCCTGGAGAAATAATCTCCCACTTGTTGACAGGTTTTATTTGGGTCACGAAGAGTCGGACATGACTCAACAACAACAACAACAACAACAACTGTTTTATGCTCTTTCTAGTGCCACTGATAGCTTTTAAATGCATTTTTAGATTCATTTTTACTGGTTTTTAATACATTGGTTTTCATCGTTTTGATGTTTAGAACACTTTTGTGGAAATGTGGCATGAAAAGAAATTGAAATGAATGGAAGAGAGAACATTTTTACAGTTCGCTGTAGCACGTGGCCGCTAGAAATGTGAAATATATTATCTAGTTTGACCTAAACATTCATGGTCTGTTACTTGTGGGGTATTTAAAATGCAATGAACAATTCATGTTTTGCTAGATATGCGCATAATAGGAGCTGAAGCTCCTATTTTGAGTTTCCCTGTAAGTTTGCTAGAAAGAACTCTGTGAGAGACACTCCTACTGTGCCCTGACAGAGGAAGGGCATATCTGTGTACACACACACACACACACACACACACACTTACTTACCTGCCTGGGCACAGCCTCTCTTTTCTCTCTCTTCTTCATCTCTTCATCAGCAAGCCAGAAATGAGAGAACATCTGCTAAGTCTAAGCTCCAATGCCCAGACACCATTTCAAACTAGACTAAAGCACATCTTTGTAGCTGAATTACTATTTTAAGCCGGCCTGAACAAAGCTGTTATCTCTGTTACTCTGTTCTGAGTGAGCAAATGTTATTTTTCACCTCTTTACAAGACTGTGTGATTATTGTTTTAAGGGGGAGAAATGAGGAAAATACCAGGAGAATCCAGTCTGCCTTAAAGCACGCAGGATTCCTTAAACTAAAAGGCTAAAACTAACCTATCTGTTAGGAAAACATTCTTTAAGAAACAGATAAAAGTTCCTGCAAGCTTTAAAGAGGGTTCCAGATTTTTACTTTAGGGTGTAGGAATGGCACTCCAGGCTTGATTGGTGTCAGCTGGAGGTGCAAATAAAGGGAGGAAGTTGCAGGGTGCAATTTCCGCACGAGGAAAGCACACACACACACACTGTCAGCACACATGCTAACAACAAGGCTGGGAGTAAGACAGTGGGTGCTGCTGATAACTGAGTTTTGCTGTGTCAGGATTGTTAATTACTGGACTGAGATTATATCGTGCTGGAGAGATAAAGAAAGAATGTACAGTGGTACCTTGGGTTACATACGTTTCAGGTTACAGACTCCGCTAACCCAGAAATAGTGCTTCAGGTTAAGAACTTTGCTTCAGGATGAGAACAGAAATCGTGCTCCCGCGGCGCGGCAGCAGCAGGAGGCCCCATTAGCTAAGTGGTGCTTCAGGTTAAGAACAGATTCAGGTTAAAAATGGACCTCCGGAATGAATTAAGTACTTAACCTGAGGTACCAGTGTAAATAGCTTGTATATAATAGTAACAGAAATGCTTGTGCAACCAGTCAAACAATAAAGAAGCTATTGACTGTGAATTTGAGTATGACTCTCGTTCTTGTCCTCTGCCTCTGGGGAAAACTCTGCTACAATCAGTAAGAAGTGGTTTTACCAAGGTGCCACCACACAAGCAGAAAAGCGCAGTGGAAGTGTGTGGGCGGTAACCTCTAATACTAAGCTCCCCTTTTAAGCTGGCAAATGGGTGGCACCCTGCTGAACTCACAAACGTGAGGAAGGAAGGATAATATCTAATAAATATATCCTCTCCTAGCATCTATCCACATCCCAATATTACTAATTATTCTTTATTCAAGGCCTGAACTGGTAGATGGAACAAAGTGCACTTGTCCGCTGTTCCGTGAAAAGCTTCTGTTTTGTCTTTTCAGACATACTCAACGATGCAGTTTTCGATGAGGACCATGACGAGATGGTGATCGTGAAGGACATTGATATGTTTTCCCTCTGTGAACATCACTTGGTACCTTTCTTCGGCAAGGTACTGGTTACCTGAAACGCTTTGTGGTCTAAACCAGTGTTGGCCCCCTGCTGGAGTGGCTGGGGAAACCCAGCCACATGGGCGGGGTATAAATAATAAATTATTATTATTATTATTATTATTATTATTATTATTATTATTATTTAGCCTGAGTTGCCTTCACAGGTGTGTGCTGGATTCTCCCCAGCCAAGTTGCATGAGACGGAAGATTCTGCCGTCCACACTGCACATTGCCCAACCTTTGCAGACATATCCAGGAATCTGTGTTTTACATGCAAAGGGCTCAATGCCTGCCATTTCCCCTGACCGCTGGGAAAGATTCCTGGCTGAAACCCTGCTGTCGGCCGGTGTGAAATAGGAACAAGAAATCTGTGCTGCAAAGCCTTTTGCAGTGGCTTTCCAGCCCCCGCCTTTCTCCCCATTCGACTGAGCTTTAAACCTCTCCGCCAAATTTGGCAGTGTGATGCAGGCGAGCGTGACGTGTGCTTGCGTCTTTGTGAGAGTGGCGTGTGCCTCTGTGTGTGTGTGTGTGTCAAAGAGAGGAGAGTGTGTGCCTTGGTCCTGTATACCTGAAAGAGTATCTCCACCCCCATCGTCCAGCCCAGACACTGAGATCCAGCGCCGAGGGCCTTCTGGCGGTTCCCTCATTGCGAGAAGTGAGGTTACAGGGAACCAGGCAGAGGGCCTTCTCAGTAGTGGCGCCCACCCTGTGGAACACCCTCCCTTCAGACGTGAAGGAAATAAGCAGTTATCCTATCTTTGAAAGACATCTGAAGGCAGCCCTGTTTAGGGAAGTTTTTAATATTTAATGCTGTACTGTTTTTAACATTTGATTGGGAGCCGCCCAGAGTGGCTGGGGAGACTCAGCCAGATGGGTGGGGTATAAATAATAAATTATTATTATTATTATTATTATTATTATTTCCTTGATGTTTTGCGGCACGCATGTGTGGCGAGTATCTGTTTGTTGTGTGTGTGCATTCATGTGTATTCATTTTGCTTGTGGTGCGCGTGCATTCACGGCAAGCACACTGCCCACGCATGTGGGTTTGGTGGTCACTTGGATCACCATTCGCAAAGGCTTGGCCAGCATTGAATACGGCCTTGGTGTCCAAAAGAGTTAGTCCTTTGGCAGATCATACTGACTGAACTGGATAGGCAAGTAGCAGCTTCCTAGATCCCTAAGAATTCTCTGTGGCTCAGAGTTCTTTGGGTGATCTTTAGTTTGCACTCCGTCAGGCAGCAGAGGAACCAGCCCCCACGGCAGGCTGCCAGGAATGGACAAGACAAGGGAAAGTCCTTACCATCTGCTTTTATTCAGTATTCACAGAGAGAGGCTTAGAAACTCATCGACTTGGAGCAATGGCGTTGCTCCGAGTCAAACCCCACCCCCTCCGTCTCTCCCATTATGCGTCATCACTACGGTGGCTGAGCTGTGCCTTCTGCCTCTGAGCTTTCTGCTCTCCTACTTTCAATGCCTGCCAGGTTCTGGGAGGGGGGGGTCTGGAATGCTTTCTAAAGACATTTGAGTCCATCAGTTGTTCCCCCCTCTGGTTCTGCTTCCTCCTCCTCTCCCATTATTTGAAGAAGAAGAAGAGTTTGGATTTCATATCCTGCTTTATCACTACCCAAAGGAGTCTCAAAGCGGCTAACGTTCTCCTCTCCCTTCTTCCCCCACAACAAACACTCTGTGAGGTGAGTGGGGCTAGAGACTTCAGAGAAGTGTGACGAGCCCAAGGTCACCCAGCAGTTGCATGTGGAGGAGCGGGGAAGCGAACCCGGTTCACCAGATTACGAGACTACCGCTCTTAACCACTACACCACACTGGCTCTTTCCCCTCATCTGCCTCTCCCTCAAACCCTGTTGTAATTCTGAACTGTCTCCTTCTTCTCTGGAAGGGTCAGTCTGGGGAGGTGGTCTCTACCATTCCTCCTCTGCCCAGTCCCTGACATACTGCTGTGTTGAACTACAAACATGGTATATTTTTTATTTACCAAAGAAACCCTCTTCCCTACTCCCTGTTAGATGTGCTATCCTGCTTTTATTTTAAGGGGATGACACAGGGGTGTATCGCTGTCTGCCAGCGCCTGGGGCGGATGCTCCTGTACTGGGCAGGACGAAGAGGGTCTCTTCACCCTCCGCAATCACCCAGCCCTCACTGCCAGGTGACAGGGGTCTCTGTGGGGGGTGCCTGTTTTGTGTGTCTCTCCCCCCCCCCCGGCATCCTGCACGTTATGCCACTGGGATAACGTTTGCTTCTAAGCCACCGGTTCTCAACCTGTGGGTCCCCAGATGTTGTTGGACTACAATTCCCATCATCCCCGAGCTCTGGCCTTGCTAGCTAGGGATGATGGGAGTTGTAGTCCAACAACATCTGGGGCCCCACAGGTTGAGAACCGTTGTATCTAAGCCAATAGCACTGAAGACTTGTGAGTTTGAATCATTGACAGAGATTTGGGGGAAGTATCCTCAATTGCTTTGGGGAAGAGGGTTGTTTTGATTTTACTTGCCCTTGGCAGTCAGATCAGACAGGCCGCTGTAACGCGGACCATCAAGGCAAATCCACAAATCCCTTTGGAACAAATTGTGCATTAGCAAGATTTCAGAATCGCAGTGTTAGTGACTAGAGCAGGGAGTGTGTTGGAGAAACCTATTCCCAGCAACATAACTGGTGTGTTGCGGTGGGGATAGACTCCAATTGTGAATCCAGTATTAACCATTCTTCCCTCTCTGTTTGAATCTGCAGGTGCACATTGGATACTTACCGAGGAAGAAAGTGGTTGGCTTAAGCAAACTTGCAAGGTTCTTATTATTCAACTTATGTTCTTGTCTGTTTTATGGAATTCACCGGTGCAACGTGTACTGATGGCCGCTGTCTCAGATGGCTTTGAAAGGGAATTAAGACAAATTTGGGGAGGAGAGGTTGTGCCAGTGGCTCTTAGCCAGCATGGCCATTCACAACCTCCAGGTTCAGTAGCAGCTTATCACTGAATAAGACTTGCTGGAGAGCAATAAGAAGAAATCATTGTCTTGCTCACTGTGGGGAAATGGGGTGTTGCACCCGGTGGACCAACCTGCTGTCTCTGTGGCGCAATGGGCCACTGCGTCCGGCTGTTAATCAGAAGGTTGGTGGTTCGAGCCCACCCAGGGATGGCTGTGGGCAGGATTTCTGCATTCCAGGGGGTTAAACTACATGACCCTTGGGATCCCTTCCAACTCGACCTTGTGTCTGATCCATCATGACTCTTCTTAGGTTTTTGAAGCATGCATCAGTGTACACTTATGTGCATTTTGTGTGTATGTGAAATTAGAAGTTACATGCGATCTGGGATGTTAACACTGATAAGTGAGATGATTCATTTATTGGCCACAGGTGCCTCCTAAACTGCTGAGCTCAGGACCACACACACGGGGGTTATCCCTTTTCTTCTTTCGTTTTTGCAACAGTCCAGTGATGCAGATTGAATCGGACTCTGCTGCCTTGTCCAGGCGGTATGAGGACATGCACCCTCTGCTGCGGGAGGCCAGTGGCTGGGAAACACAAGTAGCCAAACAAACCCCTGTGTTGCAAAGAGAATGTCAACAATGTCTAGGCAACACGATGACCATATACATGCGTAATAGACAATCTTTATAGAATTCCTTCAAATCACAAAAAGTTCAAAATGAAATCTTTAGTCTCAAAGTCTCTGAAAACCTTTAAATGAAGCGAGGTACCAAACTTTGTACGCTGGAAGACAAGCTGTGAAGCTTTGTGTATTCAACAGTGATGTCCAACACTGAACGGTAATTCCGGATATTGACTACTGTTTCATAGAATTCTTCATCAGCGCGGTGGGTGGATATAGAATGCTTCATAAACCCATCTTATTTCGAATGAATGTATATAAATGATAATATCAAATTCTGTGGAACAGTGCTCATGTAATAATGTAGTCACTGCATTATTTGAACCTTTTATGATTTTAAAGATTGTCTATTTCGTATGTATATGGTCATCGTGTTGCCTAGACATTGTTGAGGGAAACACAAGTAGGCAGAGAGCTGTTGCACTCTGGGTCCTGATGGCAGGCTTCCCAGAGGCACCTGAGAGCTGAACTAGATGGGTCTTTGACTTGATCCAGCAGGGCTTTTCTTAAGTTCCTACATATTATTGTTCTGAGGAATTCTGGGGACCGCAAATGGCAGTCTCCAGTTGGGAGAAGCTGATGTGTTTTGATCCTGCCCCACCCTCAAGAAGAGCGATTACCTCATGTCTTTATTTGAAAGCATGAGTACAGTTGGACCTTGGAAGTCGAATGGAATCCATTCCGGAAGTCCGTTCGACTTCCAAAACATTCAAAAACCAAATCGCTGCTTCTGATTGGCTGCAGGAAGCTCCTGCAGCCAATCAGAAGCCCCGTTGGACGTTTGGGTTTGCCGTGTTCAGGAGCCAAAATGTCTGAGTTCCAGGGCGTTCGGGATTCAAGGCACAACTGTACTCCAAAGGTAAAACCTTGACAACTGTAGCCTGAGAGTGAGTCTTGCTTCTTCCTGTTTTGCATTCCATTTGTTCGTCTGTTTCTTGACACCATGCCATTTATTTTCTCTCACCATTATCTTTTCTCCCTCCAGAATCGTTGAAATATTCAGCCGAAGGCTTCAAGGTTTGTATCCTTTCTGCAATATGCAGCTCTGCCTTCTTGCTAACTCCCCTATGTTCCTCTAATGCCACCCCTAGGAGTCACTGTAGGGCACGAGTGGCTAACCTGTGGCCATCTTGAGCAGGGATTCCCAAACTTGGGTCTTCAGCTGTTTTGGACTACACTTCCCATCATCCCTGACCACTGGTCCTGCTAGGTAGGGAGTTGTAGTCCAACAAAAGCAGAAGACCCAAGTTTGGGAAACCCTGATCTAGACCTTCCTGAACTACAACTCCCAGACTGTTGGCCATGCTAGCTGGGGCTGTTGGGAGTTGGTGTCTGACACCACCTGGAGGGGCAGAAGCTAGGCACCCCTTCTCAGTGTGCTGTGAGAAATAAAATTACTTTAAGAATCCTGCGGGCCTCTGGATATTGTGGAATTCCAAATCCCATCAGCCTTATTATCCAGTATAGCCAATGGTAAGTGTCAGTGTTAGAAAAGGGAAAAGGTTCTGACCTCCTTTTTACTCCTTTGCCTAATCCTCAGACTTTAGTTGGCACAAAAGAGTCCTTGAGAAAGAGTATTCTTGCAGAGTATTGCTGCTTTTATTCTTAAAAAGTCTTCTTCTCCAACCACGACCGACAGCTTTTACACACACCAAACGCAACCAGCTTTCTACCATCCATCCATCCAACCAACCCACACCACACACTAACATTGACCACAGGTACCATTTGGTGAAAGGTTGCATGAGTCATGCTGACATAGTTCTTTTAGCGTTAAAGAAGCAGCGGCCAATTTTTAGCTGTGACAGTAAGGCAGTTGTAGCCCTACAACACCTGGAGGGCCACAGGTTCCCCACCCCCGATAACTGCCAGCAGGGCTGCTTTGCTCTCTGGTCCTTCAAATGCCCCCCATATCTGCTTCATCCTGAGAGCTGGAGGGGAAAGGCAGTGGGAGGTCAGCACGGTGCGCATGCAGTGGCAGGAGCAGCAGAATGGGAAGATGGCAGCCCTGCCTGTCAAATCTTCCAAGACAGGAATGTGCAGGACAAGTTGGTCAGTCTCTGTTTGATTCCCAGCAGAGTGGCAAAGGTTTTTATCTTCAAATAATAATAATAAAAAGATATCTAGAAAAGGTCTGTCACTGGGAGCTCACGTTGAGTGCTGAAAGCAAACTCCTGGGCTGAGTAGCTCCTCAGAGGAACTGTTCTCCTTAATTCTAAGTCAGAGGGGAGCGCTCAGGGGCGGAGGAAGGGGGACGGTGGGGGCAGTTTGCCCCGGGTGCCATCACTGAGGGGGGTGACATTTGGCGCGCCGCCCGCCCACGACTCCCAAGCCTACCCCGAGCCATCGGGGGAAGGGGCGGAGCTGTGCTGCCTTCCTGGTGGCCTTCCCCCCCTTCCTCCTTCGTTTTGACAGCTTAGGAGAGGTTTGGGAGTTGCGGGCGGGCGGTGTGCCATTGCCCCCCGCTCCTGGACTGCTTCCTGGGCTGTCAAAAGGAAGAGGGAAGGGAGGAAGGCTGCTGGCAAAGCGGCGCGGTTCCTTCCCCTCTTGCCCAGGAAGCAGCCTGCCAGGGGTGGCTCGTTCCGCCCTCGGGTGCGCAGCTTGTACGCCGCTCTGTGTGCCAGAGCAGCTAGCTCCACCTCTGGGAGTGCTAGTGAGTTTTGTCCTTTTCACTCAATATTTGACACACACACACATTCACACTCACTAATGTCAGGAGGGAGACAGTCTTTCCCCCATTTGCCTGTGAAAGCCCCTTTCCCCCCAGCTTAGCTGAAAGTTCTCTTTTGAGAACAATTGGCTCAGACCAAATTGATTCAGAAGTCAGTAAGTTCATTTATTCGAAAGTTAGCAATTTATAGTGGTACCTCTGGTTAAGAACTTAATTCGTTCCGGAGGTCCGTTCTTAACCTGAAACTGTTCTTAACCTGAGGTATCACTTGAGCTAATGGGGCCTCCCGCCGCCGCCGTGCCACCAGAGCACGATTTCTATTCTCATCCTGAGGTAAAGTTCTCAACTTGAGGTATTATTTCTGGTACTGAAGTGTCTGTAACCCGAGGTACCACTGTATTAAGGAAAAGAATGTATTCAAAAGTTAACCAAAGCATATATCTGTAAAATAACAGTGAGCGTGTATTTGAAGTTGCCAACCAATAGCCTTTTTTTCTCCTCACAAAGCACCATTATTTTTCTAGTCCAGGAGCGGCTTACCAAGCAGATTGCCCTGGCAATTACTGAAGCCCTGAAGCCTGTTGGAGTGGCTGTGGTCATTGAAGCATCGTAAGTTCAGCTTGCCCTGTCCAGCTTGGAACTGTTGCACCACATACACCTTCATTGCATTTTCCCCATTTCCCTCTTTTGCGGGGGGCGGGTGAGTTTGCATATGATCACTATTAAAAGCACACACTATAAACAATGTAAGAAACCCAGCATGATCCTATACTCAGGAAGTGCCATTAATCTCAGTACGGCTCACTCAAAGGTGAGCAATAGGATTACAATCTTGCTTAGTTGCACGTTGCTGTCCACAAAACAGGTTGAATGACCACCTATCATGGATGCTTTTCTTTTCTTTTTTCATTTCTTTTTTACTTTTCAAATTTTACATTTCAAATCAAACATCTATTAAACCATACATTCATTGACTTTCCTCCCTCCCCTTACAAGGTACATTTAATATATCCATTATTCCTGCTTATTTTAATATACCCATCTAATTCTGTTTTCCTATCTTGAATCTCTTCAACATATGTTATATTGTTGAATATTACTTTAATACTGCCAGCGTTTTCAGCTGTACACAATTATTTTCAAAATATTAGACGAGAATTTTCCATTCCTCTTTTAAATACCTTTTCTTCTTAGTCTCTTATTCTACTTGTTAGACCTGTTAATTCTGCATATTATATCATCTTCGGTTGTCAGTCTTCCTTTACTAAGGACTTCACTCATTTTCCATTTTGGGGCTAAAATCTGAGCCGCTGTTGTTGCATACCTAAATAACCCACCCCCCGACTCCTGGAAACCTCTGTATTAACAATTCCTAACAGAAATGCATCCGGTTTTTTGGGGAAAGTTGTTTTAAACTTTTTCTTCATCTCATTATATATCATTTCCCAATATTCTTCAGCTGTCTGTCATGGATGCTTTAGCTGAGATTCCTGCATTGTAGAGGGTTGGACTAGATGAAACTTGGGATCCCTTCCAACTCTATGATTCTACACCAGAGAGGGGGTAGGGATGTTATCTCCTGTTCATCTCCCCACTTCTGCACCCCCGCCTGAACTCCTATTGGTGAAGCTGCCATCTGAGCACGTGCAGCAGCTGTCCCAATGGCACACACCTCAGCATAACTGTGAAGGGGAAGTGGTTTTTATTTTCAAAGTGGGCGCAAACAGCTGTGTTTCTCAAGAAACTACAGCAGGGGTCGGCAAACTAAGGCCTGGGGGCCAGATACGGCCCACCGGGCTCGTAAATCCGGTCCACGGACCCTGTCGCCCACTCGGTCAGTCCCTGCGCTAAACCAGCACGGAGGCCTCGCCGTGCGGTAACTGACTTCTGCTGTGCTGGCACGGCTTCAAATTGGCTGCAGGAAGCTCCTGCTGCCAATCCGAAGCCGTGGACGCCTCTGGGTGGGCGGTGACACTGACGCAGTTTTGGATTGGCTGCAGGAAGCTCCTGCTGTCAATCTGAAGCCGCGGATGCCTCTGGGCGGCACCCCTTCCTTCCCGCTGAGGCGGCCGCATATGGCCAAGAGCCGAGCGGGAGGAAGCGGCGGCGGCAGGGAGGCTGTCTCCGCCACCCAGGCCAGTGGTATGGGCTCTGTGCCCTGTGGACCTCTGGCAGAGGCAGAGGACGATGACGACACTGCCATAGGTGAGGCGGCGGGAGCATGAGTGGTGGTGGGTCCTTACGGGAAGGGGGGTCCGGCCCCCCACAAGGTCCGAGGGACCGTGGACTGGCCCCCTTCTGAAAATGTTTGCTGACTCCTGAACTAGTCATACCTCATGTTACGTTTGCTTTAGGTTGCGCATTTTCAGGTTGCGTCCTGCGGCGACCCGGAAGTACCGGAAAGGGTTACTTCTGGGTTTCGCCACTCGTGCATGTGCAGATGCGCAAAATGACGTCACGCGCATGCGCAGAAGCGGCGAATTGTGACCTGCATGTGCACAGGAGCAGGTTGCATTCTTTTCAGGTTGCGAACAGGTCTCCGGAACGGATCCCTTTCGCAACCAGAGGTACCACTGTACAGGAAAGGTAGGGATTGTGGCTGACGTCACGTGTACACGGCATCGGACACCACCGATGGAAGTGCACCAGAGCCAGTGTAAACAGTGTAAAGTGTAAAACAGTGTAAAATGCGTACAGAACCATAACTGGACTGAGTTCTGAGTAGATATTTATGGGGTTGCACTGTAAAGTAGCTTGGGAGGCATTGTATGTCTGTGGGCAACATTTTAAAATTCATAAACACCCCTGCAGTGGTATAGCGCCATGTGATTTTGCAGTTTATGTAACTCAGCATTTATTTATTTTTTACAAAAATGTGTAGCAAGCTCTGAATTAATCTTTGCAATCTGACTGTTATTTTATTATGTGGTTCTTGACCTTCTGAGGTTGTCAGCTGCTTTGGACATCGTTCACCGTGGAAAATAAACCACAATGGCATGGGTGTTAGCGATTCCTGCTGCTAATTTGATACTAAAAATATACTAAAAATGCCTCTTTGAATGTCCCCTGGCAGGCACATGTGCATGATCATGAGGGGAGTTCAGAAGATGAGCAGCAAAACCGTTACGAGCGCCATGCTTGGAGTCCTGCGGGAAGATCCCAAAACCAGGGAGGAGTTTCTCGCCTTGATCAAGAATTAAACGACAGCAGCTTGCGGCTCTCTGTGGGTTTGGATCCCACACTCGAAACCAGTTGCCAAGACATAATTGCCTTCTGTGAGCCAGAATCTGTGCCATAAAAGAAGAGGAAGAAGAAGACAAAAAAAAGGTGAAAGCAAAAAAAGAGAAGAAAATAAATAACTGCACCACAGCTTTGTTCTCGCTTCTGGGTAACACCTTAAGAGTGTCGTTAAACATTAGCTAGGCAGCACAAGCACCGAACTCCCATTTTGCAGCAAAGAAATCGGGTATCCCTGATACGGCAGCATCTTGTGACATGGTGAGCCAAGGGCCTCTTTGCACCCTGCATCTTCTAACCCTTTGAGAACAAAGCAAGAGATCCATCCTCTCCCGTGCATTTTCATGCATCACAAGAGTCGCACATTTGAGCACATAAAATGTGAATGCAAGATAGGCTTATTTGCAAAGGTGTGTTGTGTAGGTGCATTTAGGATTGACTGCAGTTCTCTTCATCAGTACGCTCAGTGTATGGTCCAGGGGTGGCCTGTTCTAGTGCAGGTAGGGGGAGCCTCAGGCCCAAATGTGGCCCCCTAGGTCTCGTATTTCCGGTTCTAGGAAGCCTGCCAGGCCCCTTACCCCTGGCCCTACTCCTTACTGGTCCCGCTCTGTGTCTTCCTTAGGTACTTTTGCCTTTGTGGCATGAGAGCCTCACTTAAAAAAAGAAAAAAAAGCACAAATACCACTCAAAATACATATACCTTACAAACTTTTATTGGTTTAATATTGACTGACTCGTTTTTGCTTACTCTCAGGCAGGCATAGGCAAACCCGGTCCTCCAGATGTTTTGGGACTACACCTCCCATCACCCCTGACCACTGGTAATGTTAGCTAGGGATGGTGGGAGTTGTAGTCCCAAAACATCTGGAGGGCCGAGTTTGCCTATGCCAGCTCTAAGGGATCCTGGGAATGATAGTTTGGTTAGGGTGCTGAGAATTATGTTAAAAGATAACGTGTCAATCCATTCCCCCCTGGGATTGTCCAGGGAACATAAATTGCTGGTTAATTAGTTCATGGTGGCAAACCTTTGCATGTTTGCTTCGGAGCCAGGGTTGTATCTTGCTAAGTCGTTGAATGGCTGGAATGATTTTTAGAGGTGCAACAGAATGTCCCCTCTCTCTCTTCCCCTTGCACCAGCCAAATCTGGCCCGGGGTTTCTGGGGGGAAGAGACATTCTATTGCACTTGTGAAAGCTATAGTTGTTCTGCTTGCTCAATGACTTGGCTGAGTGCATTAGATTGTGCTACATGGGGGGCAGCTGCCCCCTACCCAATCAAGTAAAACAATAGAAATACTTAACTAAATTGACCAATCACGTCAGTTCTGTCCCCCCATAACAAGAGTCCTGCCCCCCCTCAACAAAAATACTGGCTACGCCCATGTTTGCACATGTACAATGCAGATATGCCCACAAAAGGCTTTCCAGTGCGTGATACCAAGCCAATTACTGTTGCCAGTTTTCTAACTGGGATTTGTGCCTTGGCACAAATAAAAAGGGGATGAGGAATCTTGACTCTCGAGACGTCAATCCTGTGCACACCTACTAGATACAGTAGGATTGGTTCTCAAACTTTTTTCTCCAGGCCACACTTTCAGAATAAAAATTTGCTTGCGACACACTGAATTTTTTTATTGGTAGTACATTGGAAAAAAAGAAACAGCTGCTAGCAGTGCTTGGTTTATAACATAGAACACAACTAAAAATTTTTTTTAATGATTCTATACTATACTACGCTGAAATGTTTAAATGTTTCTTTGATTGTCCTTGAGACTTCCTACCACACTTGCCAATCTCTCCTGCCACACCTTGTGGCAGGACTCCCTTCTGAGTAAAACATACGGCATTGCGCTATTCTTGAAAACTTGTTTTAAGCGGGGATTCTTTCCATCGGTTCTCTTTAGCTAGAATTGTTGCTAAGTGTTTCATGGCCCATTATGACCGCATTTGGGGGGGGCTGTGGCTTTTTATGTTATACAAAGTATTGTAAACACAATCAAATCTGTACTGTACTGTACAAAACTTGAGATGTGCCCTGTGATCTAGAGACTTGAGACAACACAGAAAGTGCTGGCATTTCCTGAAGAAAATTCCTTTGTTATGTCATACATACTGTGTATACACACAGGAGTTTACTTAAATCAGGTGTTTAAGAGGAAAACAGGGTTGCACTGACCTGTAGGTTGTCTGAGTTGCTCTTTGTATAGGAACACATTGGGAACCTGCCCATTCACACACCAGCAGCAGAAACTTTGAACTCTCTAGCAGTGTGAGGCTATCTCCTTTTCCTCTTAACTAATAGTTTGATTTTTATATTTAGTAAGAGAAAATAGCTGCGTAAAAGGGGTGCTAAAATGTATACTAACTGAAAAAGTCATGTTACTACTAGGTTTATTAAATGCTTTATAATGCAGAGTAATAGTTTGGCATTCCAACTCTGTTATTGTACTGAAAAGACTGAAGAGTTTTATTGTACCAAAAATATTAAAAATAGCCATATTACATGCTTCATATTTAGGTTTGCATATTGTACTGTATTTCCTTGTATTTTAATATCTGCATTACCCCTTAATGCCATGCAAGAAATTTAAGATTGAATGGATCGTAATAGTAGTTTTCTGTCCAAATAATGTATGCTTTGGAGTCAGCACTGGGCACAAACTAACCTAATCAGTGAAGAAATCCTTGAATTGCCTTTGTAAAGAAGGGCAAAGTAACCGTGCCAAGAGCAAAGGAAAGGATGGCAAGCATATTTGCACAATTTGGACAGAAAACCTACTAGCATTGCATGGGTACAAGCAGAGAACCTGTGGCAGCCATTTTGTTTGGACCACTGGATGGAGCTACAAACTCACACAATTCACAAACAGCTTTACAATCACATTTAGCATTTTTGGCCAGCATTTATTTTTTTACAAACGCATCATTTAAATTCCGGAACACTTCAATCCAGTGTTTAGGAATGTTGCCTTGCAGTTACATTTTAAAAATAAATTTATAAAAATGTACAAACTGCTTCATCAATAAAATAATGGAACAACCAGTGAAATCAGTAAACAGCAAGAACCAAAATTCAACCACCAAAAGCATAAGAAAATAAAGATATTTAAAGTCTTCAAAAGTAATAGGGAAGGGGGACATAGGAATCTCTGATCATAAACCCCCGCCACATAGTCTTGCCCAGATCAGCAGGGACAGGGGAGGATTTTTTATTGAGGGGCCTGATGACTTTCAGAGAACACCAACATGAATCCTGCTACAAAAAGTGCAATGACTATCATGTCCACCAGGCCTGCCAATTTCTCCTGCTAGGTGTTACAAGCCAGGAAGGACAAAGTTTGAGATAGCAAGTTGTGGTTCACACTGCACTTACGCACCTTGTCCATGAAATAACTGATATTCATCCAAGTAACAGTTTTGATTCCAAGTTCCCTAATCAACATGGCATTCAGGTCAAAGTGCTTATTTTGAAAACATTTTACAAATAAGCTGCTGTTCCGGCTCCACAGAATAACTTTCACATGAGCTCTGAAACATGTTTGCATGGATCTGGTCCAAGTCTTCTGCCATCTGAGTTCTGTCGTTTACATTTACATCTCAAGCAGAAATTAAACCAGGAACTGAAATTCCAAGGATTATTAAAGCAGAAAGATAAAATAAATATATATGCAGAAGGTGCTGAGAACCTTGAAAAAGAAAATATATTTGCCTGGCACTGAAAGTAGGTGCTAGGGCAAGCTTTCTTGGTGACTGTATACTAGAGTTGGAGTGAGACTACTGAAAAGGCCCTCTCTTCAGCCATCACCTCTCTAACCTCAGAAGGTGGATGACTCCCAGAGAATAGCCTCTGACGCGAACTCCAAAGTATGGGGCAGGCAAGAGGGCAAGTGGTATGCCCTGCTGCCACATCTAGCCAGACCAAGGTGGGTTTCCTCCTTCAGAATCAAGTCCTGGATTATTATTGCTTCTATTGTCTCCAGCATGGCAACACCAATATGCAAGGGATGTATCAACTATCGAACAGATCAAAGAATAACACACTAAGAAACAAAAATAACATACAAGAACACCCTAATACCACCCTCAGCCAAGATTATATGTCAGTCACCTCTTTTTTTAAGCACAACAAAATGGAAACACTTTATATACAATTTTTCATCAGTAATGCCCCAACACCAATTTTGAATCATGAAGTTAGAGGCTAATTTATGCTAGGTTTCTTCATTTGACTTCAAGATTCACCCCAACAAAACCAGATTAAAGGAAATAATGCTGGCAACGATAGCACACTTGTTATATACCAGGTTCTAAGAATGTTGGACTCACCTAGTTGAATGAAGCCAACCCCAGCCAACCATGTATTTTAACCTGTCAGCTTCTTGAGAACATTTTGTTTTTGCAGTTATAGGCAGGCAACAAAACCGGGAAACTTACAGAGCTCCTGGTGGTTGGCTTGGTGGGTTCCAAGTTGTGCATCGTTTTATACATTTGCAAGTAAACCTACATTAAAAAACAAATCATTTTATGCCAGTTTTATTTCATCAATCCCTCTGCTGGTAGACTTGCAATCTACAAATTCTTGTTATAGCAGTGGGGTGAAGAAAAATGTTGATCTGCTGGCTTTTTTGAGTTTTTCCTCAAAACTAGTCTAATGAGTTAAATTGAAACATTTTTTCTATTTATACCATTAAGCGTTACTAGCAGATCACTATTAATATCAGTAGATCAAAACACCAAATGTGACCATATCAAGTTGCCAATACACCAGTTTTCTTATTATAAATTTATACAGGTATGAATTGGACCATTGATCCAGGTTTACAATCAGCGCTAACAAAGTGCAACTAAAGGTCCATGCAAATTCTGACGGTGTCTGCCATCTTTTACATTTTTCCCCAACGTTGATAACTGTTTTTAAAGTAAAGCTGGTCAAGAAGAAGTTCATAGTATATAATTAGACGGATGTTTGCTTGTAGTTTTTTGTATCCAACACTTTCTTCCCGCACATTGCGCAGATGCCTATTAACGAGAAAAACAGTGAGAATGAAACGTTTTCTTTTAGTCCAAAAGTACAAAAACAACTGAACAAGAGAAAATAATTGATGCCAAATGTCTCACCCTTTTTGTATGCACATCCCTGGCAGTAGTGGGAGCCTGGCTGATGAACTGAACTTTTGCAAATTCGGCATACTGCAAATTTGTTTTTACCATAAGGATCAAACCTAGGAAGAGGGGGGGAAAGGTAACTGAATTGCCTATTCATGGAAAGCTTTCCTACATACTTTCATACAGTTGGGAGCAGATGAGGATGGGGGAAGGAAGACAAGAGAGAAGACAGAATTGGCTAATAACAAAATCTTCAAAAGCAACTTCCCAGTTACAAAGCTGATCAGACGCAGTTCTTCACTTCAGCTTTATCAAATGTAGACTGGTTTGCACATCAACATCTTTAAACTATGTAGGTATACTTGACATATTTTTCAAAAAGTTTCTTACCACACCTCCTGCACAAAACAGGTAAACCAGCCCAGAGGATTTTTTGCATAATTGATACTGGAAAATGGTTTGAAAGTCAAGTGCTATGTAACTGAGATATAAAAGTCAACTGCCAATCCTGCATTTCACTTCTGCCACGCTCCAGCTGGGAGGACCATGAGGCAGAGAAGAAAAGATTGAAAACTGGTTTCAAAAAGGACACAATGGGTCTTTCCCAATCCGTCTTACATTTCCCCAGGGTCTCATGGCACCTTCACCGTTCATCTATTTCATCTCTGCTCTGGCAGCTGTTCTAGCTACATCTCTGGAGCCCACAAAGAGGAAGCAAAGGCAGCCATAATAGCTGGCTGCAAAGGTGGCATAAAGTAATGTGATATGTGTATGTGTGCAGAGGGAAGGGGGGAAAGCTACAGCCCCTTTTGGACAGAAATGAATTGGCCATTGTACTCCATGCTCTGGTAACTTCAAGATTGAATTATTGCAATGTGTTCCATGTGGTGCTACCCTTGAAAATGACTTGGAAACTTCAGCTGGTCTAAAGTGCAGCAGCCATATTAGTGGCTGAGGATGCTTATAAAACTCACAGAGCCCATCTTTTAAAACAACTGCAATGGCTGCCAGCTTGATTCCAGGCTCAATTCAAGGTGCGCACACTAGTTATTAAAGCCGTAAACAAATTAAGCCCCAAATATCTGAGAAACCACCTTCCTGACAAGATCCTCTTACCTGTTATGATCAACAAAGGAAGCCCTCTTGGTAGTTTCAGCACCCTTTGAGATTTGGGTGGTAGGGGCTGCCACAGAGAATGTCCACTCTTGGGCCACCACTAAGTCTTTGCTTTCCCTCCTCACACAGGTGCATCTGGCACCTTCACTATGCAGGTTTCAAGGAAGTCCTGAAGATGCACCTCTTTACCCAGGCCTTTGGACCCACTCTATTTCTGTGACCCTAATTTGCTTTAACTGTTTTCATTCTGAATTTTAATTTCTGCAAGCTGCCCTAGGAACTGCATGTGAAGAGTGGGTAATGATGATGATGATGATGATGATAATGATAATTTAATACTTCAGTTACCTTGCCTTCTTTGATGTCAATGCCTTGTTTTCATTTAGTTTTCTCCCACCACTTTCTAAAAAGAACAAATAAGTTTATTGCTTGATATACATAATTTGCAAAACTATTATAAATTAAGACCTGTGCTCACATATCCCTTATTTTCCAAGAATACAACCAAAAGGGGGGGGGGGATACAAGTGTTCAAGGTGCCCAGTTTTTCTATGTGATGTACTATGTTTATAGAAATATGCTGCCTTTATACAGATGACTCAATCAGAACATTTCACAAATTTAGTTTTGATTAGTGCTTCAGTGTTCTTTGAATAACTGAACTAATTAAATCAATTAAAGTTTTGCAGACATATTTCTTTAACTCCCAGGTTACTGGCACCAAACCCAAGATTCCTGTTGAGGTTCTCCAGGAAAACAAGGAGTTTTCCTACCCTTCTTTTGAGCCTGGAGATGGGCAGTGGGATCTCTGCCACTGGAGTTGATAAAATGAGTGAATGAGTAATATCCAATGAATGAGAAAATTGATGGAAGTTCTAAAAAGAACTTTAAAGCATCATCCAAATTCTGTGCTACTGTAAAAAACTTTCAAGTAATAAGTATGTCCCATTTGTCCACTTTTCTCCATTTCCTACTGCCTATATAACTGCTTTTTTCACTACCCCCTTCTCTCTCTTTCCTAAGGCTCACCACAAAACCAGTTGTCTCTCCCAAGCCCTACTCCTTATCTCAGTTTGTAAGCACACTCTTGCACTGCTCTTGGCAGCCGTATGGGCCATCTCTCCCGGCCCAAAGAGCCCAAACAAGCAGTATATATAGGAAAGGAGTCTGCAGTGCTCACAGAGGCGTGGGGTGTGTGAGTGAATGAGGGAGGCATTTTTTTTTTCTATTTGTTACCCTGCCTAAGGAAATTGCTACTGGCATCAAAATAACAGATCTGTAGCAAATTGAATCTCTGGACCATAACATAAATGAGACAAACGCTTGCATATAAGCATCTGAAATAAGATTGCAAAAAATAATGCACCTTGAAGGTAACCTACTCACATTTCAAGGTTTGCTTATCAATAAATGTTAGAAAGAATATCTACTGAAGTGATTAGATAGTATTTAGAAATACCTGTGGTGTTTCTTGCACCATCTTTCCATGTATCAGGTGTAATTACAGTACCAAGTTTTCTCTCACCTATGGAAAAACAGAAATGCAAAGGCTGTGATATTCCAATCTATGCTTTGGAAGTCTTTTGAGAACACACCACATATTTCATTAGGCCCACCTTCAAATCAGTTCAACTATTTGAACATGGGTAATACAGTGTACTTCATTCTATTAATCCACTACTATCACAATTCCCTTTGAAAAGTAGACATCCATAGCTGATAAACAAAGCTCATGCAGGCCTACCAACCTGAGGGGTCATCATTAACGAACATACAAAGGACCCTTCCAGATCCAACCAAAGACCAACTAGTTCAGCACTCTATTTCCCATGGGATAAGAAAAGAAGAGCCCTGTCCCACTGCTGTGCCCCAGCAACTGGTATTCAGAGGCATACCTCATTGTTAGTAACCACTGATAGCTTTAACCTTTCATGTTAGATGTCAATGCACCCAGCCTGCCTAATAAATGAACAATGAATTCTCAGAACACCAATAGCATGATGCACCTCATCATGATTCCACAGTTAACTCCTACCCCACCCCCACGCTTTTACTGAATAGAAGTTGGAGGCACACCTCACTCAAAATATTTTGCTTCAGTGTGTAAATGAGTTAAGAAACCACTTGCCCATCAGCAGCCAATCCACTTGTGGTTCTGCATGAGTTACTGATGCAGAGGGCCAAGTAGGTTGGCCCCTGTAAATAAATGGGATACTGGAGCAGGCAAGCCTTAGGGCAATGGTGTCCAAACTTTTTTCAAAGGGGGCCAGATTTGATGAAGTGAAGGGCCCTGAGGGCTGACCAAAGTTGCTGACCTTTATTTAGGATTGAAGTTGTTAACTTTTTTAAGGATTTTACCCCAAAATTGTTGATCTTATTTTAGGATTGAGGTTGTTAAGCTTATTTTAGGATTGAAGTTGTTGAGCTTATTTTTTTAGGGTTGAAGTTGTTGGGGTTTTTTAAGGATTTTACCCCAGGAAATAAACTGCCACAGTATTAGGCCCCCCGAAACGGACTTTGGACATTCCTGCCTTAGGGCCTGATCCAGCAGGGCTCTAACTTATGTTTGGAAGGGAGGAAAGCCAGAACGGTGACTCATACAGAGACGCCTCCTCCTCCTCCTCTGTAGGGCGATGCCTTGAGGAGGGGCACACCAAACTCCAGAACTGCCTCCTTACACCATCTCTCTGAGAAGCGTCGCTCTATGGGTCTCTCGCGCGGAGGCTCCGCCGTTCAAAACGTCTGCCCCGTGACGTCACATTCTCCGCTAACCACCGCCCAACCGTTCCTTCAGCCCCCTCCCCGAACAAACTCACACTTCTCGCACACCATGGCGAACCACCCGCGACGAAGCCTGCGGAACAGAAGCGCCGTCCCCGTCAGCTGCCACCAAAACAAACCGAGTCGGGTCCTTTCAACTTCCGGCAGCCGCCTCAGCGTCGGCACTTCCGCTTCCGGGTTCAACCGCCGCTCTCTCCCATTTCCTCCCTCCCTTTCGCACGCCTATTGGTCGAGATGGATGAAAAGGGAGGGGCGGGCCGCTTGTTGTGACGCCACAGAGAACACGACGGGAGGCGCTTGGCGCTGCCGGCTGGAGGAGGATGGAGCCCGTTTCCTGGTGACGGAGGGCCGTCTTTGCGAAGCCCCGCCCACTGGCTCCTTTGGGAGGACGGCCAGGTAAGGCGGACGCAGGTGTCGACCCCCACCCCGGCTCCTCTCCTCCGAAACCCAGTTCCCTGTCTCCGGGGTTGTGGACGGCGACGAGCCCCCTTCGCCTCTTCTACGCAGTTCCCTCCCTAGAGGACAGACGTGGGCGAGCTGAAGGCTTGCAGGACCGGCTTTGCTTCCCTTCCTGCTAGAATCCCAAGGTCTGCCAATGGGAAACACGGGATTCGGGAGCCGTGTCTTGGGATGAACCTGCATGCACAGGTCCAGGTACGTCATGCACCCTGAGCCGCCACAGGGGCAAGATTCCGATTCTAAAAACCAGCCAGAGACGCAAAGCCAGCCAAGTAGGAGAGTCGTGTTTTGTTTTCTGCGGGAAACTTTTCTACTGACATCAAAATTCAGTTGTAAGATTTGCCGATCTAACTGCAAATCTCCCATGGATCCGCCAGTAGGTTGTCATTAAGGTCGGCCCAGGCTTGCCCAAGAACACACCCAGTTACTTCCCTTCGGTTGTATGTGCAGGGGAGGGTGGAGTGAAGGAAGGAACTGCCAGGAAGGCTGGCGTCTCCTTGTTTGTTCCTCTGCCGTGTTGGAAAACCCTTGATAAGTTTACGAAAGGAACCCCTGGTAGTGCAGGTGAGTTTTTGTAAGGGGAGTATTATGATTATGATTTATTGAATTTATATACTGCCCTATACCCGGAGGTCTTGGGGCAGTTCACAGAACAAAATCAAACTATAAAGCCACAAAATATATGATCAAAATAAAAACAACAAGCCCCCATTGGCACACTCAAAACATTCAGTGCGAAGCCAGGGCATAATGATGCTTAACACATGCATACACATAGCCTGCACCAGTGACATGCATCCTCCTAAGAGCAAGCTACTCTATTGTGACTCTGCATCCGAAGTGGTTGTCTGCTCCGATCCTGCCCTAGGCAAAGGTGCGTTGGAATTAATCCACCCCAAAGCATAGGGTGGTCAGAGATGGGTTGAGTCACTGTTCTGGCAACTACTTTTTAACAGGTGGATGTTTAGGGCCTGAGAAGCAGTAGTGACCATTCATTTCAAACCATTGTGATCTTTTTCATGTGAATCAGCTTAACTGGGACCACAGAGCCAATTTTCCTTTGTGGAGCCCTTAGCCCTCTGTGATTATTATTCTTCCTCATCCTGCATCTAGTTTCTCTTATTCTACCTAGCCCTTCCTTCACCTTGTATGGTTCTCATCTACTGTTGCTGCTACTGTTGATATCTCCAGGACTCTTGTGTGAACCTAAATCTGAGCTAAAGGTGCCTGTAGAAATGCCTGTAGATTTAGGGGCAACTTTGATAAGATGCAACATTTTCAGTGCCATGTTTTATTGCAGAAAGAAAATTTTCGTTTGTTTGTACAAGAATATAACTACCTTAATTTGCTTCTCAACAGGTGGAAATTGAAGACAGGACTAAAGGCACCATGAAAGAAACTGAAATAAAAAGACTGCTGTCTGCCAATGTTATCTGTATATTCTCCATTATTGTAGCAACTGTCACTCCTTCTCTGTTTTTGGAAAACTTCTCAATCTTGGGAACACACCTGACTTGGTTATCCATCTGTTCAGCAAGTGTCGGCACTGTAAATATAGTCTTGTATTTCATTCTTAAACCAAATCCATCTAATAGAAGAACTTCACTTGCCCATAAGGTAAGTTTTAATCTTGGTAAAACATAATGTTTGGAATGTCATATAATAGTAACACTTAGTACCTTTTACATCTTTTAAATATGCATCTCATACATTTTTTGTTGCAGTCCTTCAGACAGTCCTGTAGGGTATGCCAGATGGGAGAGTAGAGCTTTAGTTCCAGCTACCTGATAAGTTCATGGCTGAGATCAGATTTTGAACTGAGTACTTCTGGGGAATCTTTTTGGCTTTGCAAGCCTAAGCTCATGGGCCAAATTTGACAGATGGACAGACATCAGGTGATTGGGCACTTTGAAGTCCCAAAGTTAGGACTCTGACAAGGTTAGGACAACACAAGGCTCTTTGCTTCATGGTCCTAATCTTAGGTCTAGGACTACAGTGATAATATTTGATATTTTTTACTCCCGTGTTGCATTCTTTGACTTTTCAGTTATCAAAAAGGTTAGAGATCTAGGGCAGGCATAGGCAAACTCGGCCCTCTAGATGTTTTGGGACTACAACTCCCATCATCCCTAGCTAACAGGAGCAGTGGTCAGGGATGATGGGAATTGTAGTCCCAAAACATCTGGAGGGCTGAGTTTGCCTATGCCTGATCTAAGGCTAGGGCCAATCCCTGTTTGATCTCAATAATTTCCATTCTCCCCTGTGTGGTTTTTGCTGATGTGTGTTCCATTTGACTTCACTGGCACATGCCTGTTTGCAAAATGAACAAAAGTAGTTGCTGTGCATCTTCATAGAATTCATAGAATCATACAGTTGGAACGGATCCCAAAGGGACATCTAGTCTAATCCCATGCAATGCAGGAATCTTAACTAAAGCATCCATGACAGATGGTCATCCAATCTCTGCTTAAAAAACCTCCAAGGAAGGAGAGTCCACAACCTCCCAAGGGAATTTGTTCTACTGTTGAACAGCTTTTACTGTTAGAAAGTTCTTCCTGATGTTGAGTCGGGATCTCCTTTCATGTAGCTTGAATTCATTGGTTTGTGTCCTATCTTCCAGAGCAGGAGAACACAAGCTTGCTCCATCTTTCATGTGGCAGCCCTTTCGATATCTGAAGGTGACTCTCATGTCTCCTCTCAGTCTCCTCTTTTCCAGGCGAAACATACCCAACTCCCTCAACTGTTCCTCATAGGGCTTGGTTTCCAGACCCTTGATAATCTTGGTCGCTCTCCTCTGAACATGTTTTGGCTTGTCAGTATCATTCTTAAATTGTGGTGCCCAGAAAGCGTTCTCATCTAACTAAGTTCTATTCAGGCAAGACCCACTGAAATTAACGGACATAACTAGCAGGACCAGTTGGGAGTTATTGAACCTAAATTAGTCACACCCATTAATTCCAGTGGATCTAACCTGAGCAGAACTTGGCTGAATGCAGCCAGATGTCAACAATACTACAAGGCTTAAGCACATGCAGCTGAAACAGCTGGGTTTTGTTTACCCCTGCTTCTCCCTCCTATGTTGTTGTGCCCTGTGTCAAATTTTAGATTGTAAACTTCTTGGGGGAGGGACCTGTCCTCCCCTGCTTGTATAAAGTGTCATGTGCGCCATGGGCACTATATAATTTTTCTTTCTTTCTTTCTTTCAAAGGTGGCAAGGTTTCTAAGATGCTGTGTATACTTCTTCATGTCTTGCATCCTATTTCATGGAATAATTGTTCTTTATGGAGCACCACTGATAGAGTAAGTTGCTTTATACAAAACACACACATCATAAATCACAAAGCCAAATGTCCTGTACTGTACTGAGTCATTTGGACCCAGGTCTGCCCAAGTTTGCATACTTCGTAGTAGACCCAGGCGTTTGCTTGGAGTATTGTGTAGTGGCCTGGTCACCTCTCCTTAAAAAGGAATTTGTAGAGTTGGAAAGGTTCAGAAAAAGGCCAACAAAATGGTCGAGGGGATGGAGCAACTCCCCTAGGTGGAAAGGCTGCAGCGTTTGGGACTTCTTAGTTTTGGAAATAGGGGAGTTAGAGGCTACATTATAGAGGTGTTCAAAATTATGCCTGGTGTGGAGAAAGTGGATAAGAGGAAAGCCCGCCCCCCTTCTCATAACACTAAATTTTGTGGACACCCAGTGAAACAGAATGTTGGAAAATTCAGGACAAACGAGCGGAAGTACTTCAGACAGCACATAATTAGACTATGGAATTTGGCCACCAGCTTGGAAGGATTAGACAAATGCATGGAAGACAATGCCACCAGTGGCAACTAACCATAATGGCTATGTTCCATCTGCACCGGCAGAAGCAATATGCCTATGAATACCAGTTGCTGGAAACTGAAGGAGAGCAAAATACTCTTGTGCTGAGTTCCTCTCATTGACCACTGTGGGAACAGGATGCTGGACTAGGTGGATCCTTGGCCTGATCCAGCACAGCTGATCTTATGAGTGGGTGACGATGCCTCTTGCTTGTATGGATGAATGTGTGTGTGTTTGTCTATAGTGTCCTTTGTAAAGGTAAAAGAAACACTTGTTACTCTGCCTGCTTTTGGCTCTGGACCCAATCACTACTATAGTCCCTGGAAGGTGGTCCATGATGGAGTGTGGTCCTCTGTCTATTACAGAACTTAGGGAAATTGAAATCCACATTGAAGTATCCTTTCTGTTGAGTTTGCCAAGGCAGACCTTGGAGGAGAGCTTCACTGACCCATATGCTGTTGCCTCCCTTTTTTCCAGGTCAGTACTGGAGACCTTCCTATTTGCAGTTCTTCTGTCCACATTTACTACATTGCACTGCTTGTGTTTGCTGGGGCCAAACATCCACATGTGGCTCAGGGTGTTCAGTAAAAATGGGTAAGTTGCATGCAGTATCCTAATTTTACTATTTTCCTCCATAGATTTTATTAAAGCTTAAAAGAAGATATACAGTCATACCTCATGTTGCGTCCACTTCAGGTTGCATTTTTTTGGGTTGTGGACTGCCGAAATCCGGAACGGGTTACTTCTAGGTTTTGGCAGTCGCGCATGCGCAGAAGCACTAAATCGCGCTTTGCGCATGTGCAGACACACAGAAGCGGGTTGCAAACGCTGCGGGTTGCGAATGTGCATCCCGCACGGATCACGTTCACAACCCGAGCGTCCACTGTACAAAGATTAATATAAAATACAACATATCTTTTGTAACACAAAAAAATAAAAAAGTCAATCTAAGTAAAAACAAAGAAAGAGAAAGGGGGGAAATAGGGCTTTTGATTCTTTGACTATCAGCCATTTAAAAAAAACATTCAAAACATTCACTCCAAGGTAACCCCCAACTATTCTACTTTCTATAAAACAGTGTTTTCTTTAGTCCTAAAACACAGATATCACAAGTTCGCTTTCTTTTTCGTGCAAAAATTCCATAATGGGTTTCTAGTCAATAATAAATATCAACAATGATTTTTCTCTAATTAAACATGTCAACTTCTCCATGTCAGCCAAGCCCATTAATTTCAGCAACCATTCCCCCATAGTAGGTAATGATAAATCTTTCCATCTTTGTGCATATAAACGTCTCACCACTGTAATCATTTAATGAAATAATCTTCCATAATCCTTTTCTAATTGTATATCCATTGGTCCTAAAAGGAAAAGTTCTGGATTCAGCCGAAATCTTCTGTAATCTTCTGTATGATTTGTATCCAATATTTCTTAGCTTTTTCATGTGTCCACCAAGCATGGTAAAATCTCCCTTCATATTTTTCACACTTCCAGCAAACATTTGGAATGCCTTTATACGTTCTGAATAATTTCACAGGAGTTAAATACCAATGAGCAGTTTCCTAATTTTGCATTACCACTAGTGTATTTCTCTTATATTTAGGAAACTCTACTAAATCCAATTAAATACTAAGATTAAAACAAGCTAAGTGTAGCTAACATCTCTTAAACACCCAATCATTATCCTCAAAGCAATCTTGTATGATTATAACCTTCTGAAGAAAGGACCACATGTGAACGCGTGGAAAAGGCACAGCAGATTATTCACCAAGGGCGGTCGGTTTCGTAAAAACAGTGTCTAAATTTATTAAAACATCCATTGCTGGATTTTTTTGTTGTTTGGAAAACTGGAGAAATGTGGTACATGTTAGTTTGAAAACTCATTTTGAGCAGGGATGGGGAGCTTGAAACATTTAAATAGAAATTCAAGGATTGGAATCAAACCGGAAAGTGTGAGATCAAGCTTGCTTTTCTCACAGTTTGCCTTGTTTCCTTTACGTTCTTCTGTGTGTGTATTGACGTGGATAAAAGGGAGTCCTTGCATCCCTGAAGGCCAAAACATGAAAGGGCTGTAATTATTGCTAAAATTATCACATCGTTTTGGAAAGCTAGACTTACTATTGAGCTGAATCAGGCAGCACGTCGCAGTCTTGCGATCAGTGATATTTCTGATAGGAACCTGCCACATACCAAGTCAGACCAGGGGTTCATCTCGCTCAGTACTGCCTTCACTGGCCGGCAGCAGCTCTCTGGGGTTTCAGACAAGGGTTTCTCCTAGGCCTGCCTTGAGATGCCAAGGATTGAACCTGGGACCATCTGCATACAAATCGGGTACTCTACCACTGACCTACAGCCTTTCCTCCTTAGATGTGATCCACTGAGCCTGCTTTATTTTGTGCCTGTGCTTATTCTATTGTTAATTGTTGTTGTTGTTTAGTCGTGTCCGACTCTTTGTGACCCTGTGGACCAGAGCACGCCAGGCACTCCTGTCTTCCACTGCCTCCCGCAGTTTGGTCAAACTCTTGCTGGTAGCTTCGAGAACACTGTCCAACCATCTCGTCCTCTGTCGTCCCCTTCTCCTTGTGCCCTCCATCTTTCCCAACATCTAGGGAGTCTTCTCTTCTCATGAGGTGGCCAAAGTATTGGAGCCTCAGCTTCAGGATCTGTTCTTCCAGTGAGCACCCAGGGCTGATTTCCTTCAGAATGGATAGGTTTGATCTTCTTGCAGTCCATGGGACTCTCAAGAGTCTCCTCCAGCCCCATAATTCAAAAGCATCAATTCTTCGGCAATCAGCCTTCTTTATGGTCCAGCTCTCACTTCCATACATCACTACTTCTCTATTCTTAATAGGGAGATGCGAACAGAGACAGACCCTGTATCACTTTAGCATGGGATTTCAACCTCTCTTTCTTACTTTTAAAGTGGTAAATAGCAACAAGAAAGCAGTTCTCACCCCTACCCCAATGCCTTGACACTTTTGGTGAATGTTTAGCTTTATTTTCTGGATCTTGTGTGCTCTTTAAGAAAGGCGGGGGGGGGGGAGTAAATTGATGCAGTCTGAAAAGTCTGTTGGGTCTGGTTATTGCCTGAATGCTTATTGCCTGGGAACTACATCTGTGCCACCTTGGGGTTCAAGATGGAAGTAAGGCAGGCTACAAATACAAGGAAATAACAGGTTATTATTTTGCTGAAGGATTCCATCTATTACATTTGAATAGGGTTTCAATATTGGCATGGAAAAGAGACTGGAAGAAATGTTTTTAGAAAAGATTTCAGACTGCTTTGGTCGCATGGCTGATCAGGTGGAAAGAGGGACTGAACACAAGCGTGCCGGTTTTGTTGTTGATGTTCTTGTTGTTTTAAATTACACCCTGCTTAAACTGACCCCATCAGACTTTCCAGTAGCTTAGGACAAAAAATACAATAAAAACCTGTCCCCAGACAATTTGAAATCCTATCTTGCAAACCTTTTTTATCCCTCCTTCCTGAGTTCTGAAGGCCTTTGCAAAACAGGGAAGTTTTCATGCTAAGGTGGGGGGGTGGGGTATGCTGCCAGTGGGCCCGGATCCTTATGTCCCCACACTGTGCGTGAGTCACATTTGACAGGTGAGTGGAGCCACCCACTTGCCAATTGCCTGATATCACAATGACATCAGGTGGCCGGCTTTCAGCCCCACACTTTGAAATCAAACTCTGCAGGCAAAGGCACAACCCACAGGATGCTGACAATCGACTCATTGTTAGGCCTTGCCAAGCCCTGGGGTGTACCACTCTGCAAAATCTGACAATCATCTGGCTGCCGGAGTCTCTAAAAAGCCAGGCAGACAGTGCTTTGCAGGCACCACTGGTCACCTGATTGGCGGCTCCTGCCAGTCCCCTTTCAGCTCAGCCATGTCTTCATCTGCCCCACACCTAATACCGCATATGACATCACATGTAGAGAAAGTGGGCATAGCTTGTTCTCCCAGTTCAAAAGGGGGGGCACAGGCCTGTTGCCCCTCTGCTGCTCTAGGGCGTCAGAAAAAATTCCAGTTCACGCTGAAAATTTGCCCTAAGCGATTTCCCCCATTCCTTATTAAAATTTTGGTCTTCCTGATTTAAAACTTATCTTAAAGACCATTGTAAACAGTTAAAATTGTTAGTAGGATTGGAATATCACTTGTAGTTTAATGGTGGATTCTGGACACAACGGAGATGTAAAAGATTTGGATCATCATAAAAGATGCAGGAGGAATTACTAATAAAAGGACTCACAAAGGAGAGGATGGAAGCCCAGGAGATTCCTTGGTTTCTTGTTTTTATTATTTATGTTTGATATGTAACTGTCAAAATTTTATCTGAAAAACCAAAGAAATATTTTTTTGGGAAAAAGAAAGAAAGAAAATTTGCCCTAAGCAAATTTACATGGGATAATTTTCCAGAAAATGTTCCACTTCAGAATTTTCTAGGAAACTCCCATCACTGGCTGCTTAACCTTTCCCTCCTGCTATGGATCTCCCGCCCCCACCCCCAACCTCTCCTTGAAGCGCTTGCTTTGGATTAGGCGAACTGCCTGAGGAGAAGGAATCATCTCTGTCTGCTCCTACAGCTGCTCTGATAAAATCTGGAGGTTCCCCGCCACACTGCCCCGCCTGGCAGCTGCATTAGAGTGGTGAGATATTCCCCTTGTCTCCCGCCTCACACGTGGTTTGGTCCTGTCAAAATCACTGTTAACAAGTGCTTTTGTTAACAAGTCATCTGTCATCTCAAGAAACGCTAGCAGAAGGCTCTTCTGTGACAGAAGGAGTGCAACAACTACTTTCTGATTTCTCCTCCCCCCCCCCCCCAGCTCTAACGTTGCTATGGCTCAGCTCTGTCATTAGGCACTGCTTTTGGAAAAACTGAAGGTAATGGCAAATGGTGTTATTGTGTAATTTTGGTTTGGCTCTGAGATGACTCTGGTAGAATCTCTCCAGGTAAGGAAAAATTGCTCGAATAAATATTGTGTCATTTAAAATATAGGAATATTCAAATCAACAGCAGAATAGTATTATAGCTATATGCCTAAAAATAAAACTTCCCACAATGGCAAAGGCAGGCATTTTAAAAACACTTAATGTTTAGTTGGTTGCAGGACACCCATATCAAATAACAAAGACCCTCAACTCTCCCATGGCAGAAGATGCAACGTATAAGTCATTGTGCATAGCCTCTACTATCTTCAAAGTGAAGACCGCTTAGCAATAGACTTGACTGTGTCTTTAGAGGGAAGTTAGCTGGAAATTAACTTGCAGATACAAGGTGCTACAAGAGCAGTAGGGCAGGGACCTACCTACCACTGAAAGCTCTGAGATAGGAACTGTGTTACTAAAGGCAACCAGAAATAATACCTTGTACCTGACTTGGTGCAAGGCATGCTCATGTTTCCAGCAAGTCAATACATGGTTGTGATTATTTGGTGTCTGAAAATGTTAACAAAGGTTAACATTTGGTCTCCCAGCCCAGTCTAGGGAGATAATTTAACTTACATTGTATTTCTTCCCCCCTCTGATTCTAGTGACCCCAGCTTACTCTGTTCACTGAGTCTCTTAGAACTTATTTTGGGTGAAGGTGACTCTGCGCTTCTGCCTCTCTGCATAGATCTTTGCCCATTGCATACATAGCCCCATCTCTATTCCCTGGACATGTTAGAGTGTGACATTAGTGAGGCTCAAGAGTCCCACTTTGCACATAATGGTAAACTATGGTTTAAAGTTACGAGGGTGAGGATCGTGTGCTGGCCCTTGCCCCCCTCTGGTGCAGCTGCCAAGAAGAGCTTGGATGCTTCCGTTTCTGATTTAGATTAGCCAGTTTAGTGTTGTGTCCTGACTCTACACTGTCATTAGTGAAAACAAGCAAGCTTCATAAAGCACGGTTTGAAGTTGGCTTGTTTTCTGTAACCGTAGTTAAGATTAACCATAATTTGTCCAGCTTCAGATAGCATGACAAGTTCTGGTTCGTTTAAAACAGAAGCAAAAGTGTCTGCAAAACTCTTGGCCGTTCCAAAGAAGGAAAGGAGGAGCAGGAACTGGAACCCAGAAATTAGTTTGTATATATTATTTTGTTGTACATTTATGTAAGAGTTGGCATTATACTGAGGTAGCATTCTACTATATTAAATCTAATTATCCCAAGATATTTAGTGTTTCACTGACAGTCTTCGACTTAAACTGATTTTTGTTTTCTTTGCAAAAAAATAAAATATTTCTTGGGTTGTATTCAACAAAGTCATCCCATAAACTTCCATTTCCTGTGTAACCCCTCTCTGCACCAGTAGGTTGGGGGAGACCTCAGAACAGATTGGGTCAGGGCAGGGAGAGGAGAGGAAGGAGACGTCCATTGTGCAGGTGAAAGTCCTTTTGCTAATGGAACACCTGTTGGAGCACAACCCATTACCTTTAATTCCCACTGCCCCCTTAAAAGTCTATAATGTTTCGGTGGCAACTAATAGTTGGGGAGTGAAATGATTTTGCGGTGTTCTTTTTAATGCATTCTGAAAAACAGTCAATTTGGAAACTCCCTATTAAGCATAAAAAGGCATTGGCCGGAACATGCTGAACAATCTGAATTCTCTGTTCCCCAGCCAGCAATATGGGCATTTTGTTGGAAGTCTCTAGTGGATGAACTATTCAGTCAATTGAGCATTTGGATTTGGCCTGTTGGGACATACGCTGGTGTACTAAAGCACTCTGTCTTAATGTGCACCCACCCATGTCATCCCAATTCAGCATGACCACCACTTTAAGGGCAAAAATGGCGAGGTTTTCCTTAAACATTTGCACATTTGGCGTGAACTCAGTAAGGCTCCATGACTGGTGATGCTGGCACATGTTTGCAGGTGCAAAAATGGATTTCCCTGCCTCTCCAAGTGATAAGCTTGGGCAGCATGGAGTGAGGAAGGGGTGGTGATGGTGGAAGTAGATGGGCTGATTAGTCAACGACCCAAGTTTCTGTATCTGGGTACCTTTTGTCTCCTTACACTGATTTTTTATATGTAGAATTCAGGTGCTACTGGGATAAGTCTTAAGGGGAGATAACTCTAATGGATGATGCAGAGAAACTGGGGTTTTTCTCATTGGAAGCTGCCTTATGCCATATGCCAAGTCATCTTTGGCCAGTCTAGCTTACTCTGCATAATCTGACTGGCAGTGGTTCTCCAGGGTTTTCAGCAAGGAGTCTTTCCTAGGCCAAAGATTGACCCTGCAATCTTTTGCCTGCCACGTATGTGCTCTGCATCTGAGTTCTAACTCTTCTAATTCTTACTCTTTTATGGGATGAGAAAGCAGAGGGAAAGCCCAACGGTGGTGGGGTATGTACTGGGTACCTGTGTTGTGGACTCAGACCCTACTGTTGTCTTAGGTAAGTTACTTCCTTCACCAGTGTTGAAGCAAGGATTCTTCAACATCAACTTCGTTGGACTGGTCAGGTTGTGCAGATGCCTGATGATCGTCTTCCAAAGCAATTACTCTATTCCAAACTTAAAAATGGAAAGCGTAATGCTGGTGGTCAACAAAAGAGGTTCAAAGACTCTCTCAAGGCAAATCTTAAAAAATGATAGTATAAACACCGACAACTGGGAAACACTGGTCTGCGAGTGCTCCAGTTGGAGAACAGCCTTTACCAAAGGTGTCATGAGCTTTGAAGACACTCGAACTCAGGACGAAAGGGAGAAACGTGCTAGGAGGAAGGCACGCTTGGCAAATCCACACAGTGATCAACTCCCGCCAATGTCCCCACTGTGGAAGGACAAGCGGATCCACGATTGGCCTCCACAGTCACTTATGGACTCATTGTTAAAACTGTGTTTATGGAAGACAATCTTATTCGGCTACGAGTGATCCCCAAAGATTTCCTTCCATCTGGTCCAGCTTTCTGCTTCCAACGTTACCTATTCAAGCATTGACCAAAGGCGATCTCACTTCCCCTGTGGTTTGTCCAAGAGCACCTCTTGTTGAGAGGTATGCTGCCTTTGAATCTGAAGCTTCCATTTCTCTATCATGGGGAACGTACAGTCAGAAGGGACCTCAAGGGTCCTCTCGTCCAACCCCCTGCAGTGGAGGAATCGCAGCTAAGAATGGGCAGAGCAGGTAGGAAGAGCTGCCTGCTATCAGGGTGGAGCTGAGAGAAGGTATTATGGCAGGGATCCCCAAAGGGGATTACTGACTCTGTCATTTGCCATGCTGGCTGGTGGATGTTGCTGTCCCAATAGTGTCTGCAGGGCACCATGTTGGGGGTGGTTTGGTAGTGTGGAAAGGACATTTTGCACACATACTCCATGTCATCGGAGTCGCCAGCTGTCCCAGGGAACTCAAACGTTTAAAAATAAACCCCCACCCTTTTTTTTGCAGGGGGTGCATGGAGTGTGCACAGAGAATGCTAAGAGTTTTCATTGTTTGGTGCAATCTTTCTAAGTGTGTTGTGCACGCACACAAAGAGAATTATATATAAATAAACCACATCCTGTGCTTTAAATAATTGCTCCCCACGGCTCCTGTCTCCTGTAGTTCTGTCTGCGAGGAACAAGACGCCTTCGGCTCGCCACTCCTGGACTTTGCTTTGTGCTCTGACATCTCTGTATTGTAACCGGTGTCACTAAGCTAATGGCCAGCTGTCACAAGCCCAGAGCGGGGAAGAAATGCTGCGAAGAGATTGTCAGGGCTGATGGAGGCAGGAGAGGAAACCTCTTTGGAAAACTGCTCAAGCATTGTTGGGGAAAATAGCAGGCTGCACAAAAAGCCCTTGCTTGTCTTACAGACAATTGGCGATTTTGTTACTGCTGCTATTTGAATCCTTCTTTGCCTTTCTCACCTCTTACCTCCCTCCAACCCCCTGCCCGGGCTAGCTGCTCACTTTTTAAAAAAATAATTATTTATTTTTATCTTTTTAAGAAAGGAATACATCAAAGAAAAGGCACAGCTGCTCCAACCCCATTTAAAGAAACCCCCCTTTCCCCATGGTGACCCAGGAGGCATGACTCAAAGCAATAAACGCTTACCTAGCAGGCAGACTTATAGTGGGTTCCACTAGGATGAGCGGTTTAGGAGGCAGTGGATCTCTGGCTCAGCCTGCTGATTCCCAACTCATCCGGTGTTAAGTCCCCAACTCCTTCTTGGTCAAAGATAAGGCTGCATAACTTGCTCATCCCAACTCAGCTGTCACTCAGTCAGCTTAGCTGAACCATAGTTGACCATTGCTGATCGTCAAATTTCCAACCCTTCGTCTCCCTCCTGTGCCTTTTAAAATCCCAGTACCGTATTTTTCGCCCTATAGGACGCAAAGGCCCATAGGACGCACCTAGTTTTTTGGAGGGGAAATAAAGAAAAAAAAATTATTCCCCCCCCCAGCCGCGGGGCTGGGGCGGGGGAAGCCCAAGCTTTTAAACACGCACCTACCGTAGTTTTTAGAGGAGAAAAACAAGAGCAACAGGCTCCCTAGGCTGCGGATGTCTGCCCGGCACGTGGGGCGCTCTGCTTCAGGGCTCTCTGCGTGCCGGGCGGCAGGCTGCTATCCGCAGCCTAGGGAGCCCTGCGGGAACTCCCGCGGGCTCCCCAGGCTTGCTGATAGCTTCCTGAAGCCTGGAGAGCGAGAGGAGGGGTTGGTGCGCACCGACCCCTCTCGCTCTCCAAGCTTCAGCGAAAGCCTGCATTCGCCCCATAGGACGCACACAGATTTCCCCTTCATTTTTGGAGGGGAAAAAGTGCGTCCTATAGGGCGAAAAATACGGTAAGTCTCCCCTGTCCCAATTCAGCAATATTGTGTGGAGGTGAGAGACTATGCTCGGTGCTTGCCTTGCGTTTCCAAAAGGGCATTTAGTTGCATCGTTGGTGCCAGGTGTGCTTGTGCAAACTAGTCTGGGATCCTAAATCTGTACTATCTCTTGCTTCTCTGTGAGATGTATTTCTTTTTACATTTCTTCATTTCTCTTTTTTTGTCCTTAGGGTCTTTTGTAGTATTTCTTTGCCTCCCTGTAATTATGGTCTAGTTTGCAGTGAAGTGGTAAATCTGTGTCTGGGCTCTCTCCCTCCAGACTGCAGGGGAGGACTTGCATGACTGGCTGCTCCTTGAGCCAAAAATAAAAATAAAAATGAGGAAAGTGGAGTGCTTGCCCTTGCTTCTCCTTGGCATGGGGAATGGGCACAGTGTCTGCTTTGCATGTCGATGGTCTTGGGGTCAATCCCTGGCATCACCAGATAAGACTGGGAATGTCTGCGCTCTGAAACCCTGGAGAGTTGTTGCCTCTCAGCCCAGACAGTACGGATCAGGGGTCTGTATATGACAGCTTCCTAGGGCCAGCTTTTCAACACAACTTTTTGGTTCCTGAAATTCATTCTGATTGTGCAGATAAAATATAACAGATAGAATTCTACAGGATGTGTTGCTGGTGTGTGAAAACAGTTCAGATCCAATGATCTCCAGGTGGTGGAGACATCAGGTGCCATCCTGGCTTTTGGGCATCTTCACTTGGTCGCAAGCGACTGACAGACAGGTGCAAAATGCGCCTGGCAAATTTTGAATGCTGTTCCCAGGGAACTGGTGAATTGTAGCTCTGTGAGGGGAATAGTAAAGGTAAAGAGACCCCTGACCATTAAGGTCCAATCGTGGCCGACTCTGGGGTTGCGGCGCTCATCTCGCTTTATTGGCCGAGGAAGCCGGCATACAGCTTCCGGGTCATGTGGCCAGCATGACTAAGCCACTTCTGGCGAACCAGAGCGCCACGAAACGCCGCCATCTTTCCGCCGAGCGTACCTATTGTCTACTTCACGCAAATAGCATCGGCATTGCCGCTGATTCGACCACTGATCAGCGAAATCGGCCTGTGGCAACCCATGCTCACCCTGAAATACACATAGCTCATATTTCGGGAGAAAGCCACAGCTGTCTGAAGACTAGTGCCAAGGTATTGCCTAGATCGCGTGACTCAGAGGCTGCATCACTGATTGATCTACGAGTCACACTTTCATTGCTGTTAAACCCAGGCCTTCTGCTTCCCAGTGCCGGGTGATTCACAATGACTTCAGGATTTCTTTCCTGAGTGGCAATTGCTAATTCAGAGGCTAAAACTTGGGGTGGGGAATCTGTGTATGTATTTTGTGTGTCTTCCCTGCCGTCCCATTACCACCTGGAGTATCATCTGCTGTTTCTTTGCCCACACTCTGTGTTATGAAAGCTTTCTGCAGCTCCTCGCAATCTGTTGTGGATTTTTAGCCGTTGTGATTTGTTTCTGTGTCATCTGCACATTTAGCTGCCTTGACACTTTTTTGCAGCTCGGATCCTCAGACTGTTGTTGCTAGTTCCCTCCATTACAGAAATTGACCATATGTAACACACACACACAGAGAGAATGTGCTTTGGCCAGTTGTCTAGTCATGAAAAAGGTGCATAAACCTAAGCAAGCAATAAGTATTTCAGGACCTGAGCTATAAATGCTGCAAGGCTTTTGCAGTGTACGTCTGACGTATAAAAAAATAACAATGAGGCGTTTTGCTTAGGTTGCTTCTCTCTCTTCCTTGGCCAAAGTCGGTTGTTAGCGCAGATACCATGTCTAAGCAAAGCCTCTAATGCGATAAATTCAGCTACAGACTAAGCAGGAGATATTCTCTTGCCGTCTGCGCAGAAGTGTTTGTTTATGCTGGAGCTGATTTTGCAGGCGCCGCTGTACTTAAGGAATTTGAAATGTTATGCCAGCCTGGTGATTTGGGCTGATTTTGTGTCTGCCGTGAATGCTTTTGAGCTAGGATAAAAGTTGGATCTTCCCTCTTTCTGTGCATACAGCCTGGGTAATAATGTTGCAACCAGATGGCAAAGTGTCTGTAAACACTGAGCGCTGAAGGCTCCAACGATGCCCTTTCTGTGACAGCTAAAAGTCATTGTGGTTACTTTTATTTACTACTTTAAAATTGGTACAAGCTGGATTAAAGAGCCTTCTAAGGATATCTATCGCCCTGTGTTTTCAGACATAGGAACATAGGAAGTTGCCTTATACCTAGTCAGACTATTGATCCAACTAGCTCAATATTGTCTTCACTGGCTGTCAGTAGGTCTCCAGGGTTTTGGACATTTTCATCCCCAACCTGGAGATGCTCAGGATTGAGCCAGGCAACTTGTGCTTGCAGAGCTGATGCTGTGCTTCTGAGCTATGTGTGGTGTAGTGGTTAAGAGCAGTAGTCTCCTAATCTGGGGAACCGGGTTCACGTCTTCGCTCCTCCACATGCAGCTGCTGGGTGACCTTGGGCCAGTCACACTTCTCTGAAGTCTCTCAGCCCCACTCACTCACAGAGTGTTTGTTGTGGGGGAGGAAGGGAAAAGAGAATGTTAGCCGCTTTGAGACACCTTCGGGTAGTGATAAAGTGGGATATCAAATCCAAACTCTTCTTCTTCTTCTGTGGCCCTCCCCCAAATTGGTATCTGCAGTCGACGGTTTACGGTGTTCCCTAAGAGATGTGTCCAAAACATTGGCTGTCTAAAGTGTAGCTCATTCCCTATGTTACATTTCTGTGTGCATAGACATGTGCACTCATCTGTGAATTATGTGCTTAAAAATAAAATGTCGTTTCCTTCCCATTTCTTGCAAAATGCCCATAGTTGGAAACAGATATATAATTTTTTTTTAAAAAAACCCCAAGCATGATTGAAAACAATATTATACCAAAATGGACAGGAGCAGTAAATAAAACCTCTGGAGCTGCAGTCAAGCGTCGGTCAGCAATAAAAGAAACACATGTTAATTCTTTATTCAAGGAACCAAAACAGTGCAGGCCTAGTGATCCCATCAACTCTTTCCAGGAGGTCTTGCTCCAACAAGGCAGTTGTGAGAAGTTCCCCATCTTCCCACTACAGTGCTACCTCAGGTTAAGAACTTAATTCGTTCTGGAGGTCCGTTCTTAACCTGAAACTGTTCTTAACCTGAAGCACCACTTTAGCTAATGGGGCTCCTGCTGCCGCCGCGCAATTTCTGTTCTCATCCTGAAGCAAAGTTCTTAACCCAAGGTACTATTTCTGGGTTAGCAGAGTCTGTAACCTGAAGCGTCTGTAACCCGAGGTATCACTGTACTTCCTGAGACTCCTCCTTTCCAGGGTCTTTCCCAAGCAGTCGCAAACTGCACCTGCACACAACCTCCCTCTGCTCTGTCCTCTTCAATTCTCTGCATGTTTTAGGAGACCCAGAAAGAAGGGAGCTGGTCGCAGCAGGAGGGGGAGACTTCGTGGCATTTCCAGCAGCCGGCCTCTCTGTCTTCTGGCCCTCCTCCTCTTCTGCCCCAGAGTCTGAACTGCCCTCTACCACCGTCTCTTCCTGCCCACCAAACCCTGTTCCCTTTTCTGCTTCCGACACCACCTCCTCCCAGTCTGCTCCCTCCTCTCCCTCTGGCCACTCATGGTAATCCCACCACCAGTCTCCTGGCTCTGAGCCATCTTTCGCTGGGGGTTCCCTTGGGGGGGGGGGTTCCCCAGCTGGTACCTCCCACCATTCCTCTGCATCCAAGCAAATCCATGACAGGAACTGAGGGAGCTAGGAGGGGAAATGATCAAGAACTGCAGAAACCATAGGCCAGCCAGAACCCAAAAGTTTTTAACCAGCAGGCAGGGGTCCAAATGGGGACATGCAGTTCGATGGATCAAGGGCCGCAACAGAGAAGGCTGTTTCATGTGTTCCCACCACCCACATTTCAGTGTGCAATGTGCAAAAGAGCTTTGCCAACTGATTGGAGATAATCGGCAGGATATTTCGGGGGCGCTGGTCCATTTTTGCAAATGATCCGGCTTCGGGTGCTAGGATTGAAGAGTGCATTGCATTTCCATATGTCAGGCAGGGAAGGAGAATCCTGTGGCTCTCCAGCTCTTGTTGGACTCTAACTCCCATTGGCTCTGCTGGCTGAGCCTGATGGGAGGTGGAGTCCGCCAACATGTGGATGGTCACAGGATCCCGCTGTCAAGCAAAGAGGTTGCAGAATGTCAGTTTAGAATGGGATGCCATTGCATGAGACACCATGCACCTTTGTCAGCGCCCTCTAGATAGCTGACAACTTGCAAACCTTCTCTCATCCCCCCCCCCCCAATCCTATGGTTACATAAGCAGCAATTTTCTCAGCGGGGGCGGAAAGAAACCAAACCAATTTTAAGTGAAATCCGATTCCCTATGTAAGTAAACGTAAATCTCATCAGACTCGTGTGGATAGACATCTGGGTCTAGCTCCAGGAAGTGGCAGTCCCTTGTGGTTCTTGCGCATAAGTCTCTATCAGGACTTGGGCGACAACAATGCAAGGATCTTGATTTACACCTAATTAAATGTCAACGATTTGAATTAGATTTCCCTCCAATGTGACTAGAATTCCTCAGCCAGGAGCCTTTGATACCCCGCTGAACTTAATTAAAAAGTTTGCACAGTGGGAGGAATGGCAGCATGTGAATAGTGAATCACGAGGGTTCGGAAAAGCCCCTGGTGCCACACGGAGTCCCAGAAGGGTACCAATGCTGGTGAAATTTTATTGTTACTTTGCTGAAAGGGGTGAGGCTTTGCCCCCTTGATTTGATCTGCAGTTCGCTCAGCCCACATCCCACTATACAGAGTTGCCCCTAGGCAGTTTCAGCTGTGGGGCTTTCTGGACTCTAACCATCTGATGAGCTTTCTGTACTGCTTTGCAGGTGAGGCAGAGGCAAATGTGCTCAGCCAATATTTATGTATTTTTAAAACCTATATCCCGCTTTTCACCACCTGAGTCTCAAAGCAGCTTACAACAGACCCTCCAAGTGTCCCTGTTTTCCAGGGACAGTCGCAGATTTACAGAAGCCATCCCGGTTTCTGATTTGATTCCAGAATGTCCCAGTTTTCCTTAGGACTTCCCTATCTTCATCAGGGAAATGTTGGAGGGTATGGAGTTATGTGACCCCCTGAGCCAAGGAGATCAGTAACTATGCAACCTTTAGAAAACATCCGAAGGCAGCCCTGTGTAGGAAGTTTTAAAAATGTTTTATTATGTTTTTATATCTGTTGCAAGCCGCGCAGAGTGACTGTGGCAACCCAGTCTGATGGGCGGCGTATAAGTAATAAAATTCTTTTTTATTATGGAATTGGACGTCCCTGTTTTCATCGGAGGAATGTTAGAGGGTATGCTTACAACATTAGGCATATACATTACAGTACAGTCATACCTTGGAAGTCGAATGGAATCTGTTCCGGAAGTCCGTTCAAATTCCAAAACGTTCAGAAACCAAAGCACGGCTTGTGATTGGCTGTGGGAAGCTCCTGCAGCCAATCAGAAGCCCCATCAGACGTTCAGCTTCCAAAATAATGTTTGAAAACCAGAGCACTCAATTCTGGTTTTCGATCGTTCAGGAGCCGAAACGCTCGACTCCCAAGGCATTCGGCAGCCGAGGTACGACTGTATACAAACTATTTTAAGCAGAAATTAAACATCAGAAATTTAAACAAAGAACTTCAGCGGTAATATTAAAGCCACTGATCTCTGTAGGTATTAGCAATGTTTAGGTTACAACCCTCAGTAGCTATATAAATCAACATTAACCAAGTAAAACTGTAGGCAAAACATATGTTCCAAATGCCTCTCAAAATGGCAGTGTTTTCATAAGCTGCTTTAAATGCAGTGAAGATGCAGCCTGGTGGGCCTTGAGAAAGAGAGCGAAATCCACAGTGTTGAGAGCACTGCTGAGAAGATAATCACTAAATGATTCCCCCCTTGGGCAAAGGATCCTTTAAGAAGTTCTACTGTGATTACTTTTATAATCAGGAAGACACTCACAGTATTCTTTAGTTATGTAGGATCCAGACAATGTCTGGCTTTAAAAGGAATTCACTTTAAACCCCATGGCTTGACATATAAGAGGGACCACTGGTAGTGTGTAAATCAAGTGTGACTGTTACTATTATTTTTTAGTACGTATGCCTGCAGTTTTGCAGCTTGACCCTGTACATTTCACTTAGCTGGTGGGACCTGCTTCCTAGTAAACATGTTTACTTGGATAGTACACTTGGACAGGTCAGCTGGTACAGCATGAGACTATATCTCTGGGTGATACGTTCGCGCCCCACATTGGGCGAACAGATTCCTGCATTGCAGGGGGTTGGACTAGATGACCCATGGGACCCCTTCCGTTTCTATAATTCTGCGACCCTTTCTTTGGGATTTGTGGGACACGGGTGGCACTGTGGGTTAAACCACAGAGCCTAGGACTTGCCGATTAGAAGGTTGGCGGTTCGAATCCCTGCGACGGGGTGAGCTCCCATTGCTCGGTCCCTGCTCCTGCCAACCTAGCAGTTCAAAAGCACGTCAAAGTGCAAGTAGATAAATAAGTACTGCTCCAGTGGGAAGCTAAACAGCGTTTCCGTGCGCTGCTCTGGTTCGCCAGAAGCGGCTTAGTCATGCTGGCCACATGAACCGGAAGCTGTACACCGGCTCCCTCGGCTAATAAAGCGAAATGAGTGCCGCAACCCCAGAGTCGGCCACAACTGAACCTAATGGTCAGGGGTCCCTTTACCCCTTTATCTTTGGGGTTGCAGCCTTGGCTAGACAGGTCCAATGCTGCGAATCATAGAATTGGAGAGTTGGAAGGGACCCCATGGGTCATCTATCCCCACCCCTTGCAATGCAGGAATCTCAACTAAAGCTTCCATGACGGATGGCTGTCAAACTTCTGCTTAAAAGCCTCCGAGGAAGGAGAGTCTGCAACCTCCCGAGGGAGTGCGTTCCACTGTTGGACAGCTCTTACTGCCAGAAAGTTTTTCCAGGTGTGTAGTTGGAATCTCCTTTCCTGTAACATGACCCTACGGAGCAGGAGAAACCACATTACTCTCTCTCCCACGCAACAGCCCTTTAGATGTTTGAAGGTGGCTATCGTCTCTCCTCTCAGTTTCCTCTTCCCCAGGCTAATGCATGCATCCCACCCCACCTCTAAAGTTACTGAGCTTTTTTTTGACATTTCTCCTCCAGGGCAATGTCCATCTGGGATAGCAGTCTACAGATTACCGCGATGTGCAGCGTGGTGGGGGCGTGGCTTGGAGCATTTCCTATTCCACTGGATTGGGATCGTCCATGGCAGGTTGGTTTCTTCATCTTATATGTGAATGAACATTGGCCGATCAGACCTCTAAGTCTTCCATGCCGTTTCCAAGAGCAGCCGTACCCCCTTTGAGAAACTTGGAAGCAGGGCATGAAGGTGGTGGCTTTCCCTGTTGCTATTCCACAAGCCCCTGCTGTATTCTGTCCCTGAACCTGGAGATTTACCTCTTTTGGAAAAATGGCCATTGATAGATTTATCCTCCAGGTCGCTTTGTTAATGGTCCAGGAATGTCATTGTTGGAGTTCAGTCCACGTGACCTCTCAGCGCTGCTCCCTTGATGTCTCAGGGGGGGCCACGTGTTTTTTCTGCCATCTGAGAACGTGGCCTGCACTGCTGCAGCTTCCCCCCATTAAAAGCACTTAACAAGATGCATCTGGAGCGGGCTATTGGCGCCAAATTGATCTGCAAAAGTGGCGTGGCCAAGCCCTGTGCCCGAAAACAATACTTTGCAGTTTTCGAAAAAACAGAGCCCTGGCAAGCTTTGCTGCTGGTGAGGAAAATGTGACGCTTGCAGGAAAGCTGTAAATGCAGCTGGCTGAGCGGCTACTGGCAATTGATGCCATTTTCAGAGTTGCATAACCCCTGCAGGTCAGTTCAAGAGGTTTCTGACTTTAAAACCAATCTAAAGCAGTTTCTTTCTCCTTTCGCAAGCGGAGGAGAGAGGGAATAGTCCGTGAAAATGGATGAACCTGTTCTCCCGGCTCCAACCACAGGGAAGGAATTTATTTTAGCCATATTGCAACTTAGATCTCTTAGTGGCATTAACGCAGACTTTATTTCAGATTAAAATAAACCTGAGCTGATTCTAATGTCTCCCTTTCTATGAATACATAAGCACAGTACACACACACACACACACACACCCAGACACCCTTCCAAGTGTAAAGGGCACACACAAGTATCTTTAGAAAATTCCAAAGTAGCTAGTAGAGAAGGATTGAGTTACTGCTTTCAAGTCTTTTAAAGAGGCCCAGGTCTAATTCTACACCTCCACACTCTTCACCCTTCCTAGGATGATGATGATGATGATGATAATTATTATTATTTATACCCCGCCCTCCCCAGCCAAGGCCGGGCTTAGGGCGGCTAACAACTAATAATAAAAACAAGTTGAATGAGTACAACTTAAAAACAAGATTAAAATACAACATTAAAATATTAAAAACATTAAAATGTAGCCTCATCACAGGAGGAGAAAGGAAAAAAGAAAGAGGGGGAGGGAATCAAATTGACTCCAAGCCAAAGGCCAGGCGGAACAACTCTGTCTTACAGGCCCTGCGGAAAGAAATCAGATCCTGCAGGGCCCTGGTCTCATGAGGCAGAGCATTCCACCCGGCCAGAGCCAGTGTTGAAAAAACCCTGGCTCTGGTTGAGGCTAATCTAACTTCCTTAGGGCCTGGGACCTCTAGGGTGTTGCTATTTATGGACCTTAAGGTCCCCCATGGGGCATACCGGGAGAGGATGCATATACATGGGGCTGTGTGCATCTAAATACAAAGCAAACTGGGAATCAGCTGATGGGCAGGAAGCAGGACCTGGAATGGACACTAAGCCTGGTCTGCAAGCAGAAGGGGTGGCAATCGGGTGGCACAGTTTGCACTGCACAGCATTTGGGCTGAACTATGAGAAGCCTTTCAACTGCTGATGGAGAGCTTCAAAGAGAAGTAGATGGGAGGCTCCCTTAGGGATCTCAGCAGCAGTCTCCAGAGAGCTAGTCCTGTTAGTCCGTTGCCGCAAGAACAATTGTGTTGGCTGCGTTCAACCTCCTCCATACGTCTCCAAATGCCAGCTGCTGACAGTCACAAGTGGAAAGAGTGTTCCTGGACCCAGGTCCTGCTTGCAGGCTTCCCACGAACATCTGGTTCATCGCTGAACTCAGTAGGCCTTTGGCTTGATCCAGCAGGGCTCTTAGGAGTCTTGCGGCATTTGAAAGGAGGAATCCCCAAGGGTCATCTAGTCCAACCCCTTGCAATGCAGGAATCTCAACTAAAGCATCCATGGCAGATGGCCATCCAACCTCTGCTTAAAAACCTCCAAGGAAGGAGAGTCCACAACCTCCTGAGGGAGACCGTTCCACTGTCGCAAACAGCTCTTACTGTCAGAAAGTTCTTCCTGATGTTTAGTCAGAATCTCTTTTTTAAAAAAAATTATATTTATTCCTTTTATAGATTACAAAAAAGGAAGAAAAACAGAAAAAAAGACAAAGGAGGAAAGCAAAAAGGAAAAAAAAAACAATACAGTACAGTATATAGACAATGCAAAACACAACCTAAGCTCAAAACTAAACACATTAAACTAAACTAAACAAACCCCACGACCTAACCTTAACCCTAAATAAAACAAAACAAAAACAATTTAAAAACATACATCACCCCTTTTCCGTACTCTATCTTTCATTCCCTTGTTTCCTCGACCTCCTCTCACCTCCCTTTTTGTATTCCACTTCTATTAATTGTTTCAGCAAATCCTTTCCATCTTTCTCCATTTTCTATCATATTGTAAATAACGTATTTTTTAACCTTATTTTCCATTAAAACTAAAATACTTATATATGCTTAACTCCTTATAACATTTCTGCTAAGCCCATAAAAAATCATTCCACCATTTTTCTATCACTCATTAGTTTTACCATATGTCTATATATAAACTTTAAATTTTCCCAATCTTCTTCCACCATCTCCTCTCCCTGGTTTCGGATTCTGCCAGTCCTTTCCGTCAACTCCATAAAATCCATCAACCTGGTGATCTTATGTCCGAGGCTCTTAACTCTTTTCCAAGTCCCTTCTGCAGGTCTTCTTCATTTTCTTTAATGCTAAAGAGCAAATCTCGGGGAAACTCCAGGCCCGAGTCCATGTCCCAAAAGTCAGTTAATCACTGCATAGAGGGATCTTTCCAACTTTCCTTCTTTAATCCAAGCCGGGATCCATTCCTCAAAGTCTGACTTTTCCTAGATGCAATCATAAAAGGCCTCAACTTATAGTCCTCAATTTGCTTCTGTAAAGCCACGGATCCCGCTTGTATTCCTTTATGTTCAACAACAGCAGCTTTCTCCTTCTCCTCCTTCTCCTCCACCATTTGTCCTGCCAAAATGGATTCCTGTACCAAGTCCTGAATTATTTCTGTGTTGGTGTTCGCTTTTTGACTCAAATTAGTCACTTTCTGTTCCAAATTATCAACTTTAAAAGTCATATCATCCATCTTCTTGTGAAGCTGTCCCAGCGAACAGCTTATCTTACATAAAACAGTCACAATGGCCTCTCCTGTCAACATTTTTAAATGGTCCAAGGTCAATCTCTGGTTCTCAGAATCCTTATCTGCAGCTGGAAATCCCCAGTTACACTCCTGTAACAGTTTCAAAAGCTCCTCTAGAGGGAAACAGTCTCCACTTGTATCAGTTCTTTCAGGCACAACTCAAGCATTAAAGATAGTTTCAATTTTCAGTTACTTTTCCTCTTTTTTAAACGCAGAGGAGGACAATGGAAACAGTATCTTACTCTTATTTAGCTAGCTGTCAAATCCGTTCTCTCAATGCACTCTCTCCAAACGTCATCTGGCAGCCCGTTCCCAGGTTCAGAGCAGTGGTAATTTGATTTTTCACTCTCTCCTGCAGGCTCACTAGGTCCAAAATTTCCCCCTCTTCTCCTGCTTCCAAGGGGGGTTTTGTATTTTAAACCGATGGAAATTTAATCCTTTGCCAAAAGCTTTCAAAGATTTTAACTTGTAACGTCTTTGCTTCAGTCTATTTACAAAAATGGAAGACGGACTTCCTGTTTATGACCTTCCCGCTTCAGTGCCAAATTAAGGTATTTAAAAGTCCAATTTTCCGTTCTACTCACAGGTAGTTGTTTAAAATCCAATTGTCCACAGGAAAAAGTCAGCGCTCTCCGGCAACAGCAATGCGGCTTCACTCCGTGAAAGAAGCAGTCGATTCAAAGCACCGCGCCACTCACCCCACGTCGCTCCGGATCCCCAAAACAGGGTTTCCCCGCGAGTAGGGGAGGCGCAAAAGGTGCCAGCCGAATCCCAGGTTCACAAGCTTCTCCCGTTTGTGATTTCAGTGGGTCTCCACCTTTGCCGTGGCGGTCAGACCCTGTTTTTCACGGAGCAAGTTCCTCCCGAACGGAGGAGCTCCGCCATTGCCGGAGGTGCCAACCCAGAAGTCCTCTCCTTTCTCATAACATGAAGTCGTTGGTTTAAGGCCACTTTGTGTACCTGACAAAGGGGGGTTTAGTCCATGAAAGATTATGCCTCAATAAATAGGTTAATCTTTGAGGTCCTGCAAAACTCTTTGCTGTTTTAGGAAATTGCATGGCACTTATATTTTCCTAGGGATGTGTGTGGCGCTGTGGGTTAAACCACAGAGCCTAGGACTTGCCTATCAGAAGGTCGGCGGTTTGAATTCCCACGAGGGGTGAGCTCCTGTTGCTCGGTCCCTGCTCCTGCCAACCTAGCAGTTCGAAAGCACGTCAAAGTGCAAGTAGATAAATAGGTACCGCTCCGGCGGGAAGGTAAAGGGCGCTTCCGTGTGCTGCTCTGGTTCACCAGAAGCGGCTTAGTCATGCTGGCCACATGACCCGGAAGCTGTACGCCAGCTCCCTTGGCCAATAAAGCGAGATGAGCGCCACAACCCCAGAGTCGGCCACGACTGGACCTAATGGTCAGGGGTCCCTTTACCTTTATATTTTCCTATAAGACCAGCTTCCTCTCCCCCACCCCACCCAAGCTTTTGGAAGGGGCTGCGCTGGTTCCCAACACGTTTAATCGCTCCATATTCATCACTACCAAAACCAATTCTGGTTTCTTCCCCGCATGCAGTTGTGAAGTGGGCTCTGTCCACAAAATCATATTCCATAATAGCATTTCTTAGTCTTGAAGGAGCCACATCACTCTCTGCTGGTTTTGCTGCAGCAGACCCAACACAGCTCCCCCTGTGAAAGTTATTGCTTTGTTTTCTTTATTATCCTATTTTATAGGGGAAATGGAAAGAATGTCTTCCTCTTGTTTATGATGCAAAAGCAGCTTGTAAATGGGCATTCATCTTGGTATTGTACTAGACCAAGGCAATGCAATAGATGGGGAGCCACTGGAGCGGAAAGATTTTATTAGGAAAAGCCAAACTTGTATCAATGATGGACTTCCAGAACTCAAAAGAAATACTGGTTGCGGAAGTTTGCCTTCTTGGGAGATCTGAGGCTTCCCAAAAAATATGTTGCCTGTGAATCAAGAGAGAAGTGTGAGGACATTTGGTTGTTGTTGTTTAGTCGTTTAGCTGTGTCCGACTCTTTGTGACCCCATGGACCAGAGCACGCCGGGCACTCCTGTCTTCCACTGCCTCCCGCAGTTTGGTCAAACTCATGCTGGTAGCTTCGAGAACACTGTCCAACCATCTCGTCCTCTGTCGTCCCCTTCTCCTTGTGCCCTCAATCTTTCCCAACATCAGGGTCTTTTCCAGGGAGTCTTCTCTTCTCATGAGGTGGCCAAAGTATTGGAGCCTCAGCTTTATTATCTGTCCTTCCAGTGAGCACTCAGGGCTGATTTCTTTCAGAATGGATAGGTTTGATCTTCTTGCAGTCCATGGGACTCTCAAGAGTCTCCTCCAGCACCATAATTCAAAAGCATCAATTCTTCGGCGATCAGCCTTCTTTATGGTCCAGCTCTCACTTCCATACATCACTACTGGGAAAACCATAGCTTTTACTATACGGACCTTTGTTGGCAAGGTGATGTCTCTGCTTTTAAGATGCTGTCTAGGTTTGTCATTGCTTTTCTCCCAAGAAGCAGGTGTCTTTTAATTTTGTGACTGCTGTCACCATCTGCAGTGATCATGGAGCCCAAGAAAGTAAAATGTCTCACTGCCTCCATTTCTTCCCCTTCTATTTGCCAGGAGGTGATGGGCCCAGTGGCCATGATCTTTGTTTTCTTGATGTTGAGCTTCAGATCATATTTTGCGCTCTCCTCTTTCACCCTCATTAAAAGGTTCTTTAATTCCTCCTCACTTTCTGCCATCAAGGTTGTGTTATCTGCGCCTAAATGGCTCAGACGGATTTGAGATGTAAGCAGTGTCAAAAACAGCAAGTGTTGTCATTCTGTGCCCAAATAACATAGGTCTGGAGGGCTTCCTTGTGAACTTATGGCACTTCATGTTCCAGTCACAGGAAAAGGTTTAGGTTTTAATGGATTCGTGCATTGTTTCCCACTGCAACATGTCCCCAGGTGTTTTGCTCGATACAATGACAAAGAGGGCACCAGGCGGTCCTCTCTGGGGAGACCATTCCGAGAGATGGGACGCTACTGTAGAAATTAACGGTGATAGCTCATTGCTGTTCTCTGTTCATCTTCCTTTCAAAATGTCGTTTGCTTTCTGCCAGGGTAACGTGGCCCTTGGCCGAAAAAGGGGCCCCCACCCATCCTGGTCTAAAGGATCTCGCAAATATGCTTGTCCAGCTTCATTTTTGAAACACTTCCTTCCCAACAGTTGATGTCAGTTCATCAAATAAGGGGCAATGAAAGAGTTTGCCTGAAAGCCTACTGAAATCTCACATTTTCCTCACCATTCCATCTCTGCAAGCGTTGCAACTTGCCAGGTGGGATGACCCCACCTCTGTCCCCCCCCCCCCCGCACATCACCCCAATTTCAGGGGGAGGTGCAAAAGCCCCATTGCACAAACAGAAGTCCTTAGGCAAGACTTCCACTGATGTAACTGGTGAGTTGAATCCACCCTTATTTTTCACTTCCCCCTTTAGTGATTTGTTTGGGGGTTTTCCTCAACACTTTTGAGGGTTTTTTTTCTTTTCCTTTCTTGCAACCAAACAGTAAATTTCATGAAACGAAGAAAGATTTGTGTTAGTCAGGTAACTTCCCGCGCCCACAAATCAGCCTGTTTCCTCAAATGCGGACATAAAAACTGCTGCCTTCAGCAAAATTTGGCTCCTGCAGAGGGGGGTATTTATAATGCAATATGAGCTATGAAATTAAAGTGGAAATAAAATTAAATGGGCTGAAAATAGAAATAGTTAGGCCTCATAAATATGTGTCATGCTAAGTATCACTTAATATGTTTTCCAAAAATAGATTGCTGTCTCAAATCCCTCCTTTTTCTTCTAAAATAATGTTTACAGTCTTTTAAAAAGACGTTGCTCTTTTAACTTTATGAAATTTATGTAAGGCCCGTGATTAATAACTCAAAACCAAAACCTATCTACATAATCAGTGGCATTCCGCCCCCCGCCCCTAAAATTACTTTCTTAGTAAACTCTTTTCCTCCTGTAATGAAGGCAGCTGCGGTTGATGGAGAACAGTTTGCTTGAGGCTGCTTAGCAAGTTCCTGGCAGATGCGAGATCTGAGCCCCAGACTTTTAGCCACTGTGCTACACCAACTCTTATGTCACAGACTTTCTAAGGCTTTCATTTCAGGGCTGCCTCAAATGCTATTTTTTGCTCACAAACAAATTGAGTACAAAATACATACATTGCGCCACTCAGAAATCCATGGCCAAAGGCTAGTTTTTTAAACCTACAAGATGCATGTGAACGGAAACCCTATTAAAGACACTAAAAAGTGGGGTTCCTGCATTGCAGGGGGTTGGACTAGATGACCCTTGAGGTTCCTTCTACAATTATATGCTTCTGTGATTTGTATTTGCTGCTTAGATGAGTGAAACTGGCACCTGTCTCCTTGATCCTTGCCCATCCTGGTTCATAAAGGTGAGCTGGGAAGGACTGGGCGATGGACTCCATGGGGTGGTGAATGGACCCAGCCAATATGGCCAACTATCGTCCAGTCTCAAATCTTCCGTTCTTGGGCAAGGTGATTGAGCGATTTGGATCCCTTCCAATCGGGATTCAGGCCTCACCATGGGACTGAAACTGCCTTGGTCGCGCTGGTCGATGATCTCTGGCAGGCTAGGGACAAAGGTGAAAGCTGTTTCCTAGTTCTGCTGGATCTCTAAGCAGCCTTTGATACCATCAACCATGCCATCCTTCTGGACCGTCTATAGGGACTGGGAGCTGGGGGCACTGCTACACAGTGGTTCCGCTCCTTCCTCCTGGGCCATATCCAGAAAGTGGGGGGGGGGATGAGTGTTCGGACCCCTGGGCTCTCATTTGTGAGGTGCATCAGGGTTCCATCCTCTCCCCCGTGCTTTTTAATATCCATATGAAGCCGCTGGGAGAGATAATCAGGGCTGGGTGTCTACCAGTATGCAGATGATACCCAGCTCTACCTCTCATTTAATTCAGAACCAGTGAAGGCAGTGAAGGTCCTGTGTGAGTGTCTGGAGACGGTTGGCAGATAGATGGTGGCTTACAGATTGAGGTTGAATCCTGACAAGACAGAAGTACTGTTCTTGGGGGACAGGGGGCAGGCTGGTGTGGAGGACTCCCTGGTCCTGAATGGGGTAACTGTGCCCCTGAAGGACCAGATGCGCAGCCTGGGAGTCATTTTGGACTCACAGCCATGCATGGAGACCTGGGTCAATTCTGTGTCCAGGACAGCTGTGTACCAGCTCCATCTGGTACACAGGCTGAGACCCTACCTGCCTGCAGATTGTCTCGCCAGAGTGGTGCATGCTCCAGTTTTCTCCCGCTTGGGCTACTGCTATGCGCTCTATGTGGGGCTACCTTTGAAGGTGACTCTGAAACTACAACTAATCCAGAATGTGGCAGCTAGACTGGTGACTGACCATATAACACCGGCCCTAAAGGATCTTCACTAGCTCTCACTACATTTCCAAGCACAATTCAAGTGTTGGTGCTGACCTTTAAAGCCCTAAAAGCGGGAGAGAAAGATGGTTACTTTCCTGCTTTGGAAATTATTTTCTTTTTTCCAGAAGGAAGTGTGCGACGTGTAGAAAGGGGGGGGGGAATGTGCAACCAGGAGAATGCAATCCTTTTGGACGCACAGCTGTCCATGGAGGCGCAGGTTAATTCTGTTTCCTGGGTGACTGTCTACCAGCTCCATCTGGTACGCCGGCTGAGACCCTACCTGCCTGCGCACTGTCATGCCAGAGTGGTATATGCTCTGGTTATCTCCCACTTGGATTACTGCAATGTGCTCTAATCCAGAATGCGGCAGCTAGGCTGGGGACGGGGAGTGGCTGCCAGGACCATATAACTAATCCTGGTTCCAAATAATCTACCCTGGCTCCCAGTATGTTTCCGAGCACAATTCAAAGTGTTGGTGCTGACCTTTAAAGCCCTAAACGGCCTCAGCCCAGTATACCTGAAGGAGCATCTCCACCCCATTGCTCAGCCCAGAAACTGAGATCCAGCACCGAGGGCCTTCTGGTTCCCTCACTGTGAGAAGCGAAGTTACAGGGAACCAGGCAGAGGGCCTTCTCGGTGGTGGTGCCTGCTCCTCCCATCAGACATCAAAGAGATAAACAACTATCTGACTTTTAGAAGACATCTGAAGGCAGCCCTGTTCAGGGAAGTTTTTAATGTTTAGGAAGTTTTAAAGGATTGATGTTTTTGTTATGTTTTTAGATATGGCTTGGGAAACCCAGCCAGACAGCCAAGGTATAAATAATATTACATAGGAATTGGTGTGAGATCAAGTCTGAAGGCAGCCCTTAGAATAAAAACTTTAATTTTTCCTGTCATTTCCAAGAAAAAGCTAAACATTTGCCCTTGCCGCTTGCAAATCCAACCAGACTGTGACATTTTCTATAGTTTATTCTGCTTCTAGTTGCTGTTGAACAGAATTCTATCAAGTTTTTTCTTTAAAAAATTCTCAAAACTGTCAAATGTCTCTTTGTAGTCTTCAACCTGAATTGCCCATTACATGCAAATACTGTCCATTCCAGGATGTGAAACCGCTTAGTGTAATGACACATTTTATTCAGTAACTAGACAAATGTTTCAGTGCATTCCATGAAAAGGAGACCATGCCTCTTCACCGAATGCAATGCTTGCAAACCTCAGTAAGCCGATGGCAAGTGAAAAAATCCCATTCTTCTGTTTTGTGAAATGGAAAAATGTGTTTTTATTTATTTATTTAATTTGTATACCACCCTTCATCCGTCGATTCGGGGCGGTTCACAACATAAAAAGATGGCAAAGTTTAGTCAAAATTATTGTGTGCTCCTCTGGAATCCTAGAGTTGAAAGGGAGCTAGTGAACTTAGTCCTCAACTAAGGCTAATATAGCTTGTAAAATTGTGGACCAAAAATATGACATGAATTCAATTGGAACCAAGAATGGCATTATTAAGGGTGATTTGGGGCAGACAGTTAAAGAAGGCATCAATAGATTTTCTTTAAAAATTGCAAAGTTCAATAAATTGATTTATTTGCATGAGGCAGCCGCCTTCATTACAGGAGAAGAGCTTACCAAGTCTTGCATAAACACAAAGTATATGAAAGGTAAAACGTGGAGGCTGCCTGCATGCCGTGCGTTTGACGTTGCCCACCAAATCTGTTTTATGTCATCTTCAAAAGCTCCACGCCTGCTTTTGACATCCTGGCAAACAGCTGAGTGCAACTGGAAAGCACTTGAACTTCTCCATAATGAGGATTGCAGATTTAAGTCTTTCTGACCTATCTGGGGAGAGCTTCTGAAACCTTTAAAAACAGTGACAGCTCAGGGTTGTATACCGGGCCAAGTAAGCTTTTCTGGTTTAACATTGCTTGGTGGTAAAGACACCACCCCCCCATGATGTCAACAAGAACAAGGGTCTCCAGTAGCAGAGAGCATGGGTGAATCTCGCAACCTGATGCAGATGGGACCAGCTGTAGTGGGGACACAATTGGTAGGAAAACCTCCTGTGGCTCTGATACTCCTATATGCTCAACACACCACAGGGAATCAGTGTATGAGCATGGATGAGACTGCAGTCCCAATCACATCATACACTTTAAAGCACTTTAGCTGTTATGGCTTCCCCCAAAGAATCCTGGGAACTATGTGTTGCTAGAGGTGCTGAGAGTTGTTAGGAGAGCCTCTCGCAGAGCTACGATTCCCAGCAGCTTTAACAAACTACAGATCCCAATATTTTTTGGGAGCGGGGTGCCGTGATTGTTCAAAGGGTGTAAGCATGCTTTGAATGTACAGGGTGGCTGTAGCCAGAGAGAGAAATGGAGCCAAAGTTTGGGATTCGTGGGTGAATGTTATAGGCATAGTTTGTGATAATTGAAATGGGCAGAGCGATCCTGAGAAAATCGTCTAGTGGTACCGCTTAGCTGGTGCCCGGGATCCAAAAAGCCACTTACAGTGGTGCCCCGCAAGACGAATGCCTCGCAAGACGGAAAACCCGCTAGACGAAAGGGTTTTCCGTTTTGGAGGTGCTTCGCAAAACGAATTTCCTGTGTGCTTGCTTCGCAAGACGAAAATGTCTTGCGAGTTCCTGCGGGTTCCCCCCTTTCCCCAAGCCGCTAAACTGCTTATCAGCTGATGGGCTAAGCCGCTTAACAGCTGGTTGCTAAGCCGCTTATCAGCTGATCGTTAAGCCGCTTATCAGCTTTTTCCCAAGCCGCTAAACCGCTTATCAGCTGAAGGGCTAAGCCCTTAACAGCTGGTCACTAAGCCGCTTATCAGCTGTTCGCTAAGCTGCTTATCAGCTGTTCGCTAAGCCGCTTATCAGCTGATCCGATAAGCCCGCTAAACCGCTAATGGGCTTGCTTCGCAAGACGAAAAAACCCGCAAGACGAAGAGACTCGTGGAACGGATTCTTTTCGTCTTGCGAGGCACCACTGTATAGGCGAACCCAAGAGTATGTGTGTGCCCCCACCGGGTTTAAAAATATTTAATTTATCAATTAATTGTCTTCTCCCCATGCCACCTCTGAAGCTCGTATGGGAAATCCTGCGTCAAATCCATGTTGGGCATGCACACAAAAGTTGTGTAGGTCTATGGCTTCTGGCCATCCCTTCTCCCCCTGCCTAAAATAGTGCAAAACAAAAGGAAGCAGTAGTTTATGCCAAGGTTTATTTACTGAACAAGCTATGCCACCGTTTTTTTGTTTTGTTTTTTTGGAACTGGCTTGTCAAAGAACATTCCTAAGCTTATCGCCCAAAGACCAGGCTCTGTTCCTATTACAATGCCTCTGGCATTTATAACTGAGCAAGATGTGGGTGAATGTAAAAACGATGACTGTAGCATATGAAAAGATGGGGGAGTTATTTTTATTTTTCTGGTTCGGAAAGCACTTTTTCCAGCAAGAGGGGCAAAAAAGAAAAAAGCTATACCCTCTAGAAATCATCGCGGTAGCACTTGGCAGCTCCAGTTTTTGTTTTGAAGCGCACATTGATGAAATAGCAGGTATGCCGCAAGATAATTGATTCATAAAAGAGAAGCCATAAAGACTCCAATTTTCTGAAAACCGTCCTAGGCATTGCTAGTCTTCTGCTGCAGTCTTCACCATTCTGATGGCCTCCAGAGGCTTTGGCCTACAACTCCCAGCAGCCTCAGCCAGTACGTGCTTGCTGGAGCTGCTGGGAGTTGTGGGCCAAAAACATCTAGAGGGCACTGGATTGGTGACAGCTGTTCTAGTGTATCGCTAAGCTCTTTGGACTAATGCACAGGTACAGGATTCTGTCTCTTAAGTCACGACTAAGGGAAGGCTGCAGGGTCTAAAAACTATAGCTGCCTCTTCTTCCTTCAGCAAATTCCCTTTCCTTGCCTAATCGAGCATTGAACAAACTTAGCCAAGTGGGTTACGAATCCTGGTCAAGCAGGGCATTAGCCAATGCGCCAACATCTCCCTTAAGCATGGATAGCAGCGGGTGGAGGAAATATACATTTCCCATGGCCTTAATCTGCCCTCTGAATTGTGCCTACAAGATCAGAGCTGTTCCATTTGCCCTGGCCTTTCCTGATGGACAGATAGAGGTGGGTTTAACCCAGCAGTGATGATATCTAGGAATGCTAGATATGATATCTAGGATATCTAGGAATGCTAGATATGATATCTAGGATATCTAGGAATGCTAGATATGATATCTAGGAATCCATCGCTCATATTAAGAGAAGGATGCATGGTTAGCTTCAAATATACACAGTCTCCCCCCCCCCCCGCCTTGACCAGTGGACGATAAAAGGCACCGGAAGATAACTCAGTATTTCATAAAAACCAGCATATCAGTGCCCAGATTATCCTCTAATCATGATTAGTCAATTCCTGATGAAATGTAAGTTTTATTTTGAATGAAAATGTCCAGTGGAGTTACAGCCTTCATTAGGCCACAGAACACAACATACTAGCGTTGAATATGCATTGGCTTACGTATAAGTCTCCTGCAAAAAATACGCGGCACCATTGTTAACGCACGGGAGCAAGCACATCTTTGGTTTGAAAAGCAATTGCGAGAGAACCCATGAGCTTTTTCTGAAACCAGGACTAGAAAAACGGAAGCAAGGTCAATAAAGAGTACCTAAGGCACCTCATGAAAAGATGATTGCTGTCATCTTCGCTACACTCCTAAAGACCTCCAAATAATGCTCCATTATACTAAACACGCAAACCGAGGAATGTGATGCTTAAGTGCAGGAAGACCGCATCGCCGTCAATTCCGGGTAGCAAAAATAAAAAGTTTTATTAACATGTCGTGAGGAAAAGATTAACGGCTAGAAGAAAAAAATTGCAGAAGTGGAAGCCACCAGCTCTTTCCCCTGCCTCCTCACCTCAAATACTTCCGTCCTGGAGTTTGTGCAATGCAAGCTTGGGGCAGAAGCGAAAAGCTGGAGAACGAAAACCCATTTTCTCACATGCCTGGGTTGCGCTTTCTTTGCTGTCCAGGAGATGGGAGAACGGGAGAAACGAGGAGAACAAATCGTGCCTGTTGTAAAGATGAATGAAGTGTAGCATATACTCGTTTCAGAAAAACACAATGCACAGTGAGGATGGTCTGTACCCAGAGTGCGCAATAAAACAGCAGAACTTGGACTGCAGCACAGCATTTTGCTCCCTCGCCTCTCGACAAGTTGCGGCTTTTAAGTTAATAAAAGTTGGCCTTTTATGTTGCGATGGAGGCGATCAGGTTTCAAAAGTGGGCGAGTCTATCATTTACTTCTTTCACTCACTGTTGAAAATCAGCCTTCTGTTTTGCCAGAATATTCAAGTCAAGGTCGGAATGAATCATTGGCACCAAGAACGTTTTCTAACCTATTACTTGGAATAATTGCTCATTGCCCAGCTAGCTGCCTGCATGTTGGTGCTTGCAGCATTCACTTGCAAGACGCCACGTTCCCACCACTCCAGAGTTCTTAAATGTTCATTCGAACGCCGTCCCTATCTATGGATTGGGATAGCCTCACCCTGTGTCCCATGCCTGGGATGTCTGCTTAGGCATTGCTTGGTACTAACACACAGTAGAGCCCAAGCCATGAAGATGCTTTCTGTGTGGTCGCTGTATGCACAGACACACTTGTGAGGAGCACGAGTTGTGCAGATCAGGGCGATGCCCATTGGGCTCTTCATGCAACGGCCCTGATTTGAATGTGACTCCAAGCACCTGACAGTCAGGGCAGGGAGCCAAGACAGTGCGCTCGGTTAGAATATTTGCATAGGGCTTCAGCATCATAGAACAAATGTGGGCCACTGTTGAATCACTGGGACAGTATCAGCATTTGGCATCAGTTCGCCATCAGTGCACACAATGATGCCATTATGTTTTAATCTACAGCAATGACTGCCCCGGCATAATAACTGCAAAGTTGGGGGACACTGCACACTACTACATACAATTGTTCCTTTGATGCTTGCTTGGGCAGGGAATACATCAGTCTTGCACCCGGGATTATTTGTATTCCACACTTGTGCAGTGTGCGAGTGCAAATTTGGTTCCCTGGCACAGATTTCATGATCTCGGGAGACTTTAGAAGTAGAATGTTTGTCATTTTCAGGGTTGTTGAGGACTGCCGAGGGAACACAACCAAGTAGTGTGCCACTAGTTTGCAATTACAGGCAAAGAGCCTTTTTGCTAGGAGCTACAACGTGTTTAAATGCATGGGGACATTTCAGTGAGTCTATTTTTTATTCAGTTTTGCTCCTCTATATCTTTGCAGATATTTAAATCTTGGATTAGTTTGATCCTTCAGGAAGACAAAATTTGAGCAGGGTTAGTTTACGCCAACCACTTTGGGGTTCTTAAACCTTTGCACATACATTTATCTCTTACATTTACTTTGGGTTGGGTTCAGCGTTAGTTGATACGTAGAGTGCGGGACTTAAGTCAGCCATGACTTCACTTGCAATGCACCCATTTTTAAAGATGATTTTTATATTTTAAAAAACCCCACTATTTAACTTGGCAACTAGCTGGCTTTTTTGTTAATTTAATTTTTATGTAAGACGTTATAAAAACTGAAGAGGGAGGTAAAATCTTAGAAGGGGGCCTCTCTCCTCTCACACCGGAGGGAATCCCTCATCTAAAATGCTGCCTGCTGTGGCTTCTAACATCACAGGACAGTAGCTGTTCGTGAGTAAAAACTAGGACTACTTTGTAGTGCAGTTTGTCAGATTCTAACTAGTGGCTTCTTCTTTGCCACTAGTTAGGATGCTGGGATTAGAATGGAACCCTGTCTGATTAATCAGACAGTTCCTACTTTGTTTTCAAAATCTGAATTAAGCTTGTTGGCCTTGTGTATGTGTGTGTTTCTGCATTTCTGTTTCTGATCTCCTTGAAGCCTCTTCCCCTTTTGGCTCCCTGACTAATTTTGTTGGGCCTCATTCACCAACTTTCAGGTGCTTGCAGCCTTTTCAATGGAGAAAAGCACTTGTGGGGTAAAGGGGCGAGGGGAGAGTTATCAAACCCCAAAGATGCTGGGAAGACAACGTGCTTCCTGGCAGGGAGGCAGAGGCCGGTTTTGCAGAGACTTCCTCCCCCAACTATTAGCAACCACTCAAGCAGAGCGTGACAATTTGTCGTCTACCGAATCTTGCTTTCCTCGTGGTGTATGGCAGAGATGAAGTTAGTTCAAGTTTGCAGATCTACTTTGGGGTCTTTCCCCCCCCTCTCTCTACTTCTAGAATCCCCAGGTGTCCACCAGCAAGCACCAAGTGAAGAAGAGTAGCTCAGAAATAGAGGTGAACAAAGAATTAAGGGCTCTATATCAGCTTAAGAATTCATTTCAAGGCCAGAACTCATCTCACAGACCTTTCACAGAGTTATCCATTCCTAGGCATTCCCCCACACCCTTCAGCAACTTAGTTTGGCTCCAGAGTTGTGGCCTTGTTAAACAATTGGGAGTTAGAAATCCTTGGTGATCTACTGGTAAGCACCCAGAAGTCTGCTAGTAGATCTCAATTTACTTTCTGTCTATGGTCTTCCTTAGTAATGCTTCGTTCAAATTGTGCTTTGTGGCTAAACCCTTTGTCACAGCTTTTCAGCAATGAAAATCTGCCATGACTTTGGGGGGCAGGGAGCAGGGAGGAAGAAGTACAGGCTATATTAACAATCCACTATTACAGAAATAATAATAATAATAATAATAATAATAATAATAATAATAGCAAAGCAGGAGCACATCAGCAGCCCAGGCCCCAAAACTGGCGGGTTAAAACGCTCCACGTTAGTTCTGGGAATTATCAAGTGTCATCTGCAATAGCCAAAAAGCCTAGTTACATTTTAATGCACACATGTTTAAAAACTGTACAACATTTAGTGTTCACGTAATAGATGCGTGATGAACCGCTAACACTTTTGGCATTCTCTGAGAAAGCAGGTCGAGCTCTGCAATGGATCCTGTACCGCGTTTTGGTTTCTTCGTTCGATTGCACGGGAAACTTGTGCTCCTCAAAGTACGTCGAGGGTCTGACCTCTTCCTTTCTCTCCTCTCTCCACATGGCAATTCTCTTCCTTCAGGTGTGGCCCATTTCCTGTTCGCTCGGAGCGACCTTTGGCTACGTGGCCGGTCTCCTTATTGCACCTTTGTGGATATACTGGAACAGGAAGCAGCTTACGTACAAAAGCAGATAGCTGGCGCAAAGAGAGAAAGCGTTTTTTGTTGCTGTGCTGATTCCTGGCGTTGTGACTGCGCAGAGACCACGGTCAAAGCAGAAGGCGATCGAAACACTTTTGGAGCATTGTCAGGCCTTCCTCCTCCTCCTCCTCCTCCTCACAGCACGTTTTGCATGCTGTGGCAACATGATGATGCATCTGTCGCTTGTCCTAAATTATGTTACCCCTGAGAGATTGTACTTTTCCTTCCAGCCTGAATAAAGTGTTTGTAACAGATGCTGCTTGCTCCTTCACTGATTTGGGATTTCCCTCCCACACATTCTGGATTTTGCCCACTGCCAGTTTCCTAAAATCAGCTTCCCAATTGATCTCGGACCTGTGGCTAGAGCGTTGCTGTTGTTTTAAGTGTATGTTTGCACGGTATTGGATATTTCACAGTATGTGTGGCCATCGTCCCGGCGGGTCTCACGTGATCAGGCAGCAATTAATGCACCTCGAGCCTATCCGTTTTTTCACCGTGTGTTTCTTTGGAGTTAAAATGGCTATGATAGCTTCATCGAAAACCGTCTTCAGTCCTTTCTGGGTTAAAGCCGAGCACTCCACGTAGCAGTAGGCTCCTATCTGTCAAGAAAACAAATGTCTTTAATAGCTGCACAGGCACGCAAAGACACCTCCCTCCTCCCCAAACTCCATTTGCCAGCTTGTGGGCGCCTTTGTTTTTATGGAACACATCAAGGTTTGTTTTGTCTTTGCCCTGTGAAAAACATCCTACTGTTTTAACCCTCCAGGAAAAGAGGTTACGCCTTCACTTTGTCTTTCGGTGACAGATTTAGAATTCTTTTCATTAGGTGCAGTTTCTGAAGAAAACACATTAAGGCTGCACTCCTAAAGGGGGCAGGAGGAGGGAGAGGAAACGAAAGGAGGCCAGATCGCCACATCCAACACCCTGCTGGACTTGCATGGGCAAAACAGAGAAAAGGGCAGAATAGCACTCTTACGCCCCTTCGTCATTTTCTGGGATTTTTCTCCCTCTTCAACCATTTCCCTCCCATTAGAAAGCTCCATGGCTGCCATAGTCGTCGTCCCCCCCTGGTTTGTCAGTGTGCCGGGGGGCCTGGGAACGGTTTGGATCATGTTCTGATACACTTCCCCACACCCCTAATTCCACCACCAGCATGCCTCCAATTTGTCTCTCGGGTTACAATTTGCCTCGGTTAAATACGCTTCAGGTTACAGACTCCATTAACCCAGAAATAGTACCTCGGGTTAAGAACTTTACTTCAGGATGAGAACAGAAATCATGCTCCAGCGGCGCGGCGGCAGCTAGAGGCCCCATTAGCTAAAGTGGTGCTTCAGAGAAAGAACAGTTTCAGGTTAAGAACGGACCTCCGGAACAAATTAAGTACTTAACCCGAGGTACCACTGTATATTTGAAGGAGCATTTCCACCCCCATCGTTCAGTCCAAACACTGAGCTCCAGCTCCGAGGGTCTTCTGGCAATTCCCTCACTGTGAGAACTAAGGTTACAGGGAAACAGGCAGAGGGCCTTCTCGATAGTGGCACCCGCCCTGTGGAACACCCTCCCGTCAGGTGTCAAAGAGATAAGTAACTACAGCGGTACCCTGGTTCCTGAACGGCTTAGTTGTTGAACAAATCGGCTCCCGGACGCCGCAAACCCAGAAGTGTTCTGGTTTGTGAACGTTTTTCAGAAGCCAACCATACAACGCAGCTTCTGCTTGAGTGCAGGAAGCTCCTGCAGCCAATCAGAAGCCACGCCTTGGTTTTCGAACCGTTGCAGGATTGGATTCCCGGAACGGATTACGTTTGAGAACCAAGGTGCCACTGTATACAACTTTTAGAAGACATCTGAAGGCAGCCCTGTATAGAGAGGTTTTCAATGTTTTGGTATTTTATTATGTTTCTGTATATGCTGGAAGCCACCCAGAGTCAGTCAGATCAGTGGGGTATTATTATTATTTAGGACAAGAACCATGGTGGTTTCCACAGCAGCTGGAAGGAAGCATCAGACTCAGATCTTCTCCATGCTCAGAGAGGGACTTCCCTGGGATGGGACCTTAGGACTGTAAGACCCAAGCAGTGACGTTTCTGTTAGTGTGTTTGACGGTTGGCAATGTGATCTTGAAGCATTTTAGGAAGGCAGAGTGGGCAAAAGAAATCACAGAGGCAATTTTGTAGAGATTAAACTCTCCAGCAGGAATAAGCCGATAAACAAAAGTAGCTGTGGTAACCCGGCATCACCTCGACCGATATTTTAAGTAATATTCATTTTGGAATGCCCTAAAGGTAAGGCTAAACATTTTAAGTCTCAATGGCTCGCTTCGTTAATGTGTTTTATTGCTTTCCGTTGTGAAGAGTTGTTTTCTAATTATTAGAAAAGTATTAAATGGGCCACCCTCGTCAGGAATATTAAGGCTATGTTTTATTCATGAGCAAACCGGCTTCATTAACGGCTAATACTGTGCTGTGCTCACTAATTCGGCTATCTCCATATGGACCAGATCCAGCAACCTCTGGTCACTGCTGTTTTCTGCGAAAAGGTTTTCCACTAAATAAGTCTGAAAAGAAGAATTGCGCCATTTGACATTTTTGATGATTTGAGAATTCACGCTCCATCCAGAATGAAGTTGAGCACTGGGGTCATCATGAAAATGCACTCTCTGTGACACTACTGCCCAAACCATTCGCTCTCCAAGATCAGGTTCTGCAAAAACAGAAAGCTTACAGTGGAAACTGGTATAGAGCACTGATTGGCTGGTGCCTGTGCTGTCATGAACTCACCTCCCATTCTCAGATGCAATTTTTAAAATTGTTTCAGAAACAAGGCAACTTTTTTAAAAAACAACAACAGGCACAATTATTTTCCTAGTTTTTCAATCAGGGCCACATGACAAATGCAAATAATTGGTTGACAGGGCATCTATCTATCTGTCACTCGATTGGCAAAGGACAACTATCTCCAAGGGCTTGGGATAACATTCCCCCATGGCTTTGCACTGAGAGGTTTGTTTCTGGTACCCCACCTCAGTGAAATGCAAATTCCAAGTGTTATCAGTATTGACCAATGCTGTCATATAATGCTATCTAGGTATGCACACACAATTACATTGCATTTGTGGAACTACAGGAACTACTGCTAGAGAGGTTAAAAGCAACAAAAAAGGCTTTTATGGGTATGTTCGTAGCAAAAGGAAGAACAAAGAAACAGTGGGGTCACTCAGAGGAGAAGATGGTGAAATGCAAACAGGGGACACAGAAAGAGCTGAACTCCTCAATGCCTTCTTTGCCTCAGTCTTCTCCGATAAAGAAAACAATACCCGACCTGAAGAATTTGGAGCAAATGATTCAGCAAAGGAAACACAGCCCAGAATAACTAAGGAGATAGTACAAGAATACTTGGCTAGTTTAGATGTATTCAAGTCTCCAGGGCCAGATGAACTGCATCCAAGAGTATTAAAAGAACTGGGAGATGTGATCTCAGAACCACTGGCAGTCATCTTTGAGAATTCCTGGAGAACAGGCGAAGTCCCGGCAGACTGGAGGAGGGCAAATGTTGTCCCTATTTTCAAAAAGGGGAAAAGAGAGGACCCAAATAATTACCGCCCAGTCAGTCTGACATCAATACCAGGGAAGATTCTGGAGCAGATCATTAAGCAAACAGTCTGTGAGCACCTAGAAAGGAATGCTGTGATCACCAATAGTCAGCATGGATTTCTGAAAAATAAGTCATGTCAGACTAACCTGATCTCGTTTTTTGACAGAATTACAAGCCTGGTGGATGAAGGGAACGCAGTGGATGTAGCCTACCTTGATTTCAGCAAGGCATTTGACAAGGTGCCTCATGATATTCTTGTAAAGAAGCTGGTAAAATGTGGTCTTGACTATGCTACCACTCAGTGGATTTGTAACTGGCTGACTGACCGAACCCAAAGGGTGCTCATCAATGGTTCCTCTTCATCCTGGAGAAGAGTGACTAGTGGGGTGCCACAGGGTTCTGTCTTGGGCCCGGTCTTATTCAACATCTTTATCAACGACTTGGATGATGGACTCAAGGGCATCCTGATCAAATTTGCAGATGACACCAAATTGGGAGGGGTGGCTAACACCCCAGAGGACAGGATCACACTTCAAAACGACCTTGACAGATTAGAGAACTGGGCCAAAACAAACAAGATGAATTTTAACAGGGAGAAATGTAAAGTATTGCACTTGGGCAAAAAAATGAGAGGCACAAATACAAGATGGGGGACACCTGGCTTGAGAGCAGTACATGTGAAAAGGATCTAGGAGTCTTGGTTGACCACAAACTTGACATGAGCCAACAGTGTGACGCGGCAGCTAAAAAGCCAATGCAATTCTGGGCTGCATCAATAGGAGTATAGCATCTAGATCAAGGGAAGTAATAGTGCCACTGTATTCTGCTCTGGTCAGACCTCACCTGGAGTACTGTGTCCAGTTCTGGGCACCACAGTTCAAGAAGGACATTGACAAACTGGAACGTGTCCAGAGGAGGGCAACCAAAATGGTCAAAGGCCTGGAAACGATGCCTTATGAGGAACGGCTAAGAGAGCTGGGCATGTTTAGCCTGGAGAAGAGGAGGTTAAGGGGTGATATGATAGCCATGTTCAAATATATAAAAGGATGTCACATAGAGGAGGGAGAAAGGTTGTTTTCTGCTGCTCCAGAGAAGCGGACACGGAGCAATGGATCCAAACTACAAGAAAGAAGATTCCACCTAAACATTAGGAAGAACTTCCTGACAGTAAGAGCTGTTCGACAGTGGAATTTGCTGCCAAGGAGTGTGGTGGAGTCTCCTTCTTTGGAGGTCTTTAAGCAAAGGCTTGACAACCATATGTCAGGAGTGCTCTGATGGTGTTTCCTGCTTGGCAGGGGGTTGGACTCGATGGCCCTTGTGGTCTCTTCCAACTCTATGATTCTATGATTCTATGATTCTATGATTCTATGATTCTATGATTCTACAGGGCCTTCTCAGTGATGGCACCTCCTAGCCTCCCTCACAAATGGGGTTAAGAGAGCCGTGTCAGTTTGGAGGGCATTTGGGGGAAAGCAGAAAACAAGTTGTCTTCATGTCCTTATTCAGCTCTGTTTTGCTGCTGGTGGTGTTGTGACGGTGTTGCTGTTTCCTTATGTTTTAATATGTCTTGTTTTTATATTGATGTTAAGGACCTGGCAAATCCTTTTGGATGCATTGGCAAGAATAAAATAAATGTTACAGACTGATACACTTTTTTTTTTTAAGTGCGAGAGAAAGGGTGAAGAGAAGAGGGAAGGAGAGAATACAGGACGCAACAGAGGAGGAAACTCCAGGCCAGAGGCCTCCAAATCTCTGAATGGCCAGCTTACCTCTTTTGCCAATTTCTGTCCCTGCTCCATACAAATTGGTTTCTCCTTCATGTCATTCAGCCTTGCTAAAGTTTTGGGGTCATCACGGAGATCGATCTGTTAGGAAATAAATGTGGACACTTTCTTACGTTCACTTCAGAAACCAGGTATTTCAAAACAAAACAAAAACCAGACACATAGGATTGAATCCACTTAGGTCCCAGGGAAATTATTGGGACATTACTAACTTCAAATTAAATGCTAGGGGTCCGAAGTGCAACTAACAGGTTGGATCCAATCCATATTCTGAGAGTTAAATTGGCAAGATCTGAGAGCAAAACGGGGTTTTCTCTTAGTTGCAACAGCTATGCTATGTTCTGAGTGGAAACGGGTGGAGACCATACCTTTTTGCAGATGGAATTATAAGTTGTAATTATTATTATTATTATTATTATTATTATTATTTAAAAAAAATTATACCCCACCCATCTGGCCGGGTTGCCCCAGCCATTCTGGGCAGCTTCCAACACATATGAAAACATAAGGGTTTCCTAAGCCCAGGACAGGATGAAGGCCCCCATGATGTTATAGCCGGGGTCAGCAACCTTTTTCAGCCGTGGGCCGGTCCACCATCCCTCAGACAATGTGGGGGGCCGGACTATATTTTGGGGAAAAAATATGAATGAATTCCTATGCCTCACAAATAACCCAGAGATGCATTTTAAATAAAAGGACACATTCTACTCATGTAAAAACACGCTGATTCCTGGACCATCCTTGGGCTGGACTGAGAAGGTGATTGGGCCGCATGCAGCCCCCAGGCCTGAGGTTGCCTACCCCTGTGTTATAGCTAAGCAGGTCTGGATCTAAACATCTCTCTGATGGGACAATGCCTGGGAACACTATGCATTCATAGGGGAGAATTAGTGGGACGAGAGGTGGGGGGTTAACTCCCTGGCTGTGTGTTTATACACCGAGGGTGGGGGGAGAGAGTTCCCAGCCAGCTCCAAGTTCAGAAAGAGCTGAGAAGGAAAACACCTAGAGGTAGGACCCTCAGTCATTTCTGCCCTGCATTGCTAAAAGGTAAAGTCCAGTTAAGTCCAGTCACGAACGACTCTGGGGTTGCGGCGCTCATCTCGCTTTACTGGCCGAGGGAGCTGACATTTGCCCGCAGGCAGTTTTTCTGAGTCATGTGGCGAGCATGACTAAGCCACTTCTGGCGAAACCAGAGCAGCACAGAGAAACGCCGTTTACTTTCCCGCCGGAGTGGTGCCTATTTATCTACTTGCACTTTGATGTGCTTTCAAACTGCTAGGTTGGCAGGAGCTGGGACCGAGCAACAAGAGCTCACCCTGTCGCAGGGATTCGAACCACCGACCTTCCGATTGGCAAGCCCTAGGCGCAGTGGTTTAGACCACAGCGCCACCCGCGTCCCTGCATTGCTACTATTAAGCAAACACATACTTTGGAAATGTGTGTTTTCTATCCTATTGTGCCATTCCATCCTGATTCTAAAAACAGTTTCACACTTACCTTTTCAACACAGAAAATAATAAAAACAGTAAGACCTGCAATTCAGTTTCTTTTTCCAATCCTCCTCCAAAAAGAAATTTGTAAGGGCTGGAGCTTACAGTGCTGCAGCGACCACTCAAGTATATATAAATGCAAAGTGTCTCAGAAGAAAGTGGATCTCTCCCCTCCCCCGCCCCTCAGGCAGGTCTGCCCTCCGTCTGCTAGGCCAGCAGCCCAGAACTTATTCTGTCCACCTCACACAAGAGGCTTGGATTTCCCCCCTCCCCCAGTGACAACAAAGATTGGCCAATGACCACGAGGATCTTATTTCCATCTCTCGCAGGATGTGATACAGAGCCTTGCCTGAGTCACCAGCCTGCATCCCACAACTGCTGCTTTTATCACCCAGTGTTCAATACGCAGAGCACATCCAAAATGCGGATCTTTGCTTGCATCCTAAATTTTGGCATCGGTCTTGAGATTAGCTGTGGGTGTGGGAGGGTCTCATGTACAAAGGACGTTCATCCAATTCAAGAGCATGGCTTGCAACACAATTTTGAATTCCTCCTCAGGGCAGTTTCTCCATTCCCTGGTTTCATTGCTGTGTGCTGGTCACACAAGGAATAGAGGACTCTATCACCTCTAAAATGTGATTATTCTTGAATAACCCCCTGCTCTATTTGTTGCAGACTAGTAATACAGTGGCACCTCGGGTTAAGAACTTAATTCATTCTGGAGGTCCGTTCTTAACCTGAAACTGTTCTTAACCTGAGGTACCACTTTAGCTAATGGGGCCTCCCACTGCCGCCGTGCGATTTCTGGTCTCATCCTGAAGCAAAGTTCTTAACCTGAGGTAATATTTCTGGGTTAGCGGAGTCTGTAACCTGAAGCGTCTGTAACCTGAAGCATCTGTAACCCAAGGTACCACTGTATACAGCAAGAAAAGTCTGTATACATGGCAGAAGCAAGGAACTATGGTAATAGGTTTGTGTGCACGCACACACACGTGCTGTAAGTTGCTTGGGGACCTTTGGGCAACAAGTGAAATCAATGAATGAAATGGAACAACGGGGCTGGGTCAAAGGGGGAGTGGCTTGAGCCAGGAGGTGGGAGGAGCCAGGCTGGAACAAAGGAATCCGCCTTTCTACTAAGTCAGACCATTGGTTCAGCCAGCTCAGAACTGTCCACATTGCCGAGCAACTGCTACCCAAGATTTCAAACGAGAATTTCTCTGGATCTTACTTGGAGATGCCCAGGACTGAACCTGGGACCTTCTGCAGTGTATGGGCAATCTATCCTGAAGATAAATTGTATTTCAAGGAGCTGGGAGGAAGTGATAGTGCTAGGTGCCTTCTTTGATGCTGGACATTGTTTTGAGAAAATGAGGCATTAGGTAAAGGGACCCCTGACCATTAGGTCCAGTCGCGGATGACTCTGTGGTTGCGGCGCTCATCTCGCTTTATTGGCCGAGGGAGCCGGCATACAGCTTCCGGGTCATGTGGCCAGCATGACTAAGCCACTTCTGGTGAACCAGAGCAGTGCACTGAAATGTCGTTTACCTTCCCGCCGGAGTGGTACCTATTTATCTACTTGCACTTTGACGTGCTTTTGAACTGCTAGGTTGGCAGGAGCAGGGACCGAGCAACGGGAGCTCACCCCGTCACGGGGATTTGAACTGCCAACCTTCTGATCGGCAAGTCCTAGGCTCTGTGGTTTAACCCACAGCGCCACCCGCGTCCCTAATGAGGCATTAGGAGGGGGTGGCTAATGAATAATCTGCAAATAGCTGGTAATGAATGATCTGCATGTAGGCAGTCAGGCGAGCCACACAGGCTAGCTAGCTATAAATCGGATGGTTGTGGGCAGAGTTTTTGAGAAGCTCGTGGACAGACTGTGCAAACTGAAGCTACCTGGGGGAGTCACTTCGCCTCTTCTTGAGGGCTTCCAAGTGGCAGACTGAAGTTCCTGCTTAGTAAGTTTAGAATAAAATCTTTAATCTTCTCACTCACTCGTGTTTTGTATTGCTTCTGAATCTCCTTTTAAAAGAACCACCTTGCATTTGGCAAGACATGCACTGAAAGCAGAATGGACCCATTTGCCTCTGGTCCTGCCCATCACACTGGCAGGGAATGTGGGCCGTTTGTCTGGAAAAGATTCGGAGAGAGGGATTTGGGCTGAGTATAATAGAACAGGGTGGGGGTGTTTTTCTGCATTCGTTCACATAAAACACGCAACATCCAGACCTACCTGGGTTCCGACTAACAAATAGGGTACATTCGGCGCATATTCCTTCAATTCCGGCACCCACTCCTCCTTCACATTCTGAAAGGAAGCTGGATTCACCACCGAGAAGCAGATGAGGAAGACGTCAGTCATGGGGTACGACAGCGGCCTCAGGCGATCATAGTCTTCCTGACGACAGAAGGATGTTTTTAGAAATTCATCGTTTCTCCAACAGTACCTTATGTTTGAGCCTCTTTGATATCTGTTTTGCCGTAAGTGGTAAATCCATTTGGTCAAATAAACTAAATACCAAAAAATCACATCTTTCCTCCAAGCAGCTCAAGGCAGTGTGTGTGTGTGTGTGTGTGTGTGTGTGTGTGTGTGTGCATATAGTAAGATGCTTTCTACTGAGTCAGACCATTGGCCCCTTTAGCTCAATATTGTCTGCACTGACTGACAGCTGCTCTTCGGGTTTTCAGCCAAGAGATCTCTCCCAGCCCTACCCGGAGTTGCCTGGGATTGAACCTGATGGGTTTATTATGCAGCTACGGCCATTTCGCAAAGCTATGGAGTTCTTTCCCCATTTTATCCCCCGTTAAAGATGGCATATGCTGAAATACAGTTCATTTAAGCTAGCAAGCAGTTCATTTAAGCGAGCTTTATGGCCCTTTAAACGGTCTTTAAATCCGTGCTTACCCAGCCCCAGGCTGACACTTTAACCATTATACCACACTGCCCTCTTAGGCAGGTTTCTGGCCTTAACCTGTTCTACAGCTTTGCACTTGCTGTGTGTAGACAGAAGGGCTGCAATGGGCCTGCTCATTTCGACACAAGACCGTCGGCCTCCACCTTTTGCCATCTTTGTCTGGTAGAGACATAAAGCTGAGGAAGAACATTGTTAACATTTCTTCCGAAATACAGTACTTTTTGAGGTCATCTACTGAATTACCACAATTCTACTGGATATTGTGATGGCTGCTGGTGGCTTAAAAAAATTAGTAGCGGTTCATGGAGGTCACTGGCCATTAACAACTAGAGATGCAAACTTTCATGTAAAAAAGACAGTAAACCTAACTTGTGACACACAGCACATGGTAATCCCCTTTTTTTGCATGCCTTAGTTCTTTCTACCCCCAGTCATTATACTGGCAAAAGCCAGAATAATGGGTGGAGAGCACAGAAAAATCTAAAAGTAACCTCCCAACTACAAATTAGGTTTCTTAACAAAACATACAGTCTTCAGACTGTTGTAAGACTGAAGACATTGGTTTATGAGAGAGATTTGAGAGGGGCAGCGCTACCTGGGTATACATATATCATTCTTTTGTCCCTCTTTCACCTCTGAGCAAATAGGTTTGGCAGGTTTTTGAAAGAATACAAGAGCAAAACCTGTTTGGTCAGGCCAGGCCCTCTCAGAGGTCCAGAGAGGCCTACCCTAGCTCCAACATTTGAAGCCCTTCACCATAATACATAATAAAAACATGGCAATACAGGAAAATGAAATAAACAAAATAAGTACGCAGCGGCAAAACCCATGCTAGGGATCATTAGGAGAGGAACTGAAAACAAATTTGCCCAAATCATAATGTCATTGATACAAATCTGCGGTACAAATGCATTTTGAGTACAGTGGTACCTCGGGTTACATATGCTTCAGGTTACATACGCTTCAGGTTACACACTCCGCTAACCTAGAAATAGTGCTTCAGGTTAAGAACTTTGCTTCAGGATAAGAACAGAAATCGTGCTCCGGCGGTGCGGTGGCAGCAGGAGGCCCTGGGTTAGTGGAGTGTGTAACCTGAAGTTTATGTAACCTGAAGTGTATGTAACCCGAGGTACCACTGTATTTTGTTGGAAGCCACCCAGAGTGGCTGGGGAAGCCCAGCCAGATGGGTGGGGTTTAAATAATAAATGATGATGGTGATGATGATGATGATGATGATGATGATGGAGTCTTCAGCCTAACGTGGAGCTCGAACCCACGACCCTGAGATTAAGAGGCTCATGCTCTACCAACTAATAGACTACAACTCCCATAATCCCTGACCATGCTGGCTGGGCTGCCGGGACTTGCAGTCCAATAATATCTGGTGGTTAACCATGAGCTACCTTCCCACAGATAAATAAATGCGCACAACTCCTCCGACACATTCAGGTTCTCAGGCGTTCAAACCAGGCCCCGATCCAGGAAGCAACCCCCAATAAAACCCCAGCCGCATTTGCACACGCAGAGAGATTCATTCGACTGACTTTCTAGCTCGGAGGAGGCGGGAGTGGGCTTCTTGAGGCATGAAAAATATTCGAAGAACTTGAGTGGAATATGTTGAGCACACGGGGAAGAAACGAAAGGGGATGAAGTCATGTTTGAAGCACCCACCCACGTATTCCTTTGGCTGGGAAACGGAGGGGTCCTGCTGGAGCGGCAGCCTTAGAAAAAGGAGTGAGAGCAAAAGCTCTCAAAAACGAGACACAGAAACAGCTTCAAAGGCTGCCTTTCTGCACTGGCTGTAAAGGATGCAGGAGAGAGAGAGAGAGAGAGAAGCAGCAGTTTGCACATGGCTTCACATCAGGTTGCAATTTCTGAAATATACAGTGGTACCTTGGGTTACGAACTTAATTTGTTCTTGAGGTCTGTTCTTAACCTGAAACGGTTCTTAACCCGAAGCACCACTTTAGCTGAAGCAAAGTTCTTAACCCGAGGTAGTATTTCTGGGTTAGCGGAGTCTATAACCTGAAGCGTCTGTAACCTGAGGTACCACTGTACGCACAAGGAATCGCAGCCGGGAGCAGCTATCAACCCGCTGCTCTCCAAATGCATTGGACTACGGCTCCCAGCAGCACCAGCCAGCACAGCCAAGAGCTATACAGTGGTACCTTGGGTTACATACGCTTCAGGTTACATTTGCTTCAGGTTACAGACTCCGCTAACCCAGAAATAGTGCTTCAGGTTAAGAACTTTGCTTCAGGATGAGAACAGAAATCGTGCTCCAGCGGCACGGTGGCGGCAGGAGGCCCCATTAGCTAAAGTGGTGCTTCAGGTTAAGAACAGTTTCAGGTTAAGAACAGACCTCCGGAACGAATTAAGTACTTAACCCAAGGTACCACTGTAGTCCCAAACAGCTGTCCCTTCTGCTGTATAAACCTGACCTCAGGTACACACAATCTAGCGTCATCTCTGGAGCTGTTCGCGCTGATGCAAAGCTTGGATCCAGGAAATCGGAAGCCAAGAGCTAGCTGTTTAGAAATTGTGTGACAAGCTTGTAACTGTGTGAGGAGTCTGTAAAAAATAAATAAATGGTAGTTTCCAATCAGTGGGTTAGGCTCCGTGTCACTATGTGCCTTCCTGCCACCCTCCAGCAACTGCAAAGTGTGTCAGTAACGCTGACTGAGAGATTGGAGGCTACAGACAGCTATCTTCCTCTACCTAGGCAAGACAAGAGCAGACTCAAGGCCAGTCTGCTGCAACCTGAATGCCCTTCCTGGTGCTTTGCTGGACTCCAAGTCCCATCAGCCCCATCCGGGATGGTCAGGGATGATGGGAGTTGTAGTACGGCAACATCTGTAAGGCCACAGGGTCCTCATCCGCGAGCTCCACTTCCCTCCACTGACCCTACTAAACACAGCTGGAGCAGCCAAAAGAAATAGGGAAATCGAGAAGAACATTGTTCATGTATGGGATAACAGCGGCCAGAATCTTAGTACAGTAGCAAGAAATTGGAAAAATACAGCAATACCTTACACGGCAGATTGGCAAATCCTAATGGTAGAATACCTGCAGCTAGCAAAGACGACAGGAAGGATAAGAGGCCAAACAAAACCAATAGTCTATAAGGATCGGAGAATTTTTAAAGAATACTTTAAAAGTTACGGTATAAAAGGAAACTTCTTTGCAGAATTAGACTGAACCTTGCATTGTATAAATATAAGTTTGTAGAGAAGTTAACAGAAACTATATAAGAAATATGTAACTGTGCGGTATAAGATAATCAACAGATAAAGTACGAGACTAACTGGAAGTTATTTTTAATTTCTTGTTTTATAAGTTCTATAATCATTGGGAGTACAAATGATGTTAGTTATACGAATTGTGTTGTTTCGTATACTGCTATTGTTTGTTTGTCAATATATAGTTTGTTCATTTGATTGTATGTTGTTTGCTTTCCTGGCATAAATGTATCTATTTTAAAACAATAAAGATATATTAAGAAAATAAAATAAAATAAAATAAAAAGAACAAAGCAATCCTATGATTCTAGGATGCACAGCAACGACTTCTGCTTCGTTTTGCAAACAGGCGGGTGCCGGTGAAGTCAAATGGGACACACGCCGCCAAAAACCACACAGGAGAGAAAGGAGATTGTTGAGCTCTGCAGCGGCAACCCGAGAGGTGCTGAGGCTGGGAACCTGAGCCTCAGGGCTTAGAAGAGGGCAGGGAGCAGGGTCAGCTAGCTGTTTGGCACTTACGTAATGAACTTCTGTACCTATGTGAACTCTGAACTATCAAACAACAGGGAAACCAGAACTATTGCAGAATTAAGAAGGTACATCTTGCATCTCGCAAGGGATCCTCAAACAACCATTAGGCCAGCGGTTCTCAACCTGAGGGTCCCCAGATGTTGTTGGACTACAACTCCCATCATCCCTGAGCTCTGGCCTTGCTAGCTAGGGGTGATGGGAGTTGTAGTTCAACAACATCTGGGGACCCACAGGTTGAGAAAGGCTGCACTAGGTGAAGTACCCCTAGCGCTCTCAAAACCCTGCTGTGACCAACCAGGCTGCACCTTTCCAGGACGACATTGCTCAACTTCAGAGACACCTCAGTTCTGTGCCTGTTGCAGTTCCAACTGCAGTCTATTGTGAATCACATTCAGTTTATGCAGTCTGGCAATGTGCACAAGGTGCCTGCAGCTTCCTACTCGACCATGTTGAGTTGACCCCTTCCCCTCTTTGCTTATGAAATCTAACATAGGAGGGTTGACAGACCAGAGGGTGGTTAATAATGCTTCACTGCCGGAAGGGGTGGTCCCTGCAACCTTAAAGGAGATGGTTATATGGCTACTCCAAAAAAAGCAGACTCTGATCCCATTGGTTTGGACTATCTACCAGCCAGTCACAACACCCCTTTTTCAGGGAATAGCGTTGAAAAAATTCTGGTGTGCCAACAGCAGACCTTATACAGAAGACTCGTTCCAGTCTGGGTTTAGGCCTGGTCATGGGCCTGATTCAGCCTTGGTTTCCGTCAAGGGGAATTCCCAGCCAAAGGAATGCACACAGCAGAGTTCACTCATTAATAATAATAATAATAATAATTTATTATTTATACCCCGCCCATCTGCCTGGGTTTCCTCAGCCACTCTGGGCGGCTTCCAACAAAGATTAAAAATACATTAAAACATTAGTCATTAAAAACTTCCCTAAACAGGGCTGCCTTCAGATGTCTTCTAAACGTCAGATAGTTGTTTATCACTTTGACATCTGATGGGAGGGTATTCCATAGGGCGGGTGCCACAACCGAGAAGGCCCTTTATTGTCAACAATAACATAGTTGCTTCTACAGCTCTAGATGCCTAGCATCTAACAAACTATTCCCAGGTCCGTGCCCTATGGAGCAACAGGGGACTCCTCCCCCTACACCAGTTGATGTACCTTCCCCTGACAGGCTGGACACATGCAGCTGGAGACTATGCCTCTGCTCATCCCTTTTCAATCCTCTCCTGGTTCTGGGAGACAGTGGTGCAAGAGAGGATGGGGAAGCAAGCAACCCTTCACTTGCCTGGTCCCCCTCTTCCTCCAGCTCTGAACCTTCCCCTGCCTCTGACTCTTGCCTCCTGGCTGGTGCAGGACCCCACAAACCACCGTGACCCTCTCCTGAGCCAGACTTCCCCAATGCACTCTCGTCCTGCCAGTCCCTGCCCATTGCCTTGATGGAGGGCCTTTATTGAGAATGGGTCTGAGAGAGTGCAACCTTGCTCCTTCTTCTCGATCTCTCTGCGGCTTTTGAGACCGTTGTCCACGGGATCCTGCTGGACAAGCTCCATCAAATGGGTATATTGGGGTGGCGCTGTGGTCTAAACCAATGAGCCTCTTGGACTTGCCAATCAGAAGGTTCGAATCCCCACAAGGGGTGAGCTCCCATTGCTCTGTCCCAGCTCCTGCCAACCTAGCAGTTCGAAAGCACACCAGTGCAAGTAGATAAATAGGTACCTCTGCAGCGGGAAGATAAACAGTGTTTCTGTGCACTCTGGTTTCCGTCACAGGTGTTCAGTTGCGCCAGAAGCGGTTTAGTCCTGCTGGCCACATGACTCGGAAAGCTGTGGGTTGTAGTCCTACCTACGGGCCAAAGTCCCATGTTTTCACACCCTCACCCCCCCCCCCGGTAGTGCTAACAGGGTACTGTTGTACCCTCAATGCTATTTGACCTCTATATGAAGCCACTGGGAGTGGCCATGAGATTCGGGGCAAGTTGCCATCAGCATGCTGATGACGCCCAGCTCTATTTCTTCACAGTATCTAAATCGGGAGACACTGTGCTGGCCCTGGACCGGTGCCTGGTTGCAGTGGTGGGCTGGGTGAAAAAAAATAAATGGGCTCTATTGGAGAATGGTTCTCATGCCTGAGAAACTGACCTACTGAATCCAGCTTTTGTTTCTAAATCGCACAGATGGCTTCTGTCACCAGGAGCACTTTTTATCAGCTTCAGCTGGTACGGCAGCTGCGGCCATGGCTGCACTAGTACTGCTTGACCATAGTACTCCAGATGGACAGGGTAGAAATATTATTACTATTATCATCATCATCATCATCATCATCATCTTCACTTCTGGACTGCTGCAATGCACTTTATGTGGGGCTTCCCTTGCAGTTGGTCTGGAGTTCCCTGCAGTGACTGCAGAATGTTGCAGCACAGCTGCAGACAGAAGTGAGTTTTAGGAAATTGCACCCTTGTTCAAAGATCTGCACTGTCTGCCTATTTGCTGCTGGGTCAAATTTAAGGTTTTACTGTTGGTATAAAAGGTAAAGGACCCCTGACAGTTAAGTCCAGTCGCGAATGATTATGGAGTTGCGGCGCTCATCTTGCTTTACAGGCCGAGGGAGCTGGCGTGACTAAGCCGCTTCTGGCGCAACGGAACACCGAAACCAGAGCAGCGCACAGAAACGCCGTTTACCTTCCCGCCGGAGCGGTACCTATTTATCTACTTGCACTTTTGGGCATGCTTTTGAACTGCTAGGTTGGCAGGAGCAGGGACCGAGCAATCCCCAAACTCAGCCCTCCAGATGGGACTACAATTCCCATTATCCCTGACCACTGGTCCCGTTAGCTAGGGATGATGGGGGCTGTAGTCCCAAAATATCTGGAGGGCCGAGTTTGGGGGTGCCTGTGTAAATCATACCCACAATATTATAATCTAATTAATTCTGTCGCTCACAGCTCAAATCCTGCTCCCGAGTTAATCATACTGTAGTATTTCTTTAAGTAGTCCGAAAAAGGCATCCATAGAACTTACAATTGTACAGGTGACAAATAATGTATGTTCCACATTTAAAAGCTGCAAATCTCTTTGTGTGGCAGCAAGGAAGCTGCAGAACTCTATGCCTATTAGTATTACAGAAACATCTTCACTACATTGTTTTAGATGCCAGCTAAAGCCTTTTTTGTTTATAATAATAATTTATTATTTATACCCCGCCCATCTGGCTGGGTTTCCCCAGCCACTCTGGGTGGCTCCCAACAGAATACTAAAAACATGATAAAACATCAAACATTAAAAACTTCCCTAAACAGGGCTGCCTTCAGATGTCTTCTAAAAGTCAGACAGCTGCTTATTTCCTTGACATCTGATGGGAGGGCGTTCCTCAGGGCGGGTGCCGCCACCGAGAAGGCTCTACTCAGATATCTAATTTACTTATGTACATTTGTGTTTTTCTTTCCAGTTGACTTCAAGTGTATTTTATTTATAATTATTTTATGTACACTTTTTTTAAAAGCTTTGCTGAGCTTAACTGTGTCTTACTGATAATATAATGATCAATAAAACATGGATGAAATATTATGTACACTGCTTGGAGAGTTTTATGATTAAGTGATCTGCAGACTTTTTAAAAATAAAGTGCCTTTAACAGCATCCAAACGGGGATGGCAGGTTGCCTTATTAGTATACAGGTCGGTTTCTTTGGTCCACATTTGCCTTTTAATTACGGAAGATCCATCCAGAAGTGTTTTATGTGCCTACTCTTAAAAGCTGCCTCCCATCTTCAAATGTCAGCTTGAACAAAATACACACAGCGCTACAGGGGTTCAGGCAACTTCATGGCCATTCAACACACTGTGCAAATACCATTTTTAAAATAAAACAACACACGCACACAAACCTCACTGTGATTTTCTCTGATTATTCCTATGAGAAAAGGGCAACATCTCCCATTGAGAGCTGAGAAACAAGGTTCATCCAACTACTCAGTGACTCATTTCATTTGGCTAAGGAAGATACTACAGATCCCCCCCACTTCAGCATCTGTTGAGACTGGGAGTAAAACGGCAAAACTTACACCCATCTCACACTTCAGTGTCTGTCGATAAAGCTGTAGAAACTAGAATCGAGTTTAATTCCTGATGTAATTGGATGGCCATCTGTCATGGATGCTTTAGTTGAGATTCCTGCATTGCAGGGGGTTGGACTAGATGGCCCCTGGAGATCCCATCCAACTCTAGGATTCTATTATTCTTTTTTTAAAAATCATTTTTATTGCTTTTCCAATAAAAAACATCCAATTAATATATCCAATCATAATACTCCAACTAAAATAAAAAACTAAAATAAAAAAGACCAAATTATAGTCCAAATTATAATTATTAATTTTTTGGAGCTCTCCACAGTCTGGATCTCTGAAGCATATCTCCACATCTCAGTCCTGCCTCTCCTCATTGTTTCCATATTTTCCACATCTCGATTTTGACGCTTTATAATTCTCCGTCCCTGAGTCCACGATTCTCAATCATATCAAACATCATGTACTTTCATCCGTCGAATACAGCTTTGTTGGCATATATTTTTAGGATTCTATTATTCTATGTGCATACTGAAAATTCAGGTTTCTGCAACTGAAGTACAGTGGAGCCTCGGTTTTCGAACAAATTCCGTTCCGGACTTCCGTTTGACTTCCAAAACGTTCGAAAACCAAGGATCAAAGGATTCTAGCAAGTTTCTTTGAGAAAAATGGAGAAATGTGCCTCAGAAGCCTTTTGACATCTGAGGCGTGTTCGAAAACGGAAGAATTCCCTTCTGGGTTTTCAGCATTCGGCTTCCGAAATGTTCGGCAGTTGAGACGTTTGAAAACCGAGGGTTTTTTGGGTTTTTCACATGATTTTTTAATTAATTTTCAATTATTAAAATCCAATGACCACCACATTTTATCAATATCAAATTACAAACCAAGGTTTGACTGTAATGTAAAGCACATCATTGCGTAGCGCAACTAATTCCTGCTTGGCAGGGGGTTGGACTCGATGGCCCTTGTAGTCTCTTCCAACTCTATGATTCTATGATTCTAATTCACTTAAAAAAAAGAAAAGGAAAATAAAGTGATGATGAAGAAATGCACTGAACTGTGCGGGATAAACAAACAGTTAACAGGAAGCCAAAAAATACCCTGCAAGCAAATCAGGATGAATGCTCCTTGTCATATAACTGCCCGGCGAACAAATCCAATATCAATGTAGACTGGACACAGTCTAGCAGGATCTGTGCAAGCTTTTTGGGACGAATGCTCAGTAAACAGTTTGTCTGGAGGAGCCCCAGGGAGCTAAAAGTTGGGGCAAGGAAATGCAATTGAGATCACCAGAGATCAAACGCTCTGAAAGACCCACTCTGGGTTCTGTAATCGCCACACTGTGAACCATCTGTTGCTCTTTGCAGCTTATGGGCAGAAGTCCTAAGAGAAGCCTCTCAATCAGAACCATCTGTTTTTAGAAGAGGAACCAAAAATAGATATCGGTCAGAGCTGCCGAAGGAAGCCAACCTTCATGTTGCGAAGGGTAGCCATTAGCGCTGCTAAAAAGGGTATCTGGGAAGAGTTCATGTGTACTCGAGGTTGGCTGCTGGAGAAGGCTAGACTCCCAGTCACAGATCCACTTTATAATCTCTTTCCACAACAGCGCTCACTAATGAGAGCCTGCAAAATCCTCAGGCAACACAAATCGCCTGCCCTAATCTCGCCCCTGCCCCCGAGCTGGAGTTTCAAAGTTATCTTTCAAGGTGCTGAGGAAAGGTCCTGCCGCAGATTGTTTGCTTCTCTTTTGGGGGAAAAGAGAGAGCCAGCGTATAATCTTCTACATTTGAAAACCAAAACAGCACAGTGCTTCCAAGGCTGCTACATAAATAAAGGAAAAGTCAGAGGCTAAGGAACCCCTAAAGAGGGGAGCAAGACATTCACGAGGCAGAGCTCTGGGAGCTAAAATAATAATAATGATGCCAACATTAAACATATTCTCAGACAAGGGAAGCTGCATCCTGCTGCCATTATAAGTCACACAAATTAACACCAATTCATTCTGCTTTCTAGCAAGGGGTGGGGTGGGGGAGAAAGCAGTTTGCTAAATTTATTCTGCTTCTAAGGGGCAAGGAGTTGAGTCAAACCCCCAAAAATCGGTTTCCTAAACTTGGGTCTCCAGCTGTTTCTGGACTACAGTTCCCATTATCCCTGACCACTGATCCTGCTAAACAAAAACAGCTGGAGCGAGTGGTGGCCATGCTGGAGAAACTGGAATTGCTGAACTGTTTACAACAGGGGTCACAGCAAACTTTTTCAGGAGGGGGCCAGTCCACTGTCCCTCAGACCTTGTGGGGGGGTCGGACTATATTTTGAAAAAAATATATGAACGAATTCCTATGCCCCACAAATAACCCAGAGATGCATTTTAAATAAAAGGACACATTATACTGATGTAAAAACACACTGATTCCTGGATCAGGCGCAGGCCGGATTTAGAAGGCAACTGGACCGGATCCAGCCCCCGGGCCTTAGTTTGCCTACCCATGGTTTACAAGATGGCATGGCCGTGTGTGCTGTGTCATGCAAGTATGGCAGGAGTAAGTCCAGCATACATGCCACTAAGATATGGGAGAAGGCAATTTGGGCAGCAATGGTAGTGAGTACATCTCCAAATGCGAAGCCAAGTGCAGGATGAGGCCGTGGTGAAGACACATAAGGCACTGAACCTGTCGCTAGAAGACAGAAACCACCAGCATATCCTTGCTGATAACAGGGATGTCAGTTTTAATCCAAAACATCTAGAGGGCAGCTGGTTTGGGAACACTGTTATAGATTCTCTGATTCTCCATGAGGAGGGTCTGCATTTATGACAAAATACACCTTTAAGAGGGACGCGGGTGGTGCTGTGGTCTAAACCACTGAGCCTGGCGCTTGCCAATCAGAAGGTCGGTGGTTCGAATCCCCGCGATGGGGTGAGCTCCTGTTGCTCGGTCCCTGCTCCTGTCAACCTAGCAGTTCAAAAGCACGTCAAAGTGCAAGTAGATAAATAGGTACCACTCCGGCGGGAAAGTAAACGGTGTTTCCGTGCGCTGCTCTTGTTCGCCAGAAGCGGCTTAGTCATGCTGGCCACATGACCCAGAAGCTGTGCGCCGGCTCCCTTGGCCTATAGAGCAAGATGAGTGCACAACCCCAGAGTAGTCCACGACTGGACATAATGGTCAGGGGTACCTTTACCTTTTTACACCTTTAAAGCTCCATATGGCTGCCTGGAGAAGAAAGGGACTCTTGAGAATAAAGCAGCCGGCCTCCCCTGCTTTAGGGCTTTCTTAGACACATGGCAGAAATCAAATGGAAACCTTATTCAGGGCATTCTTGAAAGTGTCTGTTAGAGTTACAGATGGAGAATATATGAATTCTATCTCTGAGTCGACGAGCGCTGAGATGCTCTTTCCTAAGGTTGAAATTAGAGGGGTGTGTGTGTAGATTTTCAGAGATTTTAACCAACATTCAGAGATTTTAACCAACCCCTTTTCTTTGGGGTTGTCCACCTACTGAAGAAGTGTCATTCTGACAAGATTTTGTTTGTCCTTGATGGTGTCATTATGTTCACTATGGGAACCTCACTGTTCATTGACTTTGTTTGCCATTAGTGAGATGAACACATAAGGTAAAAGGTGAAAAAGGACCAAGGCGACTATGGGGTTGCTCATCTAGCTTTTCAGGCCGAGGGAGCCGGCGTCTGTCCACAGACAGCTTTCCAGGTCATGTGGCCAACATGACTAAACCGCTTCTGGCACAACGGGACACTGTGATGAGTGCCTGAGCACATAGCCCTATCTAGTTGGTGACACAGCATTCCTAAACCATCACATTGGGCTTTCAGTGGCACCTTGTGCAATGCCAAAATTTGGCGCCCGTCCCCACCTCTCCCCTTCTGTTCTAAGCCACTGTTATGGCACCCCCTGCAGTGCGCCCTCTCGGGCTCGGCGCCTAGTCTCGACGAACCGGTTGTGCTCCCTTAAATCCACCTCTGACATTCAGTCCATGGTCTCTGATTGGCTGGATTTTCTCTAGTGAGGAAAAAGGTGTTCAAGTCTGGGACAGGGGGAGAGAAACCCACGGCAGCTGTAGGGGAAACAACCATCACCAACAACTTAAAGACAAAACAAAAGGGAAATAGCATTTAAGGAAGTTTGGGAGAAAAATGTTACTTAGAAGAACTGTTTACAGTTTAATAATAATAATAATTTATTATTTATACCCCGCCCATCTAGCCGAGTTTCCCCAGCCACTCTGGGCGGCTCCCAATCGAGTGTTAAAAACAATACAGCATTAAATATTTAAAACGTCCCTAAACAGGGCTGCCTTCAGATGTCTTTTAAAGATAAGATAGCTACTTATTTCCTTCACATCTGATGGGAGGGCGTTCCACAGGGTGGGTGCCACTACCGAGAAGGCCCTCTGTCTGGTTCCCTGTAACCTCACTTCTCACAATGAGGGAACCGCCTGAAGGCCCTCGGCGCTGGACCTTAGTGTCTGGGCTGAACGATGCAATCCCAAGCATATGCACAGGTTGCAATACTAAAGTGCAAACTCAAAACACCATCGGCAAGGCCAGACATACTTTAGCTCAAAGACGGCAGCAGAATTGCTTTGACTTAATCAGAGAAGTACAAACACCTGCCCAACAGACAAAGAAGTGTTACTAGCCCGTCTTCCTGCACAAACTCATGTGGTGTAGGCCAGCTTTAGCAGAAGGCCTGGCAAGCGACTTCCCTTCAGGGAAGAACTACTTCCCCAAGGCATGTGATTAACTGCAGATGCACACTTCATGCCAACTGTCAAACGCAGGCTTGTGTGGAAAAATCCCTGGGTCTGATGCGAGAGGGAGCAGGAAGGCCAGTGCTCACAGCTCACACTCAGAATATGGGTAGAAGAAGCGGGGAAAAGTCCTCAGCTTGGCTTCAAGCCAATGGAACTTTATGACGGAACAGCGGCTGAGAAGCAATCTAAAAATGCACAGGAAGCCTGCCCCGATGGTCAAAAGACAGGATTTCAGCTTGCCTTGTGACCTTACAGATCACTTAACCTCAGAGGTTTGGATTTCCTTTCCGTTGCAGAACAAGCCATTTAAAGGCCTTGCATGTGAAATATGTTTTTAAAAACAGTAAGTATTATTATCAACAGCAGCAGCAACAGCCACCACTTCCAGATTTCTTCAAGTAAAGCTTCACAACGTCACATTATCTGCTATTGTCTGTTATTTTTCATTATCTGTTAGGAGCATGGAGCTCCTAACACCTCAGGTCATACTGTTTTTGCCAATCTGGTGCCCTCAAGATGTTGTTGGACTACAACTCCCATCAGCTCCCATGATGGCAGTCATAGTCCAACACCATCTACAGGGCACCGGAATTGGCCAAGGCTGATATAATAGACCTATCACTTTCTCTTCCCCACTATTAGAAATGAAAATATCAGTTTTCTCCCCTGCTGCACATCGTGTACTGGTAAGACTTTAAAGGAAGAATGAAGTAAGGCTGGATACGACCCCAGAGAGTCTATGCTGGCCCTGATCCATGCCCTCCTAAAGTGCTTCTGCATGGCTGAGATGCGGCCTTGATTTGCGATGACGTCTCTTGCTTGCAGAGGTAAAAGACAGAGAGAGGTGTGCGTTTGTGAAATCTGACTTTTGTGTGGCTGGAATGTAGCCTGCTATAAAAAGCTAAGAGTCTCATCCATTACTCCGCCTACTTTTGGTTCTGTCTCCACCCACCTTTGCCTCTGGCCCCACCCACCGATTGTATGTGGCTCCCCAAAGGGGAATGAGACCCTGAGTCTACAATGCTAGCTCTAGCCCATTTTATTCTTGTCTGGAGGTCTACCCTACAAATGCCACCAAACCTCTTTTTTTTTTTTTTTACTAAGTAAAGAACTGTGATGATAATAATAATTTATTACTTATACCCCACCCATCTGACTGGGCTACTGCAGCTACTCTGTGCAGCTTCCAACAAAATATTTAAAAACTTCCTGATACAGGGCTGCCTTCAGATATCTTCTAAAAGTCAGGTAGTTGTTTATCTCTTTGACATCTGATGGGAGGGCATTCCACAGGGCGGGCACCATTACCAAGAAGGCCCTCTGCCTGGTTCCCTGTAACCTCACTTCTTGCAGTGAGGGAACCGCCAGAAAGCCCTCAGCGCTGGACCTCAGTGTCCAAACGAGACAATGGAGGTGGAGACGCTCCTTCAGGTATACACAGTTCAGGACCAGGGAGACCCCTACCCCTGCCCACCCCTGCCCCCCAGAAACAGCACTTTGGTTTCGTCAGGATTCAACCCACTCCATTGGCTGCCATCCATCCTCCAACCGCCTCCAGACACCCACACAGGACCTTCACTGCCTTCACAGGCTCAGATTTAACCGATAAGCAGAGCTGGGTATCATTTGCATATTGCTGAACACCCAGCCCAACGCCACTGATGATCTCTCCCAGCGATGAACATGTGAAGCTGTCTCATGCTGAATCAGACCTATGGCTCATCTAAGCCCTGTGTTATTCTCACTAGCAGCACATCTTGAAGGTCTCTGACTTTTTTGTCTCTACCATCCAACTTCCTTTTTAACTGGAGATTCTGAACCTGGGAACCTGTGCCTCCAAAACAGGAGTGGGGACCCTGTGGCCCTCCAGATGTTATTGGACTCCAGTACCCATCAACCCCAACCATCATGGCCAATGGCCAGGAATTATGGGAGCTGTAGTTCAACACCTGAAGGACCACAGGATTCCCATTACTGCTCTAAATACCACCACTCTCCTGAACATTTCCAAGTCATACCAATGCCATTTTAGAAGTTTTGTCCGACGTCTCCTCTCTCTTTTTCTTCTCTTTTCTCTTTAAAAAATGAGCTTGTAAGGGTCTGCCATCTCATATTGCTCCCCTGGAGTTCCTAATTAAGAACCGCAGCCTCTTGCAATTTTACAGAAGGTCCTCCGTTCTTTTTCAGACATTTACTTAATGTTCCAGCTGCTGAAACTGTGAAAGTTTTATAGCAAGCACAGCTCTAGAGAAAAGTTGTTGATGGCATAGCTGCAGTGTGTGCCATTAAAATCTAGACGGCTTAAACCAACGCCATCATTGTTTATTGCTTCTGAGTTTCTAGCCAAATGCCTAGTCCCACGTACATAAATCCTTTACTTTTTAAAAGATAAAACCTTATCAATCCAAATCATACCTTCTGACAGTTCAAGTCCACCTTTGCATGATAGCAGCTCCTATAGAGCAATTCTAATTATTCAAGTTTCTGGTTAGCCATACATTTTGGATAACACGTCCTTCTCACCCCCAAGATATTCAGAAAAACTAGGTAGAACTTTCATCTGGTGTAGATCAGTAGTAGAACATCTGTTTTGCATGGAGACGGTCTAGAATGAACCAGTCATCTGATAAGGCAGCTTCCACGGTTAAATCATTTAATTTGAGTAATTGACCCAATATGTGGCCGTGGCTGCTCGCTTAGGCAACTTTAAAAATGGAATCAAGACAAATTTGTGGCAGAAACATTTATCTCTGGCTACTAGTCATGGTGGCAGCAGAGGCAGATTTAGGGGAGTGCAACTGGTTTTCCCATACTGGGAGCCGAGCTGAGAGGGTGCTGCAACAATCACTTTGAATGGAAGACGCCAAATTTTGGCATCACGCAAGGCGCAGCTGAAACTGGAAGGCTCAAAGTCGGCCACTGGGGGCAAGATCAGAGGCAGCATGCTTCTGAGTGCCAGCTACTGGAGAAGACAGCATGCGAGCTATTGCTCTCATGTCCCACTTATGGGATTCCACAAGGCGTCTGCTTGGGCGCTGTGGGAAATGGGGCCTTTTTCACCTAGCGCATAGTTACTTCACAGCCTAGGACCCTTGTACTTATGGGACCGCCTCTCCTGGTATGCCCCGCGGAGGACCTTAAGACCCATAAATAGCAACACCCTGACAGTGGCGTAGCGTGGGGGGTGCAGGAGGGGCCGGCCGCACCGGGCGCAACATCGGGGGGGGGCGCTCGCATTCGCAGCTCTCTGCCCCTACTAAAATCCACGGGTTAAAGGTAAAGGTAAAGGTACCCCTGCCCGTACGGGCCAGTCTTGCCAGACTCTAGGGTTGTGCGCTCATCTCACTCTATAGGCTGGGAGCCAGCGCTGTCCGCAGACACTTCCGGGTCACGTGGCCAACGTGACAAGCTGCATCTGGCGAGCCAGAGCAGCACACGGAACGCCGTTTACCTTCCCGCTATAAAGTGGTCCCTATTTATCTACTTGCACCCGGGGGTGCTTTCGAACTGCTAGGTTGGCAGGCGCTGAGACCGAACGACGGGAGCGCACCCCACCGTGGGGATTCGAGCCACCGACCATGCGATTGGCAAGTCCTAGGCGCTGAGATTTTTACCCACAGCGCCACCCGCGTCCCACGGGTTAGGGGGCGCAAATTACTTGCCTTGCCCCGGGTGCTGACAACCCACGCTATGCCACTGCACCCTGAAGGTCCCAGGCCCTAAGGAAGTCACATTAGCCTCCACCAGAGCCAGGGCCTTCTCAACACTGGCTCCAGCCTAGTGGAACGCTCTGTCTCATGAGACCAGGGCCCTGCAGGATCTGATTTCTTTCCACAGGGCCTGGATTAAGGAGGCTGTTATCTTAACCATGTCTACTAAGAAGTTCCACTGAACTTCCAGGTAAATGGGTTAGGACTGCAGCCTTAGTCATGCTGAGAATGGAGTAGGGTTGGGTGATATCTGATTTTCAACATCGTGATATATCACCAGCTTAAACATCGTGATATACTGATATATCATGATGTATGAAATAAGGATGGACCTATGTACAGTGGTACCTCGGGTTAAGAACTTAATTTGTTCTGGAGGTCCGTTCTTAACCTGAAACTGTTCTTAACCTGAAGCACCACTTTAGCTAATGGGGCCTCCTGCTGCCACTGCACCGCTGCTGCACGATTTCTGTTCTCATCCTGAAGCAAAGTTCTTAACCCGAGGTACTATTTCTGGGTTAGCGGAGTCTGTAACCTGAAGCGTCTGTAACCTGAAGCGTCTGTAACCTGAAGCGTCTGTAACCCGAGGTACCACTGTACTGTAGAGGCACTGACCAGCTTCACAGGTTCTCCTGCATCGTGATTTCTTGCATAGCACACACACATATGATTCACAATATATTGCCAGGTCAAAAATTATGAAACAACATGGACTTCAAACCAGTTTTGGATGATATATTGATATATCGCCCAGCCCCAGAACTGAAATGAATAGGACTTGACCTTAAGTCCCATGAGGATGTCCACTTTTAAGTAGAGGAAAGTCTGCATCCAGCCCATTACGGCTAAAAGAATGCAAACCAACAAGCACTAGCAAACTGGCAACAGTACTATTCCTCATGTCTGATCTGGATGCAAAAGCTGTAGTTTGGGATCTCTTCTTGTTGTTTTCCTTCTCCTGCGCAGACAAATTTGAAACAGAGGGAGAAACCTCCTCTCTCTGCTGTGCTCCAAAACTATTCAGTCATTCCTTGCAAATGTTTTGACTCAAAGGAATGATTTCAGGATGGGAAGCAATGTGTCCCTGGGGCCATAATAAACACAATCAGACAAAATGCCTTCCCATAACATTAGATGATGCCATTATTCTCCAATCAGAGCCAGAGGCTCATGTTGCCCGTCCACCAATGAGAAGCAAGGCAGAACTCAAAAGAGGACCCAGCCATTTGGAACTAAAAATAAAGTATCTCACAAGGCTGGTTGTTTTTCCCTGGGTGATAGGAGTTGGGATCACGAAATCGACTGCTTGCAATTATTGATTTTTGAAATAATAGTATTTTAAAATACTGGGGGCGGGTGGGTGGGAAGGGCGATCCATTCTCCAAAGATCTGCGACAAGGCAGTAAATGAGACAATTATTACAAGCTGCTGTACTGAGACACCTCAACATAAACGGCAGTCCTTGAATAATTCAGCGTGTGCAAGTAAGCATGAACAGAGCTCAAGCTTTGGAAAACACCATATGCTGATCACTTTTTATTTCCCCCCTTTTAAAAAGCAACCCACCCTGTTGCTTTTCAGCTGCTGGATCGGGGGGGGGGGGAGCCCTTACCTGTCCTGCAGTGTCATATAGCCCAAGCAGATATTGCTTGCCACCGACTGTCACACTGACTGCAAAGAGAGAAAGAGAATATCAGGCAGGGGCCCCAGAGCGACACACACACACACACACACACACACACTCAAGCTCCCTCTTTCCTCTCTAGACCAAGGAGCAAACAAGTGGATTCAATTACTCTCCCAAACTCAATTTTTTTTTAAAAAAAAAGCACAGACATCTCAAATGGGTAGGCAACCTTTTAAAAATAGCAATGATCCCTGTCTCTGCCCAGATATACACTTTCGAAGCACTTTTGTGATGGAGCAAAACAGAACTAGACTCCCCATTAACATGCTGCAACCTACAAAAAGGTGTCCTCGTTTTGTGTGTGTGTGTGTGTGTCAATACACACACATCATGTGCTCATAACAGGACTTCAAAGGCTAGTGAGAGGGTATTGGGTCGCCCCCCCCCCATTTAACCTGTCCCATTTGCTCCCCAACTTTCAGTTACAGTCTATCAAGGTCCTATCGGGCATGGATTAAATCCTTGCTCCCGTCATAACAACATTTTGCCACCCTATTCTGCTCCACCAATTAAATATTATATATATATAGTCCAGTCCCTTTACACACACATATATGTATAAAATGCGACAATTTTGGAGTGGTCAGGCATCTGCAGTCCCAAACCGTCCTTCCCCCTTTCCACTAGTTCCATAACCAGACCCCTCCAATTGAGGGGGGGGGGACAGAAGAGGAGTGCGCTTTAGAGGAGTCATTTTGAGCTGCTTTCCTTTTGCAAAAAAAGGGGGCGTCGGGGATCCCCGGGATTGCAAACACGAGTCGTCGTCCCCCCAAAGAAATAAAAATAAACGCAGCCTCTGCTTTACAAGAAGGCAGGAGAAAAGAGGGGGAAAGGAAGGGAGGGAGGGGGGATAGGAGATCAGAATTAGGGAAAGGGAAAAGTTTTCGCCGAAGTTGCTCGGCTCTGTTGCTGCTGCTTCTGGGGTGCTGGAAGCTTGGGGGGGGCGGAGAAGAGGGTGGCGGAGCCGGAGCGCCCTTACTCAGCACTTCCCGGCGAGACGCGCGTTTACCTGCGTAATGGTCAAAGACGGTGGGCACGTATTCCTCCGGGAAGGCGTCGTTGGCGTAGCTCATCAGCAGGCAGGTTTTGCCCACCGCCCCGTCGCCCACCACCACGCATTTCAGCATGACCGTCGCCGCCCCCGTCCCGTTGGCCATGATGATGAGAAGGAGCTTCCCAAACCGATCGTCATTTTAGGAAGGAGGGGGAACAGTCGGCGAGGAAAAAAAGAGACTCCCCCTTTCCAATAATAATAATAACGATAAAAGTGCGCTGAGCGGGGCGAAGAACGACGCCGTCGGGGGTGGTCGAGGCGCGGAGATCACAGGGCGCCGCGCAGCGAAGGGCGCAGGAGACGACCCCCGGGGGGGCGCATCGGTGCCAGGCGAGGGGAGCGAGCGGTGGGCAAAGCGGGCGGCTTGGCTGGCAGCCGGGGAGCAGCTCAGCCACAAATCACGGGCGCTGGCATTTCTTCTCGGCTCGCCCTCCCTCCCCTGCGCCGCCTCGCCGTCGCCCTCCCCGCCGGTGCCAAACTTGGCTGGCAGGGATTTTCCTCCTCCGGCGGGCACGATGACCGAGTGTCTCCGGCGGCGGAAAGAGGAACTAGTTGGGCGCCGTGCGCGCACAAGCCGCACCGCGGCGCCGGGTCTCCGCGGCGCTGCGCCCCGATGGCGAGGGCGAGGAGGGGGCTTCCCTGGCGCCGCGTAAAACAAAAAACGCGCGATGGCGAAACAACAGCCGAGCCGCCCGCCTCCTCCTTCGGCGGAGGGAAGGCCCGCTCTCCCCTTTTCCCGAAGAGAGGAACTGCGCTGAGCCCACTTTGACTTTCCGGAGCGGCCGGATCTTTACGCACACACTCCTCCCTTCCCACCCCGGGCTGCAAACGCCACTTCTCCGAAAAATAAATAAATAAAGGGGAAATGAAGGAGCCCGCCCGCCGTCCTATTGCTGCTGCTGCTGCTGCTGCTGCCGCCGCCGCCACCTCCAACTAGCTGGAGCGGAGAAAGGAGGAGCGATGCCGAATCGCTGCCGGAGAGCAGCTGAGGGTTCCTCTCCAAAGAGCCGACAGCGCCGAGAAGCGTCCACAGTTTTCCCTTTCCCTTTCCCTTTTTTTTTTTTTTTTTTGCAACGCGCTTTCCCCGGCGATGATGTAATCGATAAATCCTCGGAACCTCCACGCAGCCTCCCCCAACCGGGCGCCCTCTTCCAGCTGCTGGGCACTACAACTCCCAGCAGCCTCGGCCAGCGGTGGGAAGCAGCTGGAGGACACTAAAAGTTAAGGCTGCCGCAATCTGTTCCGGTTTTTCGCTGTGTTGTGTCTCTTCCACTTTTTTATTATTATGATTATTAATTTTTTACGCTGGCCGTTAAGGAAACATTTTAGAGTTTGGGAGGATAAGGGTTTTTTGGTACTGCTGGTCCCCCCCCCCCCCTTGGGCAGGTGTAGTATAAAAGGGAATATATTTGGAAACATTATTATTATTATTATCAAAAACCCTCTTAAAAGTAAGTGGGAGAAGGCTGTCAAGTGTAGTGTAGGACTAGAAAACCAAAATTTTAAACTGCCCCTCAGTTTTCTTAAGTTAAGATGACATTAGCTAAAGTATCAGATATGTTTTCCAGCTTTTCAGACTTACTTATTTTATTTTATTTTGTTTATTTATTTTCTATGCCACCCTTCATCCAAAGATCGCAGCGCACTTTACAATACGAAAACACAAAAATACATACCGTAATGATAAATGAAAACAATGACCCTCCCGACACAGTATAATTATTTATAATACTAGAATTAATAACTACACACACGCAACATACCTTGGCTGGTCTGACAAGTCAGTACAAATTGGTCAAAGCAATGATTCTTCAACATCAACTTAGTTGAACTGGTCATGTTGTGCAGATGCCTGATTATCGTCTTCCAAAGCAACTACTCTATTCCGAACTTAAAAATGGTAAGTGTAATGCTGGTGGTCAACAAAATTGGTTCAAAGACTCTCTCAAGGCAAATCTCAAAAAATGTAGTATAAACATTGACAACTTGGAAACACTGGCCTGCGAATGCTCCAATTGGAGAACAGCCTTTACCAAAGGTGTCGTGAGTTTTGAAGATGCTCAAACTCAGGATGAAAGGGAGAAATGCGCTAAGAGGAAGGCACGTTTGGCAAACTCTCACCATGATCAACTCCCGCCTGGAAATCTATGTCCCCACTGTGGAAGGATGTGTGGATCAGAATTGGCCTCCACAGTCACTTACAGACTCACTTTTAAAACCATGTTTATGGAAGACTGTTAAGTTGTGGGCGAACATATCAGACGACACAGCGATTCTTCAAACAGCTCTTGTTTATTCAAAGGCCAGAACAGAACTGAGCTGAAGAGCTCAGTCAGCCTGCTTATATAGAGCTCCAGAACAATGTAACTGTAGCAACTTTCTAAAACTATCCAATCACTGAACATCACTTTCAATTCTTCATTTGCATAACTATCTACAGTATCCCCCTGCTGGCCCAGGGTGAGAACTTCAGTGCATAACAAAGACAATCTTACTTGGCTACTAGTGATCGCCAAAGAAGAAGAATCCCATTTTATCCTCACAACGGCCCTAGAAGGTAGATTGGGTTGAAAAATTGTCACTGGGCCAAGGTCGCTCAGTTGGCTTCACAGCTGAGTAGGGGGATATGAAACCAGGCCTCTCCTCTCCAGTCCATGCCCAGCTCTGTCCACTATGCTACTGTGATTATCTGTGGCTATCCTGCATTAGCAGCATTCACAGGTGATGCGTTCCAGGCTAAAAGACATTGGTGCATCCGCCAATAGAGCTCCACCCTCAAAACATTTCTTTAGCATTTAAATTCCAGTCCAATCCACATGGTGTTTCATCACAGATGTATTGGGAACAACCTTAGTCTAAGTGCTAAAAGGGCTCCAGTGGTGCATCCAATACGATCTCTTCGCAAACATTTCCCAGATCACTTTTAAACCAAACTGTGCATTTCCCTTCCCAAGGAATGGGAGCTGGCAGATTAGAGACCATCATCAATCTCTCTGCTAATTGTGTGTTTGACTTGCTCCTGGAACTTTTCTTCCTTAGTCTGCAAGTTCTTTCCCCTATGGATTGCACGAAAACAAAACAATCCGTCATGGGAACAAAACACACCAGTTTGCTAATTTTAAATTTAAGGAGGTGTTTCAAATAAAACTTTCCTCCCCTGCACCTCTACGCACACACACACCACACAATTTATTGCATTCGGACTGGCAATTTCTATGTAGCTATTGGGCCCTTCCTACCACAAAGGTTGGTAGTCAACGCTAGTCCTACCATTTAAGCTAATTAATGGATATGACTAAGTTAGGTTGATTTATTTCATTGGTTCTATTCTGAGTAGGACTTGGCTGAATACAACCCAGACTTCAATTGTTTTCTGTTACCATTTTGGTTTGTTCTATTCAGTGGCCATTGTCATTTTGCTGCCTTGTAATCTTGCTGTCTTCTCCACATCCTCCTCTTCTGTCGTTTCTGAGGTGGCCGCTTACTCGTCTCCAAAAATATGGAAAACCCATCACTAAAAAGAATGATAAGAAGACACAAGAGCTGCATTAAATGTACGAATTCTAATGCATAGATTATGGTGCATGGGCTTGAACTGTGATCAAACAACTGCAGTAAGATTCTCTTAAACGGTGCTGATCGGCGCCTCTTCCAAAGTGAATCTGGAATTAGGAATGGGGAGCTGAACCCAACCATTGGCATCTTTCTTCTTTACCCAAAAGCAGACGATCCATGTAACGGAGATAACTGGACACAATCCCAGCTCTGGGATCTGATTCCCCGCCCCCTATGGAAAACTCGAGTGCAGCGTTCATTTGCACTCAACTCCCTTTCCTTGGATCATGACCACTACGTTTAGAACTGAGATGACACACAAGCTTATTATTATTATTATTAAAGATTTTATTGGTTTACAAAAGTATGAGCAATCTCTTGCTCTCTCTTTTCCCCCCAAGTAACATTTTTACAGATCAGTTTTATTTGTTGAGACATTAGTGTTATATTAAGAAGAAAAGGGGGGAAAGGTGAGTGGGGTGGGGTGAGGTGGCAATGTTTCTGTTTTACTTAATATACGTGTGGGGTTTTGTGTCAGCGTCGCTTGTGCAGGTTCTCTGCTATTCGCTTGTGTTCCTTTGGTGGTGAGAGAAGTTGGGGTTGGCCTAGGGCAGCCTTTCTCAACCTGTGGGTCCCCAGATGTTGTTGAACTACAACTCCCATCACCCCTAGCTAGCAAGGCCAGAGCTCAGGGATGATGGGAGTTGTAGTCCAACAACATCTGGGGACCCACAGGTTGAGAACCGCTGGCCTAGGGTGTGGTTGTTCATTTGTGACTGACTGGGGTGCGCATTCACACATGAAAACAAGCTAATCTTTGAAAGAAAACTAGTACTATTGCCCTTACTGTATTTTTTGCACCATAACACTCACTTTTTTCCTCTAAAAAGTAAGGGGAAATGTCTGTGCGTGTTATGGAGGGAATGCCTATGGGTGGCATGCCTACGGATTTTCCTCCTCTAAAAACTACGTGCGTGTTATGGTCGGGTGCGTGTTATAGAGCGAAAAATACGGTAATATGCTTCTGAGATTGTTTGTTTACCTCTTTTCTTTTTCTGCTTTTTGGCTATAATCTGTTTGGGTTATAATTGTTGTTGTTGCTACTAATACACAATGTCTCCATCCAGGTAATCTTTTTTTTTTTTAAGGTTAACCAATGAAGATAGGGACGTGGGTGGCGCTGTGGGTTAAACCACAGAGCCTAGGACTTGCTGATCAGAAGGTCGGCGGTTCGAATCCCTGTGATGGAGTGAGCTCCTGTTGCTCAGTCCCTACTCCTGCCAACCTAGCAGTTTGAAAGCACGTCAAAGTGCAAGTAGATAAATAGGTACCGCTCCAGTGGGAAGGTAAACGGCGTTTCCGTGCGCTGCTCTGGTTCGCCAGAAGCGGCTTAGTCATGCTGGCCACATGACCCGGAAGCTGTACGCCGGCTCCCTTGGCCAATAAAGCGAGATGAGCGCCGCAACCCCAGAGTCGGCCACGACTGGACCTAATGGTCAGGGGTCCCTTTACCTTTTAATGAATATATTCTTTTGAGCTATCATGTATCATTTTGGGGTAGGAAGGCAGCATGGAATTAAAAGCTATGAAACTCCCAAATCGAGAGACTGTTTGCCGAAAACTCATCAGCACTGTGTATCCGTTCCAAAGCCAAACAGCCCTGATTAAAGCCTGTTCACAAATCACTTTAATATCCATGATTACTAACCATAAAATTGTACCAATGAATTAATCAGTGCTTTCAGTTATATTTATTAACTAGCAAAATGCCCCAAAGGCAGCAGCAGAGGATCTTGGCACCAATATTACGCAGGAAGCAATGACAGTCAAAACAGTGGTTGGTTATGGTGTGTGTGTGATAGATTGAAGCACTATAAAGTCATGGTTGTGGGAGCAGCATTAATTTGTGGAAGCGCCACAGCTCAGTGGTAGAGAATCTGCCTTGCGTACAGATGATCATAGGTTAAATCCCCAACTTCTCTTGCTATGGCTGGGAGAAGGGATAGGGGAGCAATTAGATTCAGTTCGCATTTAAAGGCTACCAAATCCACAATTTCTTTAACAATGTATGAACCAAACACCTCCATCCTTACAAATTTGCACTTTTCTGAATTTTGCAATGTGTTTCTCCAGCCAAGCAACATGTACTAAAATATGCATAACAGGGTTTGGAAGTGTGCATGTGAATGCACCTATGTGAAAATAACAAATAGAGTTGCATTAAATTAGTGGAAAGTGCTTGCAAAAAAAAATATGTGTATATTTGCGAAAACTGCATATAAAAATGTGTCTATTGGGAGAAATTATTGCTAAAATGCTGATGAATTTTCGTAAGGGTTTTTTTAAAAAAAGAAAAGCCTGAAAACTGCTTCAGAAATGCATTTGTCCTTAAAAACTGAACTTGAAATCAATAAGCTTAGGTGCAATTAAAGGTAAAGGTACCCCTGAGGGTTAGGTCCAGTCACGGACACTGGGGTTGCGTGCTCATCTCGCTTTACAGCTTCCGGGTCATGTGGCCAGCATGACTAAGCCACTTCTGGCGAAACCAGAGCAGCACACGGAAACACTGTTTTCCTTCCCACCGGAGCGGTACCTATTTATCTACTTGCACTTGATGTGCTTTCGAACTGCTAGGTTGGCAGGAGCAGGGACCGAGGAACGGGAGCTCCCCCCTTCACAGGGATTCGAACTGCCGACCTTCTGATCAGCAAGCCCTAGGCTCTGTGCCTTTCACTAGGTTATTGTGGAAATACTTTCTATAGAGTTTACACGATTACTGAACTGTGGTAGCGGACTCTCAACACGTGCCACAAAGGAACCTAGAAATCAGTGCACCATATATGGAGGAAAAATGTCTTGCATTTAAAATTCATTTTAAGAAGTGTATCTGTACTGGCCAGAACCTCCTGTTAGCCTGGCATGAGCAAAAGATAATAAGAGATGATTGCACTGAGGATTATGAGCCTATTTTTAAACTAAACTTTCTGGAGGTGACAGAAATTCACTGAGGGTGGAAAATTCTGATTTCAAGGCTATAAGTCTCCAAAAATTAACATGTAAGTCAAATAAAACTCAGTGGGATTTGTTTCTGAGTAAACTCACATAGGAGTGGCCTTTCATTTACTTTCCCCCTGTTTATATTCATTTGAAATATTTCATGCTGTTTTCCTGAAGCTCTGAAGCCTACAAGAATGAAATGATAATATTACTTGGGACATCTTACAACTTTCACTATATTACCACTGGCCCTTGCTACCTTCATGCAAACTGGGAGACAGAGAGAAGAGCAGAAAGCATATATTGAGAATGAACTATATTCCAGAGGTAGCCAAAATGCTTCCGTTCTATAAAAGGAGCTTGAGTGTTAAATCAATAAAGGAGAGTGATGCATGACAGAGAGTCAGGAAATGCCCAGTGTTTTCAAAAGGTGCATTGAAGAGAAGACAAGAACATTATTGAGGAAGGTGTCCTAGGTGAATTCAATGAGCCCAGGACTGCAATTGAATAAATAATAGCCCAAACACACAGGCAAAGCAATTGTTAGTTATTTAATTTGGAATCACTGTGTATTTAATGCTGGGAGGTGTTTTTTAAAAAAATGCATCAGTCTCAGGCCTCTTTCTTTAGGATTTTTGTGAGTGCAGAGTTTTGAGGTTATCCTTTCACTGCAAGGTGGCCAAATTGGTGTGTATTTTTTCTTCCCCGGAAACATTTACCCAACACTCTGCAGCCTCCCCGGCTGCCCACAATTCCTCATCTGGGTGGGAAGTAATAGGAGGAGCCACCCAACAATGCTTCTTTGAACTGCAGGCATCTAGGAAGGCTGCGGAGTGCAGACCACCAGTGAGATGATTGTCAGAGTGAAAGAAAGGAAAGGCACCCCTTGCCTCAAAAGTAAGGTAAGCACAATAACAGGATTGTACTCCCTGCACCTCGAGGTCCACTGGCATTTTCTCTCCCATTTCATAGTTTTTAAAGGCAATTCCTTTTCTCATTTATGGAGAATGGTGAGAAAATTCAGCATAGCACTAGATTCTATCAAATGTGGTGTACTCCAGTACTGTACAAAGAAAACATGAAACACCTCGATCAATTTTTGTTGAGACTGAAGTTCCTTCAGATATCTGAGTCTTATGTTATTGTTTAGGACCTTTTAGGTAAAGGTAAAGGTACCCCTGACCGTTAGGTCCAGTCGCGGACGACTCAGGTTGCAGTGCTCATCTCACTTTACTAGCCGAGGGAGCCAGCGTTTGTCAGCAGACAGCTTTCGGGTCATGTGGCCAGCATGACTAAGCCACTTCTGGCAAACCAGAGTAGCGCACGGAAATGCCGTTTACCTTCCCGCCGGAGTGGTACCTATTTATCTACTTGCACTTTGACATGCTTTTGAACTGCTGGGTTGGCAGGAGCAGGGACCGAACAACGGGAGCTCACCCCATCGTGGGGATTTGAGCTACCGACCTTCCAGTCGGCAAGCCCCAGGCTCTGTGTTTTAGACCACAGCGCCACCTGCGTCCCTCCTTAGGACCTTTTACGTTCGTGCTAACTTCTTGAATTGGGCTCAATACCATATAACAGGTGCAGGTTCTTCAGAACAGGTGCTACGTGGTTCCACTTGGTTGAGACAGTCCAAGTTTCCGATCTCAAGGGAATTCACAGCCATGGGCAAGATGAGCCCAGGAGAGGCCCCTCCTTTGTCAGGAGTCCCTGGCGGACTGGGTGCCTGGATGCCCTTGAATTTCCCACGGTGCCCCACAGCAACTGTTGGCCAGGGGCACTGTGGGAAATTCAGCCTCTTCCTGGCACTGCTCAAAATGTTGAGCAAGGAAAAAAGGGGGGCAGGGAAAGTATCAGCAGTGAGCTCCCCCCCTGCACTGGGATGGCTATGTCCAATCATCTGGGTACCCCAAAGCAGCAAGTATTTCCATCTACTCCCTTTGGGGTGAAATGGAAGATGACTGGAAAGCTCAGGACAATAGGATAAGAGATTTTCTGGCAGGGGTGATGATTACTGGACATGAGCTAATGTATCTCATCATCTCTGTCTTGGGTTATTTTGAATTTGGTTTGTCACATGGTTTCACGGCGGTTGCTGCTGCACTATGGTATCAAAATATACCCTGAGGTCATGCTTGGTGGGATAAGCAAGCCCAGCATGGAAGGCATTCTGTTGCAAGAGGAGAAGGGATGCGAAGTGCAGGGAAGCGTTGCCAGGATCTTACTTAACGGAATAAATGTTGGCGATCAAGTGGGGCTCTGTAGCCAGACAGTTTGCTTGGTTTAATGTCTGGTGCACCATTCCTCTCTGCTATATGGAGCTGTGAATTATAATCATATTCTGCATTACATAATCCTGCACAAAAGAGCAAAGGGGAAATTATATTTTATTATAAATGGCAACAACAACAGCACTTAACCACACTGTGTAGTTTTTTCATTTGTGCCAGTAGCGCGGAACATAGGAACTTTGGAAACTGCCTTACTCAGGTTCAATCCCCGGCAGCTCCTGGTAGGTCTGGGAGTGTCTCCTGCCTGAAACCCCAGAAAGCTTCTGTCAGTCAGTGTAGACATGCTTTTCAAGGTATACATGCAGGCACTGGGAGAAATCATCAGGGGGTTTAGGCTGGGGGTCCATCAAAAGGCAGATGATACCCAGCTCTACCTCTCTTTCAAATCAGAACCAGTTAAGGCGGTAAAGGTCCTGTGTGAGTGTCTGGAGGTGGTTGAAGGATGGATGGTGGCTAACAGATTGAGGTTGAATCCTGACAAGACAGAAGTACTGTTTTTGGGAAACAGGAGGCGGGCGGGGGTGGAGGATTCCCTGGTCCTGAATGGGGTAACTGTGCCCCTGAAGGTGCGCAGCCTGGGAGTCATTTTGGACTCACAGCTGTCCATGGAGGCGCAGGTCAATTCTGTGTCCAGAGCAGCTGTCTACCAGCTCCACCTGGTACGCAGGCTAAGACCCTACCTGCCCGCAGACTGTCTCGCCAGAGTGGTGCATGCTCTGGTTATCTCCCGCTTGGACTACTACAATGCGCTCTATGTGGGGCTACATTTGAAGGTGACCCGGAAACTGCAGTTAATCCAGAATGTGGCAGCTAGACTGGTGACTGGGAGTGGCCTCTGAGACCACATAACACCGGTCTTAAAAGATCTACATTGGCTCCCAGTACGTTTCCGAGCACAATTCAAAGTGTTGGTGCTGACCTTTAAAGCCCTAAACGGCCTCAGCCCAGTATATCTGAAGGAGCATCTCCACCCCCATTGTTCTGCCTTCTGAGGGCCTTCTGGCGGTTCCCTCACTGCGAGAAGCCAAGTTACGGGGAACCAGGCAGAGGGCCTTCTCGGTAGTGGCACCTGCCCTGTGGAACACCCTCCCACCAGATGTCAAAGAGAACAACAACTACCAGACTTTTAGACAACATCTGAAGGCAGCCCTGTTTAGGGAAGCTTTTAATGTTTGATGCATTATGGTATTTTAATATTTTGTTGGAAGCCGCCCAAGGATGCTGGGGAAACCCAGCCAGATGGGCGGGGTATAAATAAAAAATAATAATTATTATTATTAGAGACGGTAGTAAGCTAGATGGACCAATGGTCTGACTCAGTATAAGCCAGCTATAAGTCCCAGGATTCCTGGGGCGGGAGAGAGAGAGAGAGAGAGAGGGGTGATTAAGTTGTGACATTATGTAGAAGTCTCATGCCTGACCCTTCCCATGGCATGTGGGGTGTTTTGTCCTTTTGCAAATCACAGCTGTGGGAGCCTGCACATCCAGATCAGGATTGCAGCCCTGGGGGAGAGGGGTTTAAATCCTTTCCCCCCAGTGCCATCTTCCTGCTGGAAATCACCTGACAAATATGGCCCCAGTGAAGTAACAGTTTTCAAGAAGTGGGCAGCAGAGTTGGGAAGAAGTCTCGCTGTATTCAACCCCAGCTCAGCGCTAAGAAAAAGGAGCTTGAAATGATGCAATATGGGAAGATAACCATGTGGGAAGATTCAACTGCCCACATCCTGTCAGGCCTGGCGCATGAGCAGCAGTCAGGGGACTGAGGAGTGACAGTGCAATTCTAGCCATGTCTACTCAGAAGTAAGTCCGTTTGAGTTCAGTGGGGTTTCTTCCTAGCTAAGTGGTTTAGATTTTCAGCCTGCCTCAGAATAAGTGGACAAGCCAGACATCAGCATGGAAGAATAACATACCCTCCAACATTTCTCCAATGAAAATAGGGACATCCTATTTAATAATATTAATAATATTAATTATAATAATATTTATACCCCGTCCATCTGACTGGATTGCCCCAACTATGAGTGGCTTCCAAACATATATAAAAACATAATAAAACATTAACCATTTAAGAACTTCTCTATACAGTGGTACCTCGGGTTACAGATGCTTCAGGTTACATACACTTCAGGTTACAGACTCCGCTAACCCAAAAATAGTACCTCGAGTTAAGAACTTTGCTTCAGGATGAGAACAGAAATCGTGCAGCGGCGGCGCGGCAGCAGCGGCGGGAGGCCCCTTTAGCTAAAGTGGTGCTTCAGGTTAAGAATAGTGTTAGGTTAAGAACGGACCTCCGGAACGAATTAAGTACATAACCAGAGGTAGCACTGTACAGGGCTGCCTTCAGATGTCTTCTAAAGGTTGTACTGTTACTTATCTCCTTGGTTCGAGGGTCACAGAACTCCGTACCCTCCAACATTTCTCTGATGAAAATAGGGACGTCCTAAAGTGGGACATTCCAGGATCAAATCTGAAACTGGGACAGCTTCTGTAAATCCTGGAAAATAAGGACACCTGGAGGGTCTGGAAGAATCACACAAACATGACACAGCTCAGGAGCCCCAAGTCACTCAAGTTCATAGCTCAGCCTTCTTCTACCTCTTCCTGGAGTTTCCAAGGGCCAGCCTAGTTGGGCAGAGTCAGTCCGTAGTCTGAAGGTCCTTCACTTGCCACCTGTCATTCAATGGCTTGCTGTATGCAGAAGCTTCACATAAATACAGCAGCTCTTGGCATTCCGCCTCCCCTGCTTTTATGAAAGAATGTGATGGACACATGAGGAATAAATACAGCTGCTCCCATCAAGTCCAGTTTGGCTCTGTGTCTGGTAAATTAGCTGTTCCACCTCCAGGGCAATGGCAGTTTGACTCATCTTGAGTTAAACATGGATCTTTCTGTCCAGTTGTATTTCACTCCAGGCTGCGTGAAGTTTAAGCGAATCCTGTTCGGTGTCTTTCTCCTTTTCAGTTAGACCTGAAATTTGGAATTGGGTTAGCTGACATAACAGTCACACCTGTTCCTGGACTGAAATAGTCTGACCTTGGCTATCCATAGAGCATGGATTCCCTGCTGTCTAGACTACTGCAAGGCACTATTGGTGGAGCTACCCTTGAGAATGGCCTAGGTGCTGCAGCTGGTGGAGAATGATGCTTGCCTGGCTGTTGTGTGGAGCAATGAGAGAGGATCGTATAACCCTGATCCTTAAAGAACTGCACTGGCTGTCAGTGAGCTGCCTGGCCCAATTCAAGGTGTAAGTACTAGTACACACTCCTGCCAACCTAGCAGTTTGAAAGCATGTCAAAGTGCAAGTAGATAAATAGGTACCACTCCAGCAGGAAGGTAAACGGCGTTTCCGTGTGCTGCTCTGGTTCGCCAGAAGCGGCTTAGTCATGCTGGTCACATGACCCGGAAGCTCCCTCGGCCAGTAAAGCAAGATGAGCGCTGCAACCCCATAATCGGTCACGACTGGACCTAATGGTCAGGGGTCCCTTTACCTTTACCTTTACTATTACACAAAGCCTGACATGCCTTGGGACTTTAAGGTGGCCAATGCGATGTTATCCAGAGTTGGGGACTACAGCTCCCATCATCCCTATGGGCTGGGGCTGATGGGAATTGTAGTCCACAACACCTGGAGGCCATCAGTAGGCTACCCCTGGCTTCTTAGCACTTTTTGAAGACTGCAATGTTGATATAAGCATTAGCCTCTACTTGCAACTGCAGATCAAGTGGCTGTTATAAAAGGGATAGGAACATGGAGAGAAATGATTTTCTAATGCAGGAGCAAAACCTTGAACCTTGAATCTCCTGCAGGTGGGGACTGATGTAGTTTTCTGAGGGTTCTGCTGGTGGTAATCTTGTCCTGAAACACGTTTTCACCACCAACCGACAAAAAAAGAGGGGGGGGACCCTCTGTAACTATAACCATTGTAGGCTTTCTTGTCCTCCTATAATTGCGCAGTATTCCTTACAGTCTCAGGATTTCCTCTTTCTGCATTAATTTGCACTTTGTTAGAAGGCGCGAAGGAAAGTGTTACGAGAGAAAAGGCATTTTTTTTCCACCCACTGCAGTGCCTGCTTGTCACTTTGCTGCATGACTGCTGTTCTGAATTTTTTTTAAAAAAAAGAAAGTTAAGGAAGCACAGCACACAGAATGTTCTACACCCCCTTGTTACAGACCTGCTTCTTCTTTTGATGCAAGTCACAATGCTAATGCAGATTTGGTGGAACTGGAACCTCGCAGGACCATCCTAAACATGTTTACTCAGAAGCAGGGATGGGCTAATATGTTCATTTTGGTTTCTTGTTTTCCAGTCCAGTTTTCCAGTCCAGCGTAGCTGTCAACCTTCTCTTTTTTTGCGGGAAATTTCCTTATCCCATCGCCATTTCCCACTGCTTCCTGCTGGTATCCCGGATTGTTAGATATCCCGTAGACTGTCCCTGGGACAGGTGAGGCTGCTGATCCCTTATTTCCGAGGCTGCTGATCCCTTATTTTCAAAACTGAAAGTTGACAGCTATGCAGTTCAGCTCTTTACATTTCAACATCAGCTTGTGATTTTTTTAAATTAAAAAAAAAAACCCTCATGCAAATTAATCAGACCTTAGCATCAAATTCTCCTAATACAGACATCCTTGTCTGCAATTTCCCCTATTATAAAGCATAGATGTATGCTATTTTTTCCTAATAGAAGCATTGATGTGCATTCTTTACCCTAGGATAAAGGGTTTTTTGCAGGATAGCAATGCTTTAGCTCATGTATTGTTTCATCAAGAAAGGAGAGAGAGAGAGAGAGAGAGAGAAAGAAAGAAAGAAAGAAAGAAAGAAAGAAAGAAAGAAAGAAAGAAAGAAAAACACAGAGAGAGATCCTCTATCATTTCCATTTCAGTGGAAACCATGTTTGCTAAGAAAACACTTTTGGAAATCATTGAACATTTACAAAGTGGAATTTAGTGTTAAGGAACTGTGTCTTGCTCATTGCTTCATTGCTTAAGTAATTTTTATGACGATCCCTAAGTCCAGAAAAGACTCACAGGCTGAAGTGGAGTGGGGGGGGGGGGGAGAGACTTCTTTTTGCATGCTTGAATGTCATAAACACACAGTTGTGCCCTAGTAATTGTAGCTCTCTTGGTGGACTCTGCAGCTGCCATATGACCAGTATATGACCTCATACTTCTGTTTTCTCTCTCCAAGTCCCGTGCCGGAAGGAGTGCCGGGAAGAGAGGATTTAAGTGAGCAGAAAGAGGAATGATACAAGTTTGGAAGTTGCTTCAAGTGGAAATGCAAGCTTGGAAGGGGCCATACTCTCCAACATTTCTCTGCTGAAAATAAGGACGTCCCATTCCATAACGATAATATTACTATTTATACCCCACGCATCTTATTGGGTTGCCCAAGAACTTTGGGCAGCTTCCAACATATATAGAAACATAATAAAACATCAAACATGAAAAAAACCTTTCCTATACAGGAATGCCTTCAGACAACTCGGGGTTGGATAACTCCATACCCTCCAACATTTCTCCAATGAAAATAGGGGTGTCCTAAGGAAAAGCGGGACATCAAATCAGAAACCCAGAAGGCTTCTCTAAATCAGGGACGTCCCTGGAAAATAGGGACACTTGGAGGGTCTGAGATGCAAGCCTAGTTCTTAGGGTCAAACTAAACACAATTAGTGGGCAGCTATGTTTGTTCATATATGGGATGCGGGTGGCACTGTTGCGGCACTCATCTCGCTTTACTGGCCAAGGGAGCCAGCGTACAGCTTCCAGGTCATGTGGCCAGCATGACTAAGCTGCTTCTGCCGAACCAGAGCAGCGCATGGAAACGCTGTTTACCTTCCCGCTGGAGCGGTACCTATTTATCTACTTGCACTTTGACGTGTTTTCGAACTGCTAGGTTGGCAGGAGCAGGGACCGAGCAACGGGAGCTCACCCCGTCACGGGGATTCGAACCGCCAACCTTCTGATCGGCAAGTCCTAGGCTCTGTGGTTTAACCCACAGCACCACCCGCGTCCCTCAGAAACCACAGGCGCTACCAACAAAAGAAGAGTGGCAGATGAAACTGATGGACTTTGCAGAACTGGCGAAACTGATGGGAAGAAACCGGAACCAGCAAGACCAAGCATTCCAAAAGACTGGAACAAATTTATATTATATTTGAAAGACAACTGTAAGCAATTAACATCATTGGCAGGGTTATCTGAAGATTTGTAACATGAAATTGCTACCTATCCAGGTTGAGCAATATAATATTTTAGGTAATGATATAACAAGGATAGGAAATGAAGCGAAATGTAAAGATGTAAAGTTTAATTTTGTAAACCATCAAACGGGAGGGAGGGAAGTCGTTAGAGTTGGTCGAGCCAAAGAGATAAAATAAGAGGGTATGGTGTTATGTAATATGATTATATGTAAAACCAATAAAAATCATTTACCGGTATATATAAAAAATATAGAGCACCACAAAATAACAACAACAACAACAACAACAACTATTATTATTATTATTATTTTAAAACCATGTGCAATGGTCCTTTTAGGATGTGGAGAACTTAGCTAGAAGGAAACGCCACTGATTTCCAATGAGGCTTACTTCTCAGCAGAGATGGTTAGGAGCATGCTGTTAAGGCTTGGAAGGCTAAGATGCCTGCTTGAAGATAAGTTCATCATTTAAAAGAGGGCCATATGCTGCTCCTCCCTTATCCCTCCCGGCTCAGCTAATTTCGTGCCACTCGCCAAGAAATGTTAGACAGGTGTGCCAAAACCCGAAGTGTGCTGTTATCTCATAGAAAACAAAACTGAATACCTCAGTCCTAATTATAATTGTCCCTGACCTGCTTAACTTGTGCTCAAGAGCTGCCAAGATAAATGCGTCTTGCAGTGCAGCTGGAGAATGCCCCGACTTGGACTTTGGCAAGTCTCCAGGGTAAGGGTGTTCCACATCAGCGGGGGGCAGCCTTATGCTATTACAATGTGGTGGCTGCATGGATTGTATGATCAAGAGGATGCCGTTGGCTGATATTAAATACTGCAATCCAGGGGAAGTGGGGAGGCTGCAGTCCTCCTGAAGGAAGTCCAGTATACCTGAAGGAATGTCTCTGTCCCCATCGTTCAGCCCGGACACTGAGGTCCAGCTCCGGTTCCCTCACTGTGAGAACTGAGGTAACAGGGAACCAGGCAGAGGGCCTTCTCGGTAGTGGCACCTGCCCTGTGGAACGCCCTCCCTTCAGGTGTCAAGGAAATAAACAACTATCTGACTTTTAGAAGACATCTGAAGGCAGCCCTGTTTAGGGAAGTTTTTAATGTTTGATGTTTTATTGTGTTTTTAATATTCTGTTGGGAGCTGCCCAAAGTGGCTGGGAAAACCCAGCCAGATGGGTGGGGTATAAATAATATATTATTATTATTATTAATAATAATAATAATAATAATAATAATAGATGTTTCACACATTACACAGCAACAAAGGGCCTTTCTATTTCCGGCGCAGGGTGAGGCTCCAGCATTCTAATAGCATTGTCATTTCTGGAAACATAGGCTTATTTCAAAGATCAGTTCCTTAGCTAGGCTTATGTGGGTAGAAAAATATCCTATATGGGTAGAAAAGTGGTGTTTTTGCAGTAACATGTGAAGTGGATCTAAGCAAACAGTGGATCTGTCCTTTTCCTGCGCTCCTTC